TAGTCACTCATCGATACCTATACAAACTCACATCTATATCCACACCTTTAGGATGCTCATGTGCTGAACAGTAATGAATTGACAGTCAGTAACACTTGGATATTATTCCACGGCCTTGGTTGAAATGCGCAAATATTCTCGCATACAATAGTCAGATTACCTCAAAGTTTCATTTATTTCTCTTGCTGTATTCTATTTTTAAATGAAAAATGAATTTTTCTTCGTACTGTGAAAAAAGAATGAATTCATTTTACAAAGAAAAAACTCTTTCGTTACCTATGAAAATGGCGTAGTGTTTTTCAAAAGTAACAGTTGTTGTTTTTTTTCTCAGTTTACCTGCATAAAGAAATATGGTTGAATCAAATGCTGGACACAATTTGAAACAAGATTTAGTTGAAAAACATCGGAATGTTGTCGGACAGCAGCAACCTATTATTATTGTTAATGGTAATAAAGATCAAAACAAAATATTCGAGCAAAGTTTTGCGGAATATAGTCGTGTTACCAATCGACCTTTATATGTATTCGATAATGTGGATGAATGTTGCGATTTTGTATATGAACAAGCATCTTCTAATGAAGAAGCCAAATGCATTGTGCTAGTACAAGATCAATTTGCAAACGAACTTATTCCTTCTATTGTTCATGCGGAACAAATTGAAGATATTATTATTCTCAATGAAAATCCTCCAAGTCAACAAGAAAGAGAATCGATGAGAGAATATACTAAAGTACGTGAGTTAATGAAATCATATTTTCTCTAGAATAAGTTCCATTATTGAATCTGATATCGATTGTCTTTTTCATATGATTGAAGCTACTCTGACATGTAAATTTAATCTCACAAACTGAATGAAGATTTTAGATTATAAATGCCAATGGCTATTCTAATGTTGAGAAAGTTATCCTAGTCGGAAATAATAAACGATTGTTGATAGTTATACCTGCCATCAGATACACATTTAAGGTGAAACTTGCCAAGTATCGATTCCGTTTTCTGAGTTTGAGAAGTATTAAAAGTACGGATCGTGTCGGAATCAAAAGTTTTGAGAACAGATTTTAATTATTCAGAAAACTGAATTTTCGAAAATAAACGAATAATAGATTGAGGGTGGATGCTGGTGAGTGTCACACTATTCAGTTCGCCTACATCTTTTTCTTGTGGTCTGCTACAGTAAATTTATAGATAAAAGAAAAAAACTTGAGCGTCTCAGCTCGAATCTACATAATTGTTCCACAAACTTTTTTTTAATATTGTGTCACATATATCGCAGCCTGCTTAAATTCTTTTTTTTTCTGCTGATAATTTCTACAAATAAATCTGTCATTGAGGAATGAAGTAAGTTCTCGAAAATGTGGGCTAAATTGTGTGATGAATTCGATACAAGCGCTCACGTTCAGATCCTCGAATATAGTGTATTCCACTACTAGTGCTAAGAAACATGACGTTCACTTGAACAAATATCACATTTGAGCATCCATCCTATTCTTTGAATTCCGTGCAATTCCGGAATCGTTCGAACTCAATCAATTTCGAGTGGATCTCTTATGTTGTGTGTTGATCGAGTTCCAGGAACTAGGCGGACTAGATTTTGATGTGGAATAAGATGTATTCTCCCGTACGTATTTATATTGTAGGTTAGATATGCCAGTGACCATGGCACAACTGAGATAACACTTCCTGACAATTACACATTAGATCGAGAAGTCACTCAAGAAGAGCGATTTAATGAATCCATGATAATCGACTCAGCACACTATGATGAAACATCTCAACGTTCATCCGAATGTCTGTTCAGTACGAAAACATTATTTCGTTATTTCATGTTACAATGTCTGTTGGATGCTGAACCGATACCATCGGATAATGATAATCTTATTGAATTATTCCGAACAAAACTGTCTGTGTCTGAACAGGGCATTTACGAATTCAAAACGAATTATACAGCTGATCAAGCAATACTATTTTATACGAAATATGGATTTATATATAAAGAAATAAATGAAGCATTGCGTTCAATAAATATCGATTATCTTCTACGATTTCGTTTTGTACTCAAAGATATTTATAATCAATTAACTCACCTAATGGCAGTTAAACCCACAGATGAAGCTACAAACGTATATCGAGGTCAATATATACATTTCTATGAGATATTCGATTTATTTAACAGTTTCAAACAACGAGTACCAACTATCATTAATAGTTTCTTCTCGACATCACTCGACAGGCAAGTATCACTCGGATTTCTGCAGGCTGGCAGTGAAAAAAACTCAAGTATAACATCTGTTCCGGTACTTTTTACAATTACTATTCAAAAACAAGATGTATCATCGGACAGTCCATTTGCTGATATATCACAATATAGTACAATTCGTGATGAAAAAGAAATCTTATTTACTCCAGGTCAAATGTTTATGATCGACAAATTTGACATGACGTATGAAAATGGCACGTTTATTTATTTGATTAATATGAATCTTTATAACAACACGAAGTTCAATCTCAATGCTCAATACAATCAAATGAAATCTCAATGGCAAGAAGAAACAAATGATTCGTTACTTCATCTCGCTCAATTACTTACTGCTTCGAATCGTCACGACCAAGCAAAGAAATTATATGAGCAATTACTCACACAGAAGTCTGACCAGCAAACAAAGATGATTTGCTATAAAGGTTTGCGTGAAATAGCTTCATTCATGAACAATAGTGATGAAGTGAAGGCCTATACTCAGAAGTTGATGGAGTCAAAATTTGATAGTCATCAGACGTTATCGCCAATGCCGGATCAGATAGCGGTTGGTAGAGGATTTCAGCAAATGTTATCAACATTTATGAATAATGCTCAAGAGGCCTTATCGCGAACATCTCTTGATCGTCCGCTTCAAGATATTGCTAGTTATACGAAAAGTAATGAATGGAGTGACTTAACACATCAAGCTCCACAAATAGCATATACAACCGGTCAGACACTGATGCAGACCCAACAATATCAGTTGGCAATTCTATTTCTTGAAGTATCAGTAGCGGCCATGAACGGAATAAACGACGCAGAATTTGTTCTCTCGCATAAATCAAAATGTTACAAAGCCATAGGCGATTGCTATTGTCAATTAGGTGACAATAAGGAAGCTCTAAAAAATTATACATTGGCATTGAATGAAAATATTCATTTACGACCCGATGAACATATTAAGATATTGGTTTGTACAGGTAAAATACTCGAAGCAACAAATCAATCGGAAGTAGCTTTATCAAAATATATCAAAGCAGCTGAGATCTGTCAAAATGAATTACCAAATGCGAATTCCAACGATATTGTAGAAATAGAAGAATGTATTAAACGAGTAACATCATATCTTTGTCCACCCGATACATAATCTTGCTGAAAATAATTCTTGACCTTTGTACGAGTTCGTTTTTTTACATTTTATTTTAATAAAATAGCAACTTAATGAATAATTAAGGTTTCATCTTGAGCGTGGGTGTGCTTGTTGGTAGGTGTTCGTGTATGCGAGGAACAGACCCATACCCACCCACTCCAATATCCATCGCTTGTTTTTGAATTCTCCCTACAGAATAATATTTGGAGCTATCCATCATAGTTTTCGATGTTCTCACTTTTTATCAAGGTCACAGAAGGAATCGATAAATATATACGTATATTTTCAACCTTGATTTGATGAAATGAATTCATGATTTTGAAAATAAATAGTTACTTAAAAATGTTTGAACTATCCAAAAGCAACTAACCATAATTATTTAGTTAATATTACAAAAAATAGAATGCATATACAAATTGATGTATTGTTCAACACCGATCTTTGATCAATAATAAACGAGTTAAATTTCATGATTAATTTTAATATCAAAGACGAAGTTAAAAATAAATTTTCGAGGTAACTTTACAAGAATTACGAATATAAAAAACTAAATAACCAAAAAAACTAGCAGTGTTCAAATTTCCTAGAAAGGAACTTTCCGAAATTACTAAATACTAAAGGAGAAGTTTCGAAAATTGTATACACATGGCAAGAGTCACTTCTAGCAATTTCCTTTTTAGGAAATTTGAACAAAGCTCGTAACGCAATGAGAGATGCGACTATCAGATCATTGAGAGTTGATTGAAAAGCTAATACCGATGAGAATTTTTGAATCTATATTTATTGCTAATCATTATGTTATTGAAATAAAAATTAAAAAAAAAAACTTAGAAATTTCGATAGACATTTGTTGTCTCCAGTTCGAAAATAGTATGAATTGTTGTACCAAGAGCCATTACTACTTGTACTAATTGTATTGTTGAATAGTACATTGCCGAAACAGTGACAAGAATAGAGTCAGCTTGATCATTATGCGCATAGGGAACAGATGTGGAGGGTTCTTCTTTCTGAGCCGATTTTTCGATATAATAATCTGTAACACGATCCATTGCCTGTTGATAATCAGTCTGAAGACGAAGAACCGTTCGATGAAGTTCAATCAGACAATCTTCATTTGCTGATAAATCTCCTTTAATTAATTTACTTTTTTTACGTAGAATATGGATATGACTCCATCGATAATATGTTGTTTTTGTCAGAGTAAAATAAGATATCCATAAATTAACACAATCATTCAATTGTCGACTTAAATCTGTTAAATCAACGTCAAGATCTAGTAAGATTTGTGCATCAGTACTATTTAAACGAAGATCTTCAATTTGTTTGTGATCATTCAATGAGTATTGTTTGATATACATTAACTATCATATGAAGATTAACAAAGAACCGCATATTTTTAAATGGAACTTACTGTAGCATGCATACTGTGTAAAATTCTAAACATATCATGTTGTTGTAAGACTAAAGTATGATATCGACTGGACGAAAAACCATAATTAAACCATAAGAATGATGGTTCCAATGCTGTGGATTGAACAAGAGTTCGTTGAGAAGTGATCAGTCGATGAAAATGATTGCGTTCGGGGTCGATATTGAATTTGGTTTCTTCATGTTGATCAACATCAACTGATTGTTGTTTGGAATCTTGCTGTTGAAATAAGTGATCGTAAACAGAATGAATCGATTCGACAGCATGACAACATGTTTTCAATGTATCTAAAGAAAATTTCAAACAAATAATGAATAATTTGATATTGACACAGACCTTGAATATTTTTTTTTAACATATCCACTGCAAAGGTCGGAAAAATCAATATGGTCAGAATAGCACCCAAACCAATACCAATAATAGTTTCTTCTATTCGCAGAAGAACATAATTTCCTTCTCGTAAAACATCTCCATACGTTTGACCTAAATTAATCAGGATTGGAGTTGTAGCAGCTACTGGGGCTAAAAAGTCCCAATGTGATACCAGTTTTAAATAACCAAACAGAAAAAGCCATGGGACAAGCATTACACATATTTTATATAAAACTTCACCGACTGCTAAGTAAATTGCGTAGGACCACATCGAACCTGCAATAGAAACGAGAATATTTTCTCATAGTAAGGATATTTAATTGACCTAGTAAAATTCCAATTAATCTCATTTTCATCGAGGTTAATGCACCACCTACTGTATCACCCTGGGTCGTACACAGACCGATCAATATCCATTGTCCATTAGCAAAGGTATTGGCTAGAGAAGGTACCATGACAAATATCGAACCAACACCAATGATGATCATACTTTTAATTGCTGAAGAAATTCTTGACCAATCAAGCTGAAATTTGAAATAATCTCCGAATCCTTTTTTTTGTTTCATGGTTTTTTTTGTTGTGTCTAATTCAGAATCGATTACCATTGTTTGTCTCAATATTCGTACAATAGCACCCAATTGAAAGAAGAAAAAAGCGTGCGAAAGATGATCTTCTGATTGAATCTTAGCACCTGTTTCAATCATTTCTTCAATATGATCAATGCGAACTTGTTTATAAATTGAATTCATAGAATCTAATGCTGCTTGGAGATTGTTCAGAGTATGGAGGAACACTTCTCGAGTAATCGATGAAGGTAAGATAAGAGCAGAAATAACCTTAGATTGACAAGTACTAAATTCCGCGAAGTTCGATTGAAGTTTTTCCACTAAATTCTTATGATATCTATTAAACAGGCACTGATTGGTCATCGATTGTAATGAACAAACATGAAACATCAATGAAATAACTAAATCTGCTTGTTCTTTAACGTTTAAATGAGTAATCGTTTTTTTTCGTCGACGACATATCCGTTGTAATAATCGAGACGGTTCTAGATGAATTTCATCAAGTAATCTTGTTCTCATTTGACTCATTGTTTTATGTAATCGTCGTTCAACAACTCTTGCTCGAGCTAAAGATACTTGCGCTTTGATTTCGTCTTCGCATAGGAATGCCTGCAAAACAAATTGGTGCATTTGATCAATATGTAATAAACAATAATTGACACGATTTTCGATATCAAATGTGGCAAAAAGAGGAAAAATGAGCATAGAAACAAGTACTGCCACGAACATGCCAATAATATAATTAGCAACGAGTTGAAAAGCAAGTTTCGAATCAACTTTTTCTTTATTGAAAATAGTCAGGAAAAAAAGTGCATTAAATAAAAGAGTTAATTTTCTTGTTTGAAACTAAAACAAAGAAAACATTAGAAAATACAAATTTCAAATAATCTCTATCTATCTATTTACCGTTTTACACATATATGAAATACAAAACGAAGAAGAGAGTATTAATACTATGCCAATTGGATAATTGTGATATACTACAACAAGATGTTGAATAATAAAAAGAATAATTGATAATGGAATAATCGCAAGTGAGACATGAAGTGCTGTAGATAATGTATGACCAAATGTTTCTTGAATACATATAACACCTGAATTTGGTATCATAAATTGATGTGATAAATGAGTCGATAATTGTGTACCATAGCCCACAAAAGTACAGATGAGAAATGTCGATACTAATCGACAAGCAAATTGTAAACGACGAGTAAACGCTGAATGGACATACAATGAGGACGATTCAACATGATGACAATTAAAATAAAACTTAACAACTGAACGACAAATACTTGATAAGGTCATATCTAGAGGATATAGAAGTCTGTTTAAAAATATGATTTATCACTGGTGGATAGTAAATACAAGGACGTATCAAAGCAAAATACGTTTAGTGAGAACACGTTTACAAATAGTGAAACATTTACGGCGATAGGATTGAATCAACGTAATTATTCGATTGTAAAAAAAAGAAAAATAGTGCGGACGGTTGTTATTTTGTTGTTCTTCTTCCCATGCAAAAAAATATGTAGAGGAAAGATAAAACCAGCCAAAACAAACATGTGACTATAGTGAATAGGTTTTTTTATTCTTTTCTTTTTTTTATTATGTGTTTTTACATATAATATTTGGAGTGTATGTATGCCTTAAAAACAACATCATGATGGAATTTGAGATACATCCTACTAGAAGATAATCGAAAAAAAAATCAGAATATGATCTTTTGAGCTATTTTCTGTCTGTGGATTTATGTTAACAATAGTAATTCTTTGTTGTGTTGATTGTTATGCTTGTAGCAAATCTGATCATACTGTTCAATTTAATAATGCTACAATCAACAACAATTTCATTTGAGAGCTATTACAAACATCAATTTAACCAAATGATCGATCAGTATACTTAGAGATTCCACAGTGACATATGAAGAACCATAATAGACTTCGTTTAGCAACCTTCAGAACATGATAGTTCTAGTATCAGAAGAGCGGTAAACTTTGAGTTCGCTACCACTATACAGTGCGATTGGTTATAAGAAAAATACGTCCATGGATCAATTGGTATAACAACCAGCTTAATTGATACATTATTTTTATATGAACTAATTTCGTCGTTGTTGTACATTCTACAGTATAAATGGAACTTTCATGGAGGATATTGAACTTGAGAAGTAAAATGAATCTTTTATTTATTTGACTAAATCTAATTATTCTACGTTCACTTTAGCTCTATCACGATTGCATTAGAACAATATTTTTTATTGATCTGTTTTCCCAATTAATTATCTATCATTATCGTACATATCTCTTGAGATTTTTCATCTATTTTTTATTATATCAATTGGTTATAGAAAAAAAATATTCGCGATGAATTGTACTAGCGCCCAGACACGGCAATCGGTATTCGGTAGTGATAACGCTAAGAATGATGCTGTTTCAAAATAGATGAAAAAACTTTTAATGAAAGCATCTAAACATAGAGTGAAAAAGACTTCTTCAACCGTTTACATCGCACGCATCTCTGGTAGAAACTATGCGGGAAAATCTTTCAACTAACATAATTTGTTTGATAAAAATAGCATTATCATTTTCGGTTCATTTAGATTTGATACATAAATGAAAGGAAATTGAGATGCATCTACGTCACTAACAGTTTTTGAACGAGTATTTGCTTGAGTTGTGATCTGACAGAGATATGAAATGTGATAGCTGGCGATGAATTACTGTTGAAGAAATGCATAATAATATTTGACACGCTGTCAGTTTGAATGATCTTCTGCAACAGTAATTCTATAATATAAGATTTTTTTGATATTTGCGCGTTTTCTCTTTTTTTCAAATAAATTTCTTTCTATATCAAATCAAATCTGAGTGAGTTGCTCTTATCTGACGATTCTCTTAAGGAAACAGTTTAGTATTGTAAGAATGTCTTCGACAGCATTATTGATCAATGATCTCCGACTGAAATTGCAGATTTCAATTAGTATATCATTTATTATCTTTGGTACTATGGGTAATCTTCTGAACATAATTCTTTTTCGAAAACGGACTCTATGGACATTATCACCTTGTGTTCCTTATCTATTTGCTGCTTCATTCAGTAACCTGTTCAATATTTATGCATTTATTCCGTTTCGAGTGTTAAGTGGTTTTCAAATCACTTCAGTAAACACTTTTCCAGTTCCTTGTAAATTACAAATCTATTTCTATTATATATCATTTGGTTTATCTACATGGCTCATGGTTGGTTGTTGTGCAGATCGATTCTTCTCTTCATCACTTGATGCACGAATTCGACGTTTTAGTAATATACGAATCACTAAAAGAATGATATTTCTTCTAACATTTCTAATTTGTGTTGGTTATTCGCAAGTTCTGTATTGTTACAACTCCAATCTGGTGGGCCAGCTTTCGGTATGTAACGTTATACCTAATTTTTGTACTGTAATTGATGTGATGTATTATTTGCTGGTTCAAACGGTCGGACCACCTATACTTATGATCACTTTTGGCATTGGAACATATCTTCACATAAAAGAGAGACGACGACTTTTGTTGCGATTACCAGTGAACACAGAATTAACTGGAAGAAACGCAGCGATAGCAACAAATGCTGAGAATCCTGAAAGAAATAGTGATAAACATATTTTGCCTATGTTAACTATTCAAGTGATTATATATTTGGTCTGTTCAATTCCTCTTCTTGCTACAAAAATCTATCAAATGATTCCTCTATCGATTGTGAAAAGTGATGTGCGTATCGCTGGCGAAAGTCTTTTTTTCAATTTATCAGTCTTATTTAGTCTTGGTGACAAGGTTTTTTCATTTTATATTTATACATTATCGAGTAAGTTTTATCGAAAAGAACTGATCAAGTTAGTCCGACAATGTCGTCCACATCGTCGTATAGCTGCACAAAATTAACTTCGATTTTTACACTTTGCACTTTTTACAAGATATATTTCTACACAATTAAAATATATCTCATCAAAAAGACTAAATACCAAAACCTAAAAATATCTTCGTGTTGTCTGTTATTTACTTTATTCCAGCTCAACTGTTTTATTTTGTGTCTCTTTGTCCTTGATGTTTGTCTGTATTAATTGTATTCAAAAAATAAATTGAAGATGGTATCACAAAAAATAGTGCAATCATTTTATTTCAGATTGTTGTATCTCCGAGGATGTGGATGTGCGTGTTAGAAGAATACAACATCCACACTCCTCGAGATGCGTGTAGCACACATCATTCCATAGTTGGCACAAGTGATAAATCGACTTGTTCTATCAAAAACTTACATCATCCGCTAACTTCCTACACAATAGCGACATGTATAAAATATCTAAACTTTTTTCCTTCAATTTCTTATAGTTTGACATATAAAAAAAACTTTTATAAGATAAATAATAGGATCAATCAGGTCCATTGCCTCAAGATATCATCTAGCTTATAAATCTTGCAACTGAGATCAAAAAAATTATTGATGAACAAAAATATGGATTCGGTAGTGGAACCTGTTGTTATTGTTATTAGTTTCTGAACTTTAACCTAGATATTTATTGGCTCATTCATAACAAACATTTGATCATAATCGGGCTTTGTCTCTCTCTCGTCGTGCATATAAATTCCTTTTCTTATTTTTTACAGTCATTATGGATAACCTCTATGGTTTTGATCAATTTAGAATAGGATTAACTGTATAATTAAAACTATACATCACATCAGTTTTTTCACGATACTGATAAATAGTAACTACTTCACAGAAAAATATGTTGTTTGTTAACCTTCAGAGTTTTAAGCGGTCGGAAGAAAAGAAAAAACGAGAATTTTTTTACTTTTTCTTTATCATCGTGGCCGCACAAGACCGATAGAGTTGTGTTGACAGAATAGAAAAACGTGCTTAAAATATTTCAAATCACTCATTATCAACAATACATTCATATTTCTTAATGGCAAGTATTAATTCAACTCATATTCAAAGAAATGCAGTCGAAAATCTTATACTTATCTGTTTGGATAAAAATATAAAAGAATATGAAAATTCTTTGAATCTATTGCAATTACATATTAATACAATTGAATTATATTCGAATCCAGAAGAATTTCGAACATTTATTCAACAAATCAAAGATGAAAAATTACTTGTAATTTTATCAGAAACTGTAGTTGAACAGGTTACTTCTGAAATAGACAATCATTCGCAAATTGACTCAGTATATATTTATTGTAATCAAAAAGAGTATCATGAAAATTGGTCGACAAATTCTCCTAAAATAAAAGGAGTTTATTCCAATCTTCAATCAATTCATGATGCACTTCGACGAGATGTACGTCGAATAAATAATGATTTAATATCTATTCAAATACTTACAAATAAAAAATCCAACGAATTAGAACAATCATTTACTTTTGCATTATTATTAAAAGAAATTTTAATTAATAGCGAATCTAATGAACAAATTAAACAAGAATTTATTAAATTTTCACGTTTTTATTATGAAAAAAATTCCAACGAATTAAATCTTATTGATGTTTTTCAAACAAATAATTATAATCAAATAAAACCAATTGAATGGTATACTCGTGAATGTTTTATTTCTTCCATGATACATCGAGCTTTACGATTATATGATATCGAAATTCTTTATAAATTAGCTTTTTTTATACGAGATTTACATAAACAAATAAATGATTCATATCTACAATCACCTGATCATCAAAAGTTAACTGTCTATTATGGATCAGGAATATCAAATGATCAATTTACAAAATTAAATATGAACATAAATGATATAATTTCGTTTAATACTTTTTTATTTACAACGATCGATAGAAAATCTTCATTAAATTTCGCGAAACAATCTGAAAATGATTTGCATTTAATACCTGTTCTATTTCAAATTGAAATCGATCGTTCAAAATCATCATCATCTCCATTTATTGCATTAGATGAATCAGATTATTATCATGATAGTGATCGACATGTTCTTTTTACATTAAATTCGATTTTTCGAATCACTCATATTGAACGTGGTGAAGATAAAATACAACAAATTAATTTAATTTTAATAGATGATAATGAAGATATATTAAAAAATCTTAAACATTCAATACAAAAACAATTGAATGGATTTTTTTCATTGGGTCAAATAATGATGGAAACTAATGATCTGATAAAAGCAAAAAGTATATTTGAAATATTACTTAAAAATACAACTGTTAGTAATCAAAAAGAACTCGTTTCTATTCATCGTAAACTTGGACTTATCGATCAAAGAATGAAAGATTGGGCAGGTGCACTTTTACATTATAAACAATGTCTTAATATACAACTGTCTTTTCTTCCATCAAATGATCGTTTTCTAGGGCCGAGTTATGCTGGTGTTGGCACAATTCTAATAAAATTATGTAATTATGATGAAGCTTTAGAGTATTATCAGCATCCTATTGATTGTGGTCGCAATACATCTCATGTAGATTCATCACTCGTTGCTACTTACTACATTGGTACTGGTCGAATCCTCCATATACAAGGCAAAAATTCTTAAGCACGCAAAAATTTTGAACTTGCGCTCACATTTGCACAAAAATCTCATACACTATTACCTGAAATTAATCATTACTTGACGATAATATCCTAGAATCTTTTATGAATATCTATGTTTCTCTATAAAAATAAAAATAAACTTTAAATTCGGAATCCAGTTATGCTTCCATATTTTATCTAATGATATTTGAAATTATAAAACGCACATCATGATAAATGCATAGTCACGATCGACATCTATAATTGAACTGAATATAAATCAGAAAAAAACGTATCCTGTCCATCATAAAGTCCCATTATTATCGACTGAGAATAAAAATAATTAATTTAATGTTCTGAAAGTTATACTTTTCCTACGTAGAACTTCTCACTGGTTTTTCATCTACGCAAATGAAAGTTTTATGCTTATTAGAAGTAAGAGTAAGAGGAAGACAAACAATCTATAAAGTATGAATCATAGAAATATTTTTATTGCCATATATCATATTACATTTAGTTTTTAATATCTAGACTTTTTTAAACTGATTTATATAGAGTAAAAATATTTGTAACGAATAATGTTCTTATGTCCAAATACAGAGAACTTGAAATGTCCTATTACGCTTGAATTATTTCATGATCCTGTTATTGCTCAAGATGGTCATACATACGAACGAGAAGCGATTGTAGCATGGCTTACACAAAATGGTACTAGTCCGAAGACTCGCGAGCCAATGACTATAGAGTCATTAAGACCAAATCATACTGTAAAACAATTTGTCGATGAATTTCAATCGACATCATTACAAAAACATTACCGATTCAAACTTGATGTTGATATTAGAAAAGCAAAAAGACAACCAATTTTTGAAGCACCTGGAAAGGTTATTTTTGAAGGTCAATGGATAGTAAAGTCTGGACCGCCAGTTGTTCTACTTAACATTGAAGGAGCTAAAGCAAGACAAGAAGCATCATATTATGTTCGACTTGGTAGCCATCCACATGTTGTACATACATATGGAATAGTTGAAAATGATAATAATCGACTGATACTTGCTCAAGAATATGCTACTGAAGGTAATCTTGGCAGACTACTAAAAGACGGAGACTTTCAACCATCACAAGCAGTTTTATTAGCAATATTTTTACAAATTATCGATGCAATGACATATCTTGCTGAGTATGATATTGTACATGGAGACTTAGCTTGTCGTAATGTACTTGTCTTTCGATTTAATAATTCTGATGCTACACAAAACTTAGTTAAATTAACAGATTTTGGTTTGACACGTGCTAGTACATTGTATACTGTTGTTGGTAGTACAGCATCAACAACTATGGCAGTAGTTCCTATAAGATACGCAGCACCTGAAATTCTTCAAAGGGGAGATACATCGAAATATTCCGAGAAATCAGATGTGTATTCAATGGGTGTTCTGATGTTTGAAGCTTGTTCACAAGGACAATTGCCCTATGAATCAATAGAAGATGAGAATGAAGTTCGACGACGTAAGATTAATGGCGAAATTTTAAGTCAACCTGAGAACTGTGACGATGCATTGTGGAATATAATTGTCGGCTGTTGGCATCAAGATCCAGAGGCACGTCCAACATTCAAAAAATTAAAAGAATTATTGTTGGAACTACAATCGCGACCAATATCCACAGTGTTGAGACAACCATCAACGGAGATTGTAGTTCAACCTCTACAGCAGTACGTATGTACAATATTCAAAGTTCATTTACATGAACATTTCATGTATCATTTAGATCATTCCATACAAATAGTAAAATGGTATGTTTGAATAAGAGACTTCCATATTTTTGTAACACATCCATAAATAACCCTGAGTTAAATCGAACAAAGTTAATAACTTTTACATTTGGTATATTGAATTTGTTTAGGCACATGTTATTCAAAATACAGTCGAAAATTATAAACATTCTCATGTACAAATGTTATCTCTTAATAAACAAAATTTTACTTCAAACACCAATTTACCTATTGATAACATTTCATCTAATACAAATTCTTCGACAACGGTAGTTGATTGTCAATTTTGCAAAACACATTTACATAAACTTGGTGAATTAATCCATGATCCGGTTAGTAATGATATATATTCATAGAAAGTAATTAACTCAAAAGTTACTTCTTGTTAATACAGACTGCTACAACATTAGATCTTCTTCTGGAAAATATTGGTGACAATGGAGTAGAACATTTATCTGATGTTTTACAGGAAAATAAAGTGATTATTTTCTTCATACATCAATTTAATGAAATTTCTTACATAGACATTACTAACACTCAATCTCAGTGGAAATACTATTGGAGAAAAAGGAGCTCGATATGTTGCGAAAGCTCTTCGCAAAAATCAAACACTAACAACTTTAATACTTTGTGATAATCAAATTGGGGACATAGGTGCTCAGCACATTGCTGAAGCAATAGAAAGCAATCCGGTAATAGTACAGACCAAGTTTTTCATCAAATGGCGCGTATTCTCTAGACACTTCAAAAAGATCTTCATGACCGAATTGCAAAATTGGGTTCACACTATACAAATATACTTGCTTCAGCTTTAAATATCAATCAAGTAAAAGAATTTTTCTTCATTCTTGTATTAAAGCATCATTTGATATAGACACTGGTAGAATTAGATCTTTCGAAGAATTCAGTTGGTGATGCCGGAGCACAGTCACTTGCGAAAGCGCTACAAAAGAATCGGGTAATACTCGTTTACTTATTATTTATTGATTTTACATCTATTTTCATCATCATATGATCTAGACTTTAAAAACGCTTATTCTCTGGACGAATAACATTGGTTCTACAGGGGCGCAGCATCTAGCTACAATGTTAAAAATGAATAAGGTATTGTTCCTTCGAATATTACATTTTTTCATATTCATATTCGGTTAAAATAGACATTACTAACATTATGTTTAAATAGCAACGCGATCGATGATACAGGAGCACAACATCTAATTGAAGCATTCAAGTTGAATAAGGTAATTTTGTTTCATTTCTACACCTCTTTGTTATAAATATTTACAATTATATCATACAGACATTATTAACATTAAATCTTTGTGATAATTTGATCAGTGATGAATGCTCCAAGTCTCTTAATAATTCATTAATCAATATTGAGGTAGTTCTTATTCCTTCTTCATAATATACATAATGCTTATGATTATTTTTAGAGTCCAAGATGTGTGCATTTTCAATGAGAGGTTCGAAATTACACAAAAAAAGTAATCAAGAATTACAGTTTCAAAATACAATAACTGATTTTAACATTGGTAGAATATAGATTAAATGTTTTTCAATAAAATAAAACTTTTATACATGTATGCATATCGTGTGAAAAATGTCTGATTATGATAATATCAGAAATAGTATATGCAATTAGTAAAAGAAATTCAGTTTTTTAAACCCTATCACCATTATTTATTTCAAAACTAAATTTATCAAAAAAAAAATATTATACTGAGATGTCTATAACATTCTGCTCATCAATCAGATCTCGAAAGAGGACATTAAATACTTGATTATAAAAATCCGGATGAGAAGTACATGCTCGATCACAATCAGGTGCAAAATTCACTTCTAATAATTTTGGTTGAATTTCATTATTATTATTTAATTCTAATATTAAATCCGCTGCATATAAAGCTCGTGATGATACACACGAACCAATACCAAGCGGTGGTTCTTCAATTGTTGCGCAATGAAAAAGTTCTCGGAACATTTGAAATATACGTTGTTCTATAACTGACCAAGTTTCACCGTTTTGAGCATGTTGTTCATTGTACATTGTTATAAATGTTTCACAATCCATTTGTCTTAAATGTGTATTTGCTCGATAATTCATAACAGTAAAATGTGTTTCATAATCATCGAGTTGTTTCATTGAAAATGGTTTATTGGCAATACGAAGCCAAAAAATTTTATGAACATATAATTTTAATGGCCGAATACTACGTAAAAGTAATATATAACGAACATCAAATTTTACTTCCCCACCTTCAATATCAGGTATTTTAAGTAAAACTGGTGTTGATACATATTTACAAGCAATTTTCGAGCCAGATTCTGGTAAACGAATAACCGTATCAATTAAATTCGTTACTGATACATCAATTGAACGTGTTAAATTGATTGGTTTAACTATCCAAGTATTATCTATTTTCTGATCTTCACGATACTATTAAATTCGAATAAAAAAAACATTGAATTTCTAATAAATGAATAAATATTTACTTGAAAATAAACAGCAAATTGTGGTAATTCATAAGTTAGAACAAATGTTGTTGGTAACCATGGTGGACTTTCATGTGAATCAATATATGGATCATTTTCAACTGCTGATGAACTAGAAGAATTTAGATTTTATTTAGAAAAAAAAACAAAGACATTTTAAAAAATAACAAGTGTTAGTATTAGTATAGATATATCTAAAGAAGTATATCTTCAAACTATTACTTCACCTCATATTTCATATTGTTTCAAAACTCAGATATAATTTCCTAAATGATTCAATCATATTTGATTAATATTATTTAAAACGAGCATGTCAAGTAATCCGGAAAAGAAATAAATCAGGGTGTGGGTGTAGATGAAGAGTATTCTATACCTATACATCCGCACCCAACCTCAAGTAAAATTGTTCCGGATTACTTGATATCACCTTTAAAACATACCTGTATAATGATTTCCATCTTCTTGAAACTAATGCCAACAATTCTTTATTTGTTATGATATTTTCAAATGGAAATTGATTAATTAATGTATTATGTAAAGTTTCAAAACGAAAATCTTGAATTTGTTTTTTAAGAAATATAATATCAGCTTGATCATAATTATCTATTAATTGATAATGTTGATCAGTTAAATATTGTTTAATCAGATCATGATCAGTGTAAACTTTTAAGATATGATCTTTATCAAATTTTGTTGGTTCAATTAGAATTGTCGATCTATCATAAAGATCATTTTTATGGCATTCTTCAAATATTTCTGTATTATTTTGAAGTCTTTTTGTAAATATTTCTGGACAATGTTCGATTGTTAAACTACGAAGAACTTTTTTACGATAATTAACACGTTGCCATGGTAATAATTTAATATTTCGATCCAATATACTACTGTTATCATAAACAAAATTTCGAAAGATTTCACTGTAAGGTTGTTCAATACGAACAATTGGATAAAGTAATGTAAACATTGTTTGAGTTGGTTCGAAAAAAAATGATGTACAATAAACATTAGCATTCGTATCTGAATGACGTATTGATGAACCTAATTCATCCATTATATACCTATCGATATGAAAAAAAGAATTAATATCAAATAATAAAACTCATTAGTAACAATTAAACGAATGTTTTAATTCTTTATTTCATTAAAACCTTGACAGATCTATTTTTTCCTCTACAATAAGTTATAATATCTTATGATAATTGAAAGAAAATGGAGTATGTCATTAATGATATATACTCTTCTGTCACTCAGGAATATACGACATTTGAAGAAGAGTGTTGCTAAAAATAATTATGTTATGTTCTCGATGAGTGTACCACTAGAGACTAGTGCTGTTACTATCATTTTCTCATGTCTTATTACTTCAATTAAATTCTTTCGAAAGTCTTATAATATTTTCAGTTTATATATTAAAAATTACGAATATTTCAGTAAAAATTCTAGTATTTTATAGTCGAATATATCTCACCCTTGATTTGATAAATTCTTTTTTAAACCTACCAATAAGGTTCTTGTGCTACTTCTGTATCTAATTGTGGATCAATTTGTGTTGATGTTAATGTATAAGTTTGATTAAATTTCCACATACGTTGTAATATAAGTTCAATTCCATCTTCTTTCAAATCAGAATTAATATTCATTAATGATGTCATACGTTCATATAAATTTGAAATCGAATATAAATCATTTCTTGCATCTTTTATTCTATATGTCCAAGCATGATCAATAAGAAATATTGCATTTTCATCTTTCTCAGGATCGAGTATAACATTTTTAAGTGTCGAAACATAATATCGACGTTCAGGATTATATGGTTTTTCTAATTCGTCATCATCATCAATTGGACATAATTGAAAATATGATCCACTATCAAATATTTCATTTTTCATTTTCTCATACAAACGTCTATAAAGATGTCTGGGTATATTATTAAAAATAAGTTGTAATTGATGTGTTTGAAGAAATTGATTATATTCATCATCATTATTATTATTCGCCATAATCTAGAAGAAATTTATTCTCACAAAAGAAAATGTAAAGGCAAGCGACAACAAATTCGTTTTCACATATGGAATAATTTTATAAAATAAAAGAAAAGAAAAAAAAAAGAAGCGGTGTATAGATTAACTGACATTCTGTCTAAATTCAATTAATTGAATATGATTAATTACAACAAAAGAACGAAGCAAAAGAAAAGAATCAAAAAAGTAAATCAGTAGTTGTTGACATTGAACTCCATTGAATATTATTTGGCATATCAAATGGTGTTTTTTGTTGTTTTATTAAGGAATGATTTGTAAAATTATTTGTTGAAGAAAAATAGTTATCATGAGAAAATATATCTGACGAATTGGAATATGATAAAGAATCATGTTGTGCACCTAATTCATATTGAACAAGATGTGTTGGACGAAATGTATGTAATGAACCTAAATAGAACAAAATCGATTAACTTACTATCGAATATTCAGTTTTTCTTAGTATTAGAATACACTTGGTTGTCTGCCTTCTTTTTTTAGCTCGTTCTTTTCTGTAGTAATTATTCTCGTTTCTCCATCTTTTTTTGATAATATCGGATGCTGTGTTTATGAAAAAAGACAGGATTAGCCTTGTCTCAGAATGTCATCGTTCTATATTTATATGAGATGTCAACAAGTTTACAACAGATAATAGAGAAAATTTATAATGAAACGTCGAAGGAAAAAAACTCATACCTTTTGGTTGTAATGGCTTTTCTGTGAGATCATTTGAATTAAATTTTGCATTTATAAGTGCCAATCGTTCAAGTTCATCATCAGTTTGATCATTTGCATTCTCATCAATAACATTTGTTTTTATACTATTATTATCATTATTAGTTGATGAATCATCATCATCATCATCGTTTTCATCCTCTGAACCCGTACCATTAAATTCAGCCATTGCTACAGTAAATGATGGATATTCATATGTATCAATATAATCAATAAATTGTACTCGAGCATCCTAAAATTGTATATATAAATATAGAAAATGAAATTCAGTTCGAATATTTCCTAATACCTTTTTTATTCCTGAAAAAATAGATGATTTGTTTAATTTTATATTGCCACCAATAATATCTGGAACAGGGAATAAATCAATTAATGGTAATATCGATGATGGTTCTTCTTTAATGATTGATGGCATTGGTAAAATTGTGGATGCTGGTAGAATTGATTTGATATTTTCATTATGTTTTGCTCCACCATAAAATGTCACTGCTTTAGTTGTACTAATGAATGATGATCGAGTAATATCATCGGATGGAATATCTTTTTTTTCTGAATGATGATGAACTGTTGGTTTTGTTAGAAAATTTAATGGCGGTGGTGGAGCTGCGTAAGAATGAGTTGAAGGTTTTTTCATATTTGTCGTAATCGAAATTTGTTCATTCGATCGTTCTGTTGATTTTTTATGATTAAATAAAGCTAAACGACTTTTAAAATCTATTGGTTGATAATCAGCTATATCTGACGATGAATTCGAAGTAAGTAATAGATTTGGACGATTATAATCCGAATTCATAATTGATATTTCATTCAATGGCATATCGAATTTTTTATTTTCATTCTGTAAATTCATTATTGATTGTTCATTAGAAATTTTATTTAATTCAATAAGAGATGGTATAGGTGGTGTATGTGATATAACAAGATCAGGATAAGATGTTGGTACAGGTAATAATGATGTTGTTGATGATGATACAATTGAAGTAGATATAGAAGCTGTTCGTCGTTGACGTATAGCCATATCATTTGGAGATATACTACGTGATCGACTTGGACTTAAAATTTCTCGATGAGAATAATTATTCACACGTGAACTCGTAGATATTGATCCATGAGATAACTTATCACTGTCAAATCGACTTAAACGGATTTGTCGTTCGAACATATTTTTCACAGTTGTTACCGTACCTATTTAAAATGAAAAGAGTTTACATGAATTAACTGATTTCTATCTATCGACCTATGAGATTGAATTGACTTCTCTAACGAGGGAACTTCTCGAGGTATCAAGAAGCTTTTGCGCTGAAATTTCTCCCAAAAGGATATATGCCCAAGTTGGTGTTTGCCTGGGATATCGACTACTTATTGTTTTTGTCTCATAGGGTCCTATCTGTGTGGTAAAATTAAAGTTTCGAATATATACCTGAAACTTTGTTCACACTAAAACCTCAATCAAACAAGCTTGCTCATAAAGTTTCAGAAATGTTAAATCAATTATCTCCGAAATATGAATCCGTCAAAATATTCATGTAAAACCTAATATTCATAAGAAAGCGTCTTTATGCTAATATACTTGTATCTCTGAGACAGTCTTTAAGAAACTTCTGAAACTTTGTGAAAAAGCTTGTCTGATTGAGGTCTTAGCGTGGACAAAATTTCAGGCCTAAATTCGAAACTTTGATTTTACCACACAGATAGGACCCTATAGGACAAATACAATAAATAGTCGATATCTCAGGTAAACACCAACTTAGGCACATATCCTTTTAGGCTTGTCCTACTCTATGTATCCCCTACTTGTGGGAGAAATTTCAACTCAAAAGCTTCTTGATACTTCGGGAAGTTCCCTCGTAAGACTTGGAGAAATTACGATATGGACGAAAGTATTATCTGATGAAAAAATATTCTCTCAAAAGTAAAGCGTAATAAACTATTATTATAACATACCAGGTTTTGGTACTTCATCAACGTTTAATTCTGTATATGAATGTCTATGTATTGAGATATTTTCATCATTTGATTTAGTTGTATCAACAATAATAACATCTTGTTTTGGTTGTAAATATGATGTAAATTGTTCTACAATAGTATTATTTAATAAACTATCTTGGCTACGTGATAAACGTGTTGTATGTTTTAATGGTGTTGTTGTTATTGAATTTGTTGGAATTAAACTTTCATTCGATAATAAACGTGATGCTGATTTTGATAATGGATGACGTATCAATGTTGAATTATTATTTAATAATGATTCATTTACTTTATCGAGTAAACGTTGTTTCATTGAATTAACAACACCAAATGGTACATGATCATTATTATGATTGTCACCATATAATTTTGATTTGGTACGATTTATTAAAGACATATGTTTTGTTGATTGATTAAAATTTTCATTAATAGAATTTGTAGAAAAATATTGTGAATGAGTATTTGTCGATGATTGAAATGATGGCACAAGGACGGACATATTTGAAAAAAATTTATAAAATAATAAATTACATAATCTGAAGAAGAAAAACAAGTACTATATATCAATATCATTAATTAATTCAATATTTTTCTTATGCTAATATCATATTTATATGCTTGAAATTCAAGGTGAAATTCAAAACGAAACAAAAAACCATCGTATGTTATATTCTCCTTCTAAACTTAACAAATACACTATACTCAAACCTTACATTCATCATCATTATCATTGAAAATATCCGAGTAAACAGTTTCGAACCCGTTAAATATGTACATACCTTCACTCATCAAAAATTATATCGCATACATTATACTTTTTTTTCTCATTGATAAAGTTCATTATAACATTGTTCTCTCGATGTTGATCATACTTATAGTAAAAAGGCATGTTACATGAGGATGTTATTAATAGAAATAATGTACTTCCACTTGACTAGCAATTGTAAGATGAAAAGAAAAAAAAAAGTGTGTATATCTCTACTGATATTATTAAACTTTGGTCATGTCAATCAATAGTCTCGAATCAAAATGTACAGTACGAGACAAAAAGACATGTACGTGTATATATTCATTTATTTGTCTATGTGCCTTTCGGTTTTTTTGTAGTATAGACTGTCGTTAAACAAATATTCAATTCGGAACAAGTTGTCTTAATTTCTCTTGTTCTCTCTCTCTCTCTCTCGTTTGTATGTGTGTGCAATCGGTAAAATGATTTACTCTACCAATTACACTTATGTTCTCTCGTTTAATAAAAATCAACGAATGTTTTATGAATAGAACATACGGATTAATAATAAATTCTTGTAACTTAAATTAGATGAAACCTATTTTTTAAAATAACGATGTGTTTACTATAGAAATGAAATTGTCAATAAGATGACCTTATATAAATCACTACAAAATATATTATTTGTATGATTTTTTTCAGATTCACAATGAAGTCTCTCATAAATCGATTTGAATTAAAATAACTGTTCAGTATTCTTATGTAAGAACACGAATTATTTTTTTTGGATATTTTATCTTCCCTATATTTAAGTAAATCTAAAAGAGAATTTACTTTAATTATAAGGAATAAAAACACTTTAGTTTAATAAATATTCTTTCTAACATGCTATATTTCATGAATAATAAATATCTCTAGAAAAGTTCTTATATATCATCATCCTTTGTCTATTCCAAGGAAAAGATAATCACAATCGGAAATTGGTATATAACTAAATAATAATAAAACAAGAAAAAAATCTATTAAATAAAATGATAGTTTATTATATGTGAATAATACAATAAAATAAATCATCGAAAAATTCCTACATCGATGATTAATTCTGACAGAAAGAGAGAGAGCGAAAAAAAAAGGAAAACGTATACATATCTACAAAGGCAAAAAACAAAACTATATATAGTCATTTGCGTTGTCGTTATTTGATAATGAAATTATTTACAAAAAGGAAATCACTGTGTAATATATAATTAAATATACAAGGGAAAGAAGAAAAAGAAAATTATTAATCGTTTTAGATATTATTTGTAAGATAAGGTCTACATTATTTAACTTGTTCGTTATTTTGCATCGCCACTTGTTAAACGTTTTCGACCTTTTTGTGGAATATTTGATGTTATATCCTGATTAAGAATTTTTTTCTCTTCTAATTGCTTAATAAGACTTTGTAATTGTTCATAGACATTCGGAACATCTAATTGTATATCATCCATATCATCGAATAAACGTAACATGCCTGTTTTTAATTGATCATAGGTAATAATTGCGGTTTTTGTTAATGTTTCAAGTAAAGCAATTGTTAATTGTTGGGCACTAAAAAAATAGATAATGAACTTGTAAACAATCATTCGATATTAATAAATTTACTAACCGTTCAGTATTTTTTTCTAAACAAAAATCCATAAGTTCATAAATAAATTCATGAAAAAAATGTGGAACATTTAATTCTTTTAAACAACGAATTGTTTCATCACCATCGCCACTATCATAATATTCGTGAATAATAAAATTCATTCTATCAGCTAATTCTCTTACTGGTCGAAAACCACCTGAAAAAAAACATTTTGATTTTTAAATATTTTTTTAGTTTTTATACATACTCGACCGTGCACCCCATATATTATTAAGAAAATAAAATTCTCCCATTGTTACAAGTATTTCAGCTTTATCAAGAGCAGCTTGCATTTTTGCACATTTTACATTGCCTTTATAACGAGCAAAATATTTGCCATCGGTATTATCAATACATTTATCGGCAATTGATCGAGCAATAAATTTACCTTTATGGAAGAAAAATAAGATATAAAAGATAAGAAATCTTTCTTTTTACCAATATCGGTTGAACATTCAGGATTATCAAGTGATAAGTCGCTTAATGTTGTTAACAACGTATTAAAACAATTAATATAATCGTTTATACGAAAAATAATGCCATTAAGATCATGTAAAAGACGTGATATTAATTCTTTATGAACATTTGACTTTTCTAATGCTACTGTAATTATATATGCAAGTAATTCTCCATCACCATGTTTTCGTAAATCAAATTTACGTAATGATTGTGCTACATCGTTAGCATCACCATTAACAAAATACTCATCGATTATTGGTTTAATATCTTTATCAAAATTTTCAATTAATTTTAATTGTTCTAATTGCACAGTTAATGCTGTTTCAGCAAGATATTTTTCTTTCGCATTATTATATTGTAAATCAGCAAGATCATCTTCATCAAAATCTTCAGCATATTCATCAAGTAATTCTGAGCCAATTGAACCCCAAGTAAAATTTCCGCCTCCGCCACCTTTTTTCGCTAAACCACGACCTTTTCCTATGAAATAGAAAATTAATAAAATCAAAGTATGATTGAATTCAAATAAACCTTGTCGTGATTTACGATCATTTTTTTTGCTAAGTTTAGCATTTTTTTGTAATAGATGTTTATGTGGATCTGAAGGTGAACCAGAAAATTGGGCAGTCGAATTTGATCCTGAATTTTGACGAATATAAATATGTTTACGTTCAGATGATGATGAAGTAGCATCAGGACTACTACTAATTTTTTTTTCATTTTCTTGTGATGAACTTAATTGAGCAATAAGTGCATCAACTTCAGCTTTTTCTGCGGATGTTGTTGTCATATTAGTCTGAATGTAAATATCTGAAGTTCGTTGTTATTTTTAGAAAATGTCACCTGGATAAAATTTTTCTTTTGCTCTAGATCTTTGTTTAATACGCAATACGACAAGAGAAAAAATAAACAAATAAATAAATAGAAATCATTTGTTCGTTCTCTTATTATTGATGATTTTATAGCGAATGAAAAAATTAAAATTAAATAAATCATACAAATAAATTCGGTTATATAAATGCGTACAGATAAAAGAAATATTTCGAACTTTTTCTATATATAATTTCTATATGTCAATAGATGTCACTGTTGAATAGAGAAATAGCAGATAGTAAATTTTTAACATAAAGTTCATTTATACATTCAAAAATTCACAAATACAAAATTTTAGATGTGATCGTATTCGACATTTGTAATGAGAGAACTAACCTGTAGTTCCATATAATATTAGTTACATGTTCATCTAATATTCCGATAGATAATCTTTATGGGATTAAAATAAAATCTAAGTCCTCTATGGATTTATCTTATGTGTGTGTGTGTGATACTAATGATTTCACTTAGTAAGTAGCGATTTATTCTCAAGGTTATAAAAGTCAAGGAGAACTTAACGAAATGCAATTATCATCAATTTCAACACATCGCTCATTTAATTTATTTGTTGACTTACAAAAGAAGCATAATTATTTTGCTCGTAGACTGTCTTTGTTTTACTTGTATAATATTTTATTAAAATCCCTTACATTTCATCGAAGTTAAATATTCTAAGCAGAGCATGAGACGTAGATAGATAATTGTGATCATAATCATGACCTGACTACAAGAAGAAGAAAAACGAGATTTCAGAAGTCGATATTCTCATGGTATGAACTTATAAGTAAGAACCCGACTAAAGATGATGTCCTTTTTGTAAATCTGACGGCTGAAATCATCGTCCTAAACTGTACTTAACTCATTCTTCAGGGTATTATAGTTTCTGTTTTTCCTCCTTACTTGCTTATGTGCATTTTTGATCATATTTTTCATTATCGTGATTCATTTTATAGCATAGATAGATCTGGTTTATATCATAGAATCACGCCTTTTATCTTTCGGAAGAGTATTGAATAATACAATAGTTATTTTTTCCAATAATTCGTTCAAGTTGATACTTTATTTAATAATGATAGTACTCGTTTTCTTAAACAACTAGATTGACATCATAGTTTCAATCACGAATGAACAATATGTAGACAAGTCAAAAAGAAAAGAAAAATTAGATTTTACAAAACATAGAAGTAGAAGAAGAAAAAAAAATGGGTATGTCCGAAATGAAAATTTAAATGACTTTATATCGACCACGATTAACAAGTTGCAATGCTGGATTTTGCTAAACGAAAAAAAGAAAAACAAAGAAAATTAATAAAAATAAAATAAAATTTAAATTAACTTTACCATTTTCATCATTTCTTCTTTAATTAATCGAGCAACTTCTGTTTTTGCTAATTGAAGACCACGTTCAGTTAAAGATTCAATTTGTAAGAAGAGTTTTCTATCACCCGCTGCAACTTCTTTATTATTTGGATAATACTGACCACGTACAGACATGCCAACATCAGCATAATCACATATATGTGCCAATGTCTCCTATATTAATAAATACAATCAAAATTTCATAAATGAATAGATTTTACTTACTTTACTAGTAACTTTCCATCTTGCATTTTGTGGAAAATCATTGATTTCTAATTCTTCTTCAAATACTTTGAATGCATCTTCTGTAACTTGAGCTTCTTCTTCTGGTTTTTGATAATTTAATTTTTGATTTAATTCACCAGCTCGTTGTTGAGCGACAATACGACTCTAAAACAAAGAAAAATAATATAAAATATATTTATTTTCAAATAAAATCTTCAAAATACTTACAGAAACAGCTTTATTTAATGTACCACCGCGTTGAAACAATGAAGTTGCCGCTTCTTGTATAGAATCTCGAGTTTCAGATTTGGTGAATGTAAGTCTAAAATAATAAATATATATTGTTTACATTCTCCACGTTCGATACGAGTAATTGAAATATTCTAATAAAAAATATTACTTACCGAGCTGCTGCTTTTTTAGCTAATTCTAGTTTTGATGCTGCATCATTTGCAGCAGCTGAATTGGCACCTTCATCATTTTGTGCAGTTGATGCGTTTGGTAAAACTTGTCCATCGCCTTTAGCTTTAATTGATTTTTTAGCCTTAAATAATGAATTAATTTGTTGATCGATCTAATAAAATAAAATTATAATATTTTATATAGTATAAAATTATAATATCTATAACATACATCTTGGCTTTCTTCATCTTCATCCGAATCTCCTAAACCCATAACAACTTTTTGCATTTTCTTTTGTTCATCTTTTAATTGTGTTTCTGAAGTATCAAATTTATATCCATGGCCACTAAAACCACCACCACTTTTAACTTTCTTTCCCATAGCTTCCATTTTTTTAACATAATTTTGCCATAATAATTCCAATTCTTCTGGTATAGGTGTACCAGACGCTTCTAATGCTCGTCTTACATCACCAGCATATTTTTCTTGTTCAGGTGTCAAAAATGTATACGCATATCCAACATTTCCTGCACGACCCGTTCGTCCACATCGATGTACATAATCTTCATAATGATTAGGACAATCATAATTAACAACAAGAATTAAATCTTTTACATCTAAACCTCGTGAAGCAACAGATGTTGCAATCATTAATGGCATATCACCACTTTTAAAATCTACCATTGTTGAATCTCGATCATATTGATCAATTCCACCATGTAATGACATGCATGGATATGAATTTCTTAATAAATTTTTCATTAATTCATCACAATGTTCTTGTTTATCAACAAAAACAATAACAGAACCTAGTGGTTGATATATACCAAGTAATTCAAGTAATTTTAAATATTTTTGGTCATCATCAAGAATAATCTTAAAGAAATAAATAATAAATTTGTTTCGTATATTTTTAAAATTCTAATTTTAGAAAATACTTACAACATTTTGTACAACATCTTTACAAACAATACTTCGACCACCAACAGTAACTTCAATAGGTTTATGAAGAAATTTTCGTGCTAATGCTTCCATTTGTTTAGGAAATGTCGCAGAAAACATAACTGTTTGACGATCAGGTCGAACACTTTCAAGAATTTTTGCTACCTAAAATAAAAAGAAAATATCATGATTTAATAAATCTCTTATTAAATATGGAAGAAGTAAAATTATTAAACTATCTTTGATCATTTTATAGTGAAGATATGCTTTTTTCCAGTGATAAAACGACAGATTTTCTTTCAAAAAAATAGTACGAATTCAAAATATTTCATTCATTCTTATGACTAAACAATTATGATATCAAATATATATACCGTTTTACCTATATATATATATATACCTATATGGTGACCGCTCATTTCGGTAAACGACAGTTCGTCCGCTACTATTCGTCCGGCACGATTCGGCCTAATTCTCTCTTGTCCCATTACATTTCGTCCTCTTGCTATGTCCGAAATTTTTGAGGGTGTGGGTGTGGAGGAGGGGGATATGTATCTACTTTATTCACATCCACCCCACACGCACCCTAAATTTTAATTCATATTATCGTGATAAAAAATGAATACTTAACTTTTGGAACGAGATGTAAGAGGACGAAATGTAATGTGACACGAGATAATTAGGACGAATTGTAAAGAGACAAAATGAAAGCGGACAAAAAACATTTAGGACAAAAAAAAGGCCGAAATGTGGGGGTACCGAATAAAATACTGTCAATATATTCCGCAATATCTGTCATAAAACTATGTATAAATCACTCGATATGATGTTTTGAAAAAAATCTATTGTTAATAATATATTGTCTTACTTGTGGTTCAAAACCCATATCAAACATTCGATCTGCTTCATCCACAACAACATATGTAACTCGTCGAACATTTGTTACTTTACCTAAAAATAATAACGTACATTAAAATCTTACATAATTATATTAAATTCTTACCGCCATTAGCAGCAAGCATATCAATCATTCGTCCAGGTGTACATACAATAATTTCTGCACCACGTTTAAGTTCAGCCTAAAAACAAAATAAACTCTTAAAGAATTAAATATTCAATATAAGACAATACATACAATTTGTTCTGATATTCCTGTTCCACCATAAACTGCTACACAACGAATATTAAATAATTTCCCAAATTTTTTACATTCCTTTGTTGTTTGTAATGCTAATTCTCGTGTTGGTGTCATAATAAGAACTAAACATAAAACATTCTTATATATATTTATATATATACATTTAAATTTATTTATACCTATTGGACCATCATCACCTTCTAATGGTGGTTGATCTTTGATATGACGAAAGATTGGTAGAACAAATGCTAATGTTTTTCCACTTCCTGTTTTAGCAATACCAATCATATTTCTACCTGAAAGAATAATTGGTAATGCTTGAGCTTGAATAGCTGTAGGTTTTTCATAATCAGCTCTACAAAAAGAAAAAAATCATTATTTAAAACAAGAATATTAAAATTTCATTCGATTTTTTTACTTTCTTAAAATTTGTAAAATTCTATCAGATGTTATACATTGTGACCAAGTTTTTATTGGTCTCGGACATTTTTTACCATTTATTTTAATACCATCAAGTTCCTCTCGATAAGCAGCAACTTCTAAAAAAAAAGAATTATTAAATATAAATAAAAAACGAATGTTTTATCTTATTCAAAATATTTACCTAGATCAGTCATACTAGCTATTTCCGGTACAACTGTATAGAAATCTTTACGAAATGGACGATAATATATTTTTTCATGATTAGTTGTAATCATTTCCTTAATAAACAAATATATATATATACAGTTTTTCTTAAATTCTTAACTTACTGCTTTCGATTTTTTTGTACTCATAGCAAATATATCATCGAGCTCTTCAGTTTGTTTTGCCGTATCTTCTTCTGATGAATATTCTAAACCATCAATATCTTGTTCCATAATAAGACCTTTGTCTTTTGCACGTTTTGCTACACCACTACGAACACTAACACGTGATGCACCTGCATCAGTATCCATTGATACAGTTTTAACTGTTGTCGAATTAGTATGATGACCATTTATTGGTGTTTCGATACCATTGTTTGATGGATTAGCTGAAACAGCAGATGATTCAACTGGCTATAATAAAGAAAAACGTTTTAGTTATCATATATATTTAACTTATAGTCTACTGTCATGTACTTACTTCATTTTTAACTGTTTTTGTAACGATTTTAATAACTGATGCTTTAGCATTATTTGTTGATTGTTCTTGTTTAACTATAGTTGTTGTTGTTGGATTATTTCCATTTATTTTTTTTGATATAATACCAGTATTATTAGTTCCACGAAAACTTTTAACTTCTTTTGCAATATCTTCCATAAATTTATCTAAAGGGTCGTCTTCATCATCATCAGCTTCTGCTGCTACTTTTTCACTATGAGCAACAGCGGCTGATGCAAGTGCAGCTACTTCTGCAGCACGTTCCATAGCTTCTCGGTGTTTATCTGTTTGTAAAGCCATTGCTGTTTCACGTGCTGAAGCAATTTCACGTTTTAGATCAGATGATGATATAACAGCATTTTGTAAATCTTCTTCTTCTTCATCACCTTCGTCTTCTAGTGACCAAGCTTTACCCTAGAAATAATATGAATAAAAATAAAAATTGAACTTTTTTTTTCTTACTTTTGCAGCTTGTGCAATTGATTGTTGCATAGCTTTATCTATGCCAAGCATTGTTCGACGTTCTGCACGCCATTGTTCGATACGATTTTTACGTTTTTGCATTTCATCTTCAAGACGTCGTTGTTCAGCTTCCTATACAAGATATTGAAATTAAGAAATTTACTATTTAAAATTCTTACTTTATCAAGTGGTTCGTTAGAAATTACTGTCACAGGTGTTGTTTGACTGGTAGAAGTTTGAGATACTTTACGTTCTTTATCAGTTGTAGATGAATTTTCTCGAGCCGGAGATTTTGATCGATGAGATTTACTACTCTTTTTTGAATGTCTAATAATATAGAATAATATATATAGAATACAGAATTATTCAAATTTAATTACTTTTTTGATGATTTTCCATCGCGTTTACGCTTATCTCGACTAGATGAACGTCGCGAACGTTTTTTATCTCGTTCACTAGTTGATCGATGTGACGAACGATGTGCTGGAGATGCATCGGATGATGATGAACTCGATGATCGTTTTCTGAATAAAAAATTACAAGAATTAGAAATTGATTTCAAGAAAAAATAATTATAAATAATGTGTACAAATAGAAAACAAAAAAAAAACAAGATAAAAAAAAGATTTATTGTTTATTTTTCATTGGTATTGGATTTGTAGACTGGATATTTAAAACAATGAAGATTCATTTACTAAATTTTGGTCATGTTGAATGTGTAGGCATTTTAATTGATCTATAAAGAAAAAGAATTTAATAACATTGTGTCGTAACTTATTCTGAATTCAAAATCTCTTATTTTAACTTCCTAAAGTACATTGTAGTATCGAAGGTATATAGATCATCTACAAAATACGAATTATATATCCTGTCCTTAGATCGTTGGATCATAACATGCAATAATTTAAAATATATACTCGAATACCATTTATTAAATCTATTAATGACGCTCTTCACTCATGATTTAGAATATAAAAATACTCAAACTATTGACTAATAAGATCTTACTAGATTATTTTCCTGACCTCTTAAGTTTGATGTTAACTATATTACTGCAAATCATCTTAAATGGTAGATTCTTTATCTGAATTTAGTATAAGATCTTCATAACTAAGATTTCATCTAATATCTTTTATTTTAAAGCTGTATATTATTAGTGGTAATTTATTATTATCGATCTAGATATGCTCTAATTATTCCTGTAGACATGTCAATCTTTTATGAGAAAGTACTATTTCAAAATTCTCGCATAATAACTTTGTATATAAAATTTCGAAATTATAAGTCTCAATTGCATGCATCTAATCGAATATATCACTGAAAAAATTTAAGATTTATTCTTACCAGTATTAATTGATGATCAGATTTGCTAGTCGATTGTGTAACAATATTCAGCATAATAGTACGATGTTGTTGCATGATGACGATCGTCTAAAATAAGAATGGGGCGCGCTTCTCATTCCGAATATATATAGTAAAAAAAATGAAAACACAGTTTATATAAAAAAGAATGATTGGAAAGACAAAACGGACTTTTACAGAAAAAGAAAACAAACTTTAGAAGAAATAATAGGATAAATATAGGAAAAATGCTTACCGAGTTGGCATTATTTAATTGAAATCAACGATGCGATCTAGAAAAATTGATAATTAGTATTTGAAATGTGTGTACACTGTTGTAATAATTATTGAAGATGAAGATAAATAAATGTCGAATGAGTGTAGAAGATGAAGACGAGAAATTTCTTTCGCAACAAAAATGGATGGTTATTTTACTAAATATATTCAATCAATTATTCTTATGACTGATAGATGACGCTATTGTACTATGCAAATTGTCTAAGCGAGAATGTTAGGTCTACAATGTATCTATCATCTTGAGGGTGGGTGTGTCTTTTCTCCATTCTCCTTCACACCTTCAAGATAGGAAAAAGAAGACGAATGTTGTTAGAGTGCTCTCTAACAGAACGAACATATAATCGTAAAATGTTTTTCGATGCCTCTTCGTTCTATTCATTACAGTTTCAGGTGAGAGTCTTTTCTACGCTTGTTTCATGACGTTGTAGGAGAACGAGCAGCACAAATATTGAAGTAAAATGTGCACATGTGTAATTTTGTTGATCAACAAACACCTCTACGTCTTCGTCAGTATGTGTTTTTGTTTATTACAGAAGTATGAATCGAGATGCATTAATTGCAATTGCAATTGTTCCCTTGAATCGATATAAAACTGACTTATATCTTTCGTGTTTATTGAACTCTGTGTACGATTGTAAGTGATTCGTTTGATAAAAAGAAAACTTTTCTGGAAGTATTTAGTTTTTCGCACTAATTTCAAGTATGTTACTAGGTCTGGATAATGGTGTCATCTTTATGATATAAATAACAGACGATAAGGCCTTATCTATTCCCTTCATAATCTTATTTTTGGTCAATTACAGTATTTACGAGTCAGTACTTTCCATTTAACAACCACTATCGTAACACATTCTCCCGACAAAAAAAATAATTTTGTTTTCATGATTGATTTTCAATTGATAAGTGTGATTCTAGATATTCGATTAATCTTTACAGAAAAAACGTAACTACCAATTATGACTACATTACCATCTGACGTACCAATCGCATCGATTCTTTCTACTAATGAGAAATCAATACCTCATTCAAATACTGATGATACGGTATCGAAGGCTAATCTATCAAATGATATTGAACAGAGTAGTGAAAAACTCGTTAATAGTCGTCCACTCGAAGATAATCTACGTCAATTAGATATTAATGATATAGATAATGAGCAGTTGCATTCGGTTCCGTTATCATCTGATAATGACCGACAATCAACGTTACAAAATGAACAATCAGTTGAATCTCAACCATCCATTTTATCGGATCAGATAAAGTATGTGTCTTGAATACCATTTGATAAACATGATAAAGTGCTTTTTTTATTCTTCAGTGTCTCTGAGCCAGTTTTATCTAAACCATCGACATCCGATGGCAACACCACTGTCTCATACGGAGTTGATTGGAGCGATCATGCTCATTCTACATCCCACTGTTGGTTTCCATTAACACCCGATGACGTAGCGACTATTCAGTCATGTACCTACGCTGCTTGTACAAATCCGAAATCAATATATGAGTCGACACTTCTACGCTGTGCATCATGTGCTCTTATCATACATTCACATCATTTAGATGATTTACAGGCAACTAAAGCTGATTTTCTTCCGCATTGTCGACCGTCATTTGTTGATGAAAATGATGATTCATTGAAATATGATCAACATTTTTGGTCCGATGTGTCTATACTTCCAAAACCATGCTTACAATGTCAACGTGCATCAGTAGCTACGACTCTATTTGGTAGTGATGATAGTCCACTTTCGTCTCTATCTGCTTTGAATATTCCCGGCCAGCTGACATCGTTTATGAATTCTGTACCAGGAAAACTCATTCCACGAATGTGGGAATCTTCTAATGGTCTCGTTTGTTTATGGTGTTCTGCAGGTTATCATCGATCGTGTTGGGAATATCTATCTGCTCAAGAAGACAAAATACAATGTGACTATGGAATATTTCGGTAGGTTTTTTTATCTTAATTGCTAATTGCTAATTTAAATTAATACTTTAATTTTTTTCAATAGAAATATAATTGTTAGACCACAGTGGCTCACTCGGTCTAACGAATCTTCAACAGGTTTTCGAGCTCGATTGCCTTCGGATTTGATCAATAAAAGTTCCGAATCGAACTCATTTCCATTTACACCTGTTATTGTCTTTATTAATAAACGTTCTGGTGGACAAGTTGGCGAGAAACTATATCGAAAACTTTTAGGAAAACTTAATCCACGTCAAGTATTTCTTCTAGAAAACAACGATACTATTAATAATGCTCTCGACATCTACTCTTCCCTGCCAAATACTCGTATTTGTGTTTTTGGTGGTGATGGTACTGTCGGTTGGGTTCTTAGCCGTCTAGCTGACATTTATCCATCGAGTAATCAGCCACCAGTAAGCATTTTTCCTCTTGGAACAGGCAATGATCTTTCACGTGTATTAGGCTGGGGTGAAGAATACGATTCAAAACGTCTTTATAATACGCTCTTAAAAGTTCCTGATGCTCAGACAGCTGTACTCGATCGTTGGCAAGTTCAGCTCGAAGAATTTGATGTATCTACATTGATTTCGACCGAACCAAAATCGTCCGAAAATAATTTTGATATCAGAAAAAAAATTGAAACATTATTCAAGCAACCACCAACATTCGTTCGTGAAACTACTCGAGATGCTTATCAAAACAATAACAAATTACCAAACACACGCTTTATCAATTATATGAGTTTCGGCTTAGATGCCGCTATTACTCTAGATTTTCATCATGAACGTACACTGAATCCAGCCAAGTTTTCATCACCATTGAATAATAAACTTATGTATTTAAACGAGAGTTGCAAATATATAGAAGATTTCGCTCGAGCAGATATGTGGAATCTAGGTTCCTATATACATTTGACATGCGATGGTTGTGATCTGACTGATGCCATACGTGATTGTCATACGCTTGTTATACTTAATATTCCAGGTTATGCATCCGGAACAAATCCATGGGGAAAATCGTCATCTACAAGTTTACTTTCTTGCTTCGAAGTCTCGACTGATCTTTTCGATCGACAAGATTTTGGTGATCGAAAAATCGAAGTTGTTGGATTGACTACTAAACATATGGCTGCAATACATGTTGGCTTTCGTGGTATTCGAATCGCTCAATGTAATCAATTACGTGTCGAACTTTGCTGTCCAATGACTGCACAAATGGATGGTGAACCATTCTATCTTCCGAAACCAGTAGCTGTTAATATCAGCCATGCTGGGCAAGTACTTGTGTTAAATAATGAGAACAAATAAATGACAATGAGATTATGTATCCACACCCTAACTCGCACTCACCCACCCACATCCTCAAGATCAAACTTTTGATGAACATATCGTTTAAAAATTAATAAATCAGTTAATATTGATTTAACTACTTAATTTTAAAAGAAAATTTATTTTCCCCATCACTATACGTTAAAAGACATGCTTAAACATTCAAAACAATACATAATCTTTTGTTTTTGCGGAATAAACATGAGGAATAACTATGAATACAATAAAACAACAAGAATATATAAGAAATATAAGCGAAGTATTTTTTGCTATAAAGAATCCATTATGTTTTTAATGCATCACTGTATATATGTATATATAATAATAAAAAGGTATCGATTATGTTGACTAGGAGAGAAATTTAGAATACAATTATTAAGCCGAACCCAAATGCCAAACAGTAAGATAAGATGTATTTCTATTAGTATTCTCTGTTGTCGTATTTCCAAGACGAAAATCAATGTATCCATCTCCACCGCTTACAACAAGAATATCACCAAAAGGTGAAGATGATGATATCGATGTTAAAGCTTCAGAAGGTTTCTCATCATTGAGAAGTATTTCAGACGGTGCTTGTCCAGGTACAGCGACAAAAAATTTGACAGCATCTCGAAAGCCATGGAATGATAATTGAGCATTATTCATACTACAATATGGAATATAATTTGAAGATGATGCTTGATCAGAAACACGAACAACTGAACCAGGCTTTGTCGATGCTGAAGTAGAAGATGACATAATACCTGTAAAGAATATATAAATGTTGATTTTTATTCACAGAAATTGAATATGAATAGACTATTATCTTTTAGGTAATTAATGATTAATTATAGTAAAGTACAATATTACTTACTGTCTGCTAAAGGAACTGATATAATAATTCCATTTCCCGTACCAATCCATAGACGACGACAAGCAATTGTCAAAGCACTTATATGAACAAAATAAAGACCCTTTTTTTCTGTCACTATAAACATAAAAAAAAAATAATTAATTATTAAATTAAAATCTTTAAAAACTAACCAATCATTTTTTCAACATATGGTTGTATATCAACATCTTGTAAATGTTCAAATGTTTGCGCATGATATAATTGTAAAGTACTAGATAAACGAACAGATAACCAAACACCAACACCAGACCAAGTCATATGTTGAACAGAATGTTCGGAACGAGAATGAACTTCAAATTGTTTCTAAAGAAATATATTACAATAAAATTCTTTTAACGATAATGAAAGATTAACTCTACTTGAATTTCTAATGTTTGAACTTTAATAACATAAACACGATTAGCAACACCACACCAGATAGATTCTTCAACATTGATAGCACATCGAACTGATTCTCGGCTTTTACCAGTTACAATTAAATGAAGATTATTTAAATTCCATGTACCATCTTAAAATAAATAGAATAAGAAAAAAATATTATTTTTTAAAGAATAAATTTACCTATATTACGATGAAATACAATGATTCTTTCATTCGCTAATGCAACAAAAACACGACCACGAATATGCCTAATGGAATTAAAAAATCTAGAAATCAAACTTTATTATGCAACTTCTCCTTACACAATGCTATAAATTGCATGACGAAGCCAAACTTTTCCAATAGCTATACGATGTTCATTCACACTCGAATGAATATATAACCTAAATAATTTTTTAATTATAGAACAAAATATACAGTATTCTTTCTACTAACCATCCATCACTTGAACCTAACCAAACGGTTGGATATTTTGTTTTATTTTCATTAGCATCTACAAAATATAATATATAAAAAGTTTTTATAGTGATGCTTCAGAAGTCATAGAATCACGGATGCGTATACAAGATGTTTTTAAAAATCATGTCCTATTGAAAATTTTTGAGATTGAAATCCGGTCTATATAAATCTATTGAAATAATAGGTTATTACTAGGAATCGACAAGTTCAACTTTAGTTTCAATCTGAGAATCTATTCTCGAAATCCTTATTTTTTCGTTTATATCTTACTTTGATTCAATACATCTGGTGGTACTTGATCCAATGTTTCACTAACATTCGGACGACCTACACATATACGAAATTAATATTCTATTTAAATATCAAAAAAACAAATTTTTACTTCCACCAGTAGCAAGTGAAGCTGCTGTACAAGCTATTACTTTCACATCTAAAATATTCATAATTCTTCTTTCAATAAAACTCAAGTTAAATATTACCACTCGTGGATACAGTTTCATTCAATTTCGAATCATCAATTGGTGGATAATCTGTAGTTGATGCACCTAGATAAATAGTTTTTTTGGTTAAATAATACGTAACAGAAACATTTTCTTTTTACCTGGAACGCTACCCATGGCATAAATAATAGCATTTCCTATCGGAAATGTATCAATCACTTTTTCTGCTTTATTTGAATCAATAATTGTAATTATAGCTTTATCATTCAATTTTGAAGCTAACCAAATAATTGATGATAATTTTAGACATTGTTCATCAATCATTTGATGATAGGATTCAATTAATTGTTTATTTAATTGATCAACGGATGTTTCATTAGTATCAAATGATAATCCACTAAGATCAATACCAACAGCACACCAAATCTTTTGAATTAAAGAATAGAAATAAAACAAAAACAAAATAATTTGTATCTTTACTTGTGTTGAATCATTAGTATTAAATACTGGTCGACAATAGACTGGTATAGGAACATTAACTTGAGTTTTACCATCAACATCAGCTACTTTCAATTGATTTTTTGATGATATACTCCAACCATATGCTTGAAAACGATTGTTATCATCACTATTACGACGTACTGATGATGATTGCTTCAAAATCATAGAGCTAGATTATAAAAATATTTATTTAACTCTTATAAATTGTCTATTTTTTCATACTTGTCTTCTGTCGATTGTTCTGATGAGAGATTCTCATTTGTACTGACTGAAGGTGTAATTTGATCATTTGTTGAACTACGTTTTATAGAACTTGTTGTAGACGATGATGCTGCTGATAGATTAGCTGTTGTAGTAGTAGTGGGAAGCGAACGTTTTGGTGAGGCTTCTTTAGTATTACTACCGAATAGGCCCGAAAAACTAAAAGAGAACAACGAAAAAAAATTAATTAATCTGTATCTACTAGAAGTAATTCGGTTAGTTATATTAGTTATTATTCTTACAACTCAGAAATTTGTGTTGTACCCTCCCTCAAATCACTCTGTATATCGACAACAGGTACGCCCAAAATATTTGAGGGCACAATCGTTGTGGGTAGCCAGTCATCACTAAACATACGCCACAAAGATTTTGATGTATCTGTAGTAGATACATCAGTAGATACAGTAGTAGGAACTGTTTTCGGTGGAGGTGAAGATTTTTCTTGTACGGTTTGTTGTTGATGATGATGATGTGTATTTGTTTGTATACCTTTGCTTATCATTAACGGTTTCTATAAGGAAAATAATATGTAATTATATTTATTCCGTTATGTATTTAGTTATGTCATGCATGGATTAGTAGATATGCAACTCTAATTAAAACGAAAAATGTACCGTACAGATAGATAGAATGCGAAATCATTTTATATGAATACAATAGAATAGACAACATTTATATATTTCACTCACAGTTTTCTAAACATTGGTCTATGTTTGTTTTGTGTATGATCAAAAAAACTATCATTAGTTGTATTAGCAGTTGTTGATGATGATTGTTCATGTTTCGATGCACGTAAAGCATCTTGTCGATGCATAGCTTCTTCAAGTTCAAATAAACGTTGTTTGTATTGATTACGTTCAAGAAGAACACGTTGCATTTCAACTCGAGTAAAACGCTTTCTATCTGCCGTCGGTACATTTTCCTGAGAAAATGCAATGAAATGGAAATTCAAAACATGCATTATTCAAATAGAAAATCAAAAGCATTAATCAAACGATTAGAAAAATCAAATTCTTGTTTTTTTTGTATAAACTTACATATTAGTAGTCTACATCATATTTACATGCAATAAATTTGTGTAAGTTTTCAATTCACTTACCTCTTCTTCTTTTTTCTTTTCGATTTCTTCGCGTATCTTTCGAAGTTCTTCTTCAACTTCTAAATTTCTAAAATGAAAAATTTAATACAGATTTTTTTTGGCGTGAGAATTATAAAGATTTCAAACCGTGAATGTAATCGAGTTTTAACGGTTTGTAATGATTCAATTTCTTCTCGAAGAATTTCTTGTTCACTAGATTATAGAAGTAATATTATTTTTCTTAAGAATAATTTGGTTTTTTACTTTGATAATTCTTCAATTTTGACTAATAGATCATCTTTAAGAACATTCAATGCATTTCTAATAAAAATGAATTAAAAAAACTTTCTTAATGATTTTAAATTTTATATACTTCGTTTCCAAAAGTTCATTATTTTCTTTGATCAGATTGGATACTTCCTTTGTCATACCTAGAATTATGGAAAAAAAGATTAGATATTTGTTTTTGTAGAAAATATATGATTATAAAAGCAAAGAAAAGCTCATATTCCAAATGTACAATATAAAATCTCACCATAAAAACTTTGTCGCACTAGACAAGAAGGAAAATATTTCGATAGAAATAAATTATCAAACTAATCATCTTTCTTTTTTCTTACCAAATAAATCTGCTGAAGCATCAACATCTGATATATCAATATTATCATTTTGTGTTTCTTTGTCAAAAGCTTCCAAATTCTTTCTATAAATAATCAAATATTTATTTCAAAACAACAGTATTCTTAACTTACGTATCATCTATTGATATATCATCATCATCATCACTAATTGCAGGGTCTAATTAAAAGAAAATAATATTAAAAAAATACTAAATATATTTCAATCATAGCTAGTGAAAAAGAAGAACCATAGTATAATTATAGATATATATATACGGATCACCTGTGATATTATTTGTGTGTTCAAAATCATCTTCAGTTACGAAAAACTGTTGTTCATCAAATGGTTTTGATAGAAGATTGAGACTTCGTAATTTCGTGAATATTCCTAGGAAGCATGCAACATAGACATACAATTAAATACAACACAAAAGCAAAGCAACAGCGAACGTATCAATTTTTTTTTTGGTTTAGTTAAATTCATAACAAAAAAACGTTTTGGTTATTTTCTATAGATCTCATGCAATAGTTGCTATGAAAAAGCATGAGTCATTTTTTTTTAAAATACTATCATGAACTTTTCTTACCACGTTTATAGTTATCAAAATAGGAATTATCATAGTCTAGATAAAATAATTGAAATCTTTTTTTTTCTGTTACTCAACACAAAACAGATGTACAAGATTAGACAACAATAATACATATATGTGTGTTTTTTTAAGAATATCTGTCGAACCTGATGTAAATTCTTTCAAAGATATTTCATCAATCATTGTCATCTTTGCCAATTTAGCTGAAAAAATACCGATTTATATTATATAAATCATGTAGTGAGATGGTTTAGAGTTTTTAGTTTTTTTTTACAGATAAAATGACTTACCTGTATTTACAGCAGCATCATTACTTGCCATGGATTCTGTTTGAGTATGTATACCATCCGTAGTTTCAGGTATCGAATGAAATTCCATGCCAGAAAGAGATTTTTTAAGTGATCTTCAATAAAAACAAAAAAACAAAAAATGATTGTTTTATCAATAAATTAAAACTTACGTGAAGGATACATCAGAAGAATTTGGAGGTACTTCTTCAATTGATGGTTGATTAGATAGAGTTTGTTTATCATCAGATGAGTATGATGTCGATGGTAATTGAAGATTTCCACTGTTAAATAGAGAAAGATTAAAAATATCGGTTTCTAACTTCAATGGATAATCAAATTAACTATGCCTAGCAGATATTTTTCTAATCATAATACATTTCCGATGTCTCATTTTCATATCCTATATAATGTCATAGAATAAATAATAAAAGTTTTTGATGACATATTTCGATAAGACTATACGTAAAAAGAACAGGTCACGACTCCTGATATCTTAATCTTGATAAAATAAAATGTCATTGCTATGTTAATAAATATGACATCGGAAAATTATTCTTACACGATAAAAACATTACACAAAATCAATTTATCTTAGTATATATATGAACATTACAAATAATTAAACTAACCGAGAAGAAGACTTTGTAGCCAGTTGATCTAATCGATCAGTTCCATATAAAATTTTTGTTCTTTCCATATAATCACAATGTGCTTTGAATAGCTATATATATGCATATATGAGAAAATCGATGATAATATTATTAATAATTAAAAATGAATAATTTACTTCACAATATCGATCATGTAAACGTTTATATTCTTGTTTCATTTCATTTTCTTTATCTTCTAATCTTCCAACATGATCTGATGCATTTCGTGCTTTAATTTCGAAAATTTTGACAATCGATTCTAGACTTTGTAATTTTTCTTCATTCTCTCGTTTTATTTCTTCTAGATGATCTTCAACTTGAAGATAACGCTTTACAAGAAAGAAAAAAATATATAGATAGTTTCTTTTATTCAAAAAATTAAAAATTACTTGTTGATATTCTTTATGAAAACTTTTTTCACGTTCATATTGTTGAAATAACTGCTCATTTTGTTCTTTTAATGATTCCGTTTCAAGTTTACTCACTTCACGGTCATGTAACGCAGTATCCAGTGACTCTACAAAAAAAAAAAATTTTTTATAGAAAAAAAAAGAGCAACAATATTATTATATACCTAATGTTGAAATCATTACTGGCATTAAATCTTTAACACTATTTTCACCAAAATTTTTTATAATACGTTCTAATTCTTTATAAACATTACTAGCTAATGTTGTTACTGTTTCGGATAATGGTGTTTGACTATCTTCACTAATTGTTGATGATATCAATTCATGTTCATTTAAATCCGAATGTACCATTGTATCTCGATTTGTTGAGAATAATATTGATTTTGTTGACATATATAAATATATATATATTAGGTTTTTTATAATAAAATGAAAAAGAGATATTGATCACTTCATGCCCATATATATGAACACGTAAACAAACGTGTAACTCAATTTACGCTTGTATTTGATCAATCCATCTTCTATGACCTCATCATACGATGAATCATCATGGATGTTAATCGGAAGTTTTCATTGGTTACATGACTGACAGATGCAATCAATCGAAGTATGAATTTAATGTATTTGCATTCTATTACGATTACAATATAGTAATCATTTATGCAAATATATAAATAGACAAAAATAAATCAATAGAATATTCTGGTGATGAATATAGATACATAGAAAAGAAAGGTGTCGTCATATGATTGTATTTTATCTCTCGAAAATCAAATGATAAGTATATAAGAATTCATTTTAAAGAAAATTAAATAGTTCTATATTATTACAATTAGAACATTTATTTTGAAGTATAATCTATTTTATTTTTCTAACCTTGACAAAAAATATCATAATTGATAGTTAATACAAATAAAAGGGCTAATAGATCAGTGGCGGATCTAGGATTTTGAAAGAGAGGGGCGATTCTTGAGTAGGGCGGGGGTGCGATTTCGGCTAAAAACTATTTCTGGCCCAATTGCAGTAATGTGAACCTATTTTTGCTGTAAAAAGTCAAAAAAATTTCTGAAGACGGGTGACCGCCCACCCCTAAATTCGCCACTATAATAGATTGCTATGCAATACCTGTATTCTATTTTATTAGTAAACTTTTCTGATGAAACATGCTTCGAAATCAATAACTTTTCATCAAATCTTCGATATTAATCAAACAAAATCGATCACAATATATAATTTTTATTTTTCATTTCTGTCACAAGTTCAAAATACAAATCACATTTTAGTTATTTATATGTTATATATTTCAGACAATTGTATTTAATCCCTTAGTTTTTTTTTGAAATATGATTAAATTCTGAAATATGACGCCATCTTTATTATATAAAACGCTTTAAGCTTAACGTATATCTTAACCAATCATATATGTAATTACAAATGAATCATATGTCTTAATAGATGGTGCTATGACTTTTTTTCAAAAATTATTTGATTCGATTCAATTAATGACCGTTCAGATTTAAATTAAAACTAACAAAAACAAAATCTGTTACGTATACATAGTCAAAAAGCGAATCTTTCATGTGTTTAGAAGAAATTTTCATTGAATTAATAGGTGTACTATTGGAAAACAATAGATATTGCATCAGAAAAAGAAAATAATACACAGTTGAATCACATGATTTGACCTTTATATTTTATCTAATTGATTTCTATTTATATGTTTTTTGTTTATTTTATAATAGATCTATATCAACTATAAGATGAATTATCAATGACGACAGAAATAAAAGTGAAACAGTGTTTAAAAAAATTTGGTTTCGAAAAATTTCGATCTGATATACAAGAAAAAGCCATTCTATCAATTATTAATGGTTTGTTTGGTTTTTTAATACTATAAAATCATATATGTATACATTTTTATAGGAAAAAGTGATGTTTTTATCTCGTTTCCGACTGGTGCTGGAAAGTATGTAATATATTTTCATAGGTATTAAACTTATTTCTTTGTGTGTATTAGATCATTATGTTATCAATTTCCTGCTGTATACAAAGAAGATGGTCTTTCACTTGTAATATCTCCATTACTTGCTCTTATTCAAGATCAAGTCAAAGCATTAAATGATAAACATATTGTTGCACGTACACTTAATTCAACATTAAGTCAACAAGAAAAAAAAATTGTACTTGGAGATTTAATGCAACGACAACCAACAACTCGACTATTGTATATAACACCAGAACTTGCAGCTACGCAAAGTAAATAAAATCCAAAGTTCTATTCAAATAATTCATTTAACCTCTTTTTTCTTAAGGTTTTCTTTCGATTATAAAAAAAGTTCATCAACGTGAATTGATTAATTATCTTATTATTGATGAAGGTTTGAATATCTTTCTTTGAAAAGAGAAAAGAAATTTCTAAGATTTATATTTATAGCTCATTGTGTTAGTCAATGGGGTCATGATTATCGACCTGATTATTTAAAATTAGGTACATTACATGATGAATTAAATAATGTTCCATGTATTGCTTTAACTGCTACAGCATCTCAACAAGTGATAGATGATATTTATAGGTTTGATTGATTTATCTATTTAATAATCATTTATTTATTTATCTAAATCTAGTTCATTACATTTAAAACAACCAATACTTGAATTTAAATCATCTGTAATTCGTCCAAATCTTTTTTATGATGTTCAATTCAAAGAATTACTTGATGATCCTTTTGTAAATCTATGTGACTTTATAGAAAAAACTAAACAAATAACTACTGATGTATATTCATCTTAATATCTAGACAAAAAAAAAACATTTATTTTGTTTTCAATAGATACATAAACTAAGTGGAATAATTTATTGTCGTACACGTGATACATGTTCGGATTTAGCTGATAAATTAACTCAAACAGGACAATTTGGTTCAGTTAAAGCATATCATGCTGGTTTTACAAATGAAAAACGAGCACAAATTCAAAATGAATGGATGAATGGTATAACAAGTATTATTTGTGCTACTATTAGTTTTGGAATGGGAATTGATAAAGCGGATGTGAGGTAAAGAATGGATATTTATTAGAAAATCAAAGATTAAATTGAGATTTTTTAGATTTGTTGTGCATTGGGATTTATCAAAATCTATATCTGGTTATTATCAAGAATCTGGTCGAGCTGGACGTGATGGAAAACGATCGAATTGTCGAATGTATTATTCAGCACGTGAACGTGATACACAATTATTTCTTATTAATCAAGAAATAAATGATAAAGTAAAATAAAATTATTTAATTAAATGAAATATTTTTGAATCTTTAGAGAATTTCTGATGAACAAAAAACATCAATGCTGAATGGTTTCAATGCTCTTGTTCAATATTGTGAAGAAGCCAAGTATGTATTAGATAAATAAATAGAAAAATATGAAAATATTTTTTAAGATGTCGACATTTGGTTATTTGTAATTATTTTGGTGATATGTTAATAAAACCATGCGAAACTATGTGTGATGTATGTACACAACGTGAACTTGTTGCAACTAGTTTACAAAATTTGAAAGTAAATTAAAATTTCTTTTTTAAAATGAAATTGCTTAATCTGTATTATAGAAAAAGAAAATCGATGAAACAAATAATCGACGTTCAACAAATCGTATTATGCATCGAAATGAAGGTAGCGAAGAACAGTATGAAGGTGGTCGAGCGGCTAATCGACGTGATGAACGTGAATATCGTAATACGGATGATGATTTTCGACGAGATGATCTAGTTGAAACAGCTAAAATAGCTACAAAACTTGTACATGATGAACTTAAACGACGTGCAGCGGTACTATAAAAAAAAACGTTTTTTCGATAAATAGTGATTATTTTGTTCTAGGCAATGGAAAATAAACCAAAAATTTGGACAGCTGTAAGTGCTAATTGTCCTTTAATTGATCCAAGTAATCGTAAAATTCCAAATGTAACTATTCAACTTCGTGAACATGTCTGTCGAAAATTACAAGAAGCATTAATTGAAAATATTGAAAAACATTTTTCACATGATGAAACACAACGACTCACAAAGTAATTTAATAGTTTTCTATATATATATATGAAAAAATAAATAAATCATATCTATTTAGTGAAACAACATGTCTTGATAAAGCTGTATGGCTTGAACATCAAGTATTTGAAGCAACAAAAAGTGAACCGATGTATAAAATGAAATATATGTCGAAAGTAAATAATAAAATTCTGAATTTTGTTTTTGTTTCAGAAAACTTAAATGAATTGTTTTTTAGTGTAATGAAATTACAAAAGCTACTAAAAATAATGCTAGTTTGTATATAATTGATACTATGCCAGTAAATTCTACCAACGAATTATTATTATCTCCGCCAACATCTTCAAAACGTAAACTATCTGAAACTGAAACTATTGAACCCGAACGAAAGATTCTCAAAGAAAACGGACATACAGATCACGAACAACAACAACCACTATCAGTACACGAGGAAAAATCTAATCAACCATCATTATCACCAATAAATACAGAAAATAAATCACCGCATCAAAAACGTTCATCATCAGCTTCATCAACTTCTTCATCTTCATCTTCATCATCTTCTTCTTCATCATCCTCATCGTCTTCGTCAAGTTCATCAAGTAGTTCATCATCGAATAAAATATCTTCACCAAAACAACTAAGAACTAATAATAATAATAAATTACCTCAACCTCCAACAATAAAACAGTCAAATGGTGGAACAAAAAAACTTCATCATTCATTAACAAATACAAAATCTCAATCACCAAATCATCGTCATCGTCGAAATTCTTTACCTGTACCATCGAATTCATCTGATGTTAAAGCTAAACAAGCTCGTGGTACATTAAAAACTTGTTTAGAATCAATGTCGAATTTTTTACATCAAAAATTAAATGAACAATCATCTGCTCATTTAACAAGTCAATCGCCCAATGAAGAACCAATGATATTACAAGGTTCATCATCATCACCCTCATTCCTTAATGATCAAGAACAACAAGTATTAAATACGAATCGTCAACGTAAAACAAGTTTAGATGAACGTATTCGTTCATTATTAAATAATAATCCTAATCAAGATAAAACACCTACTGATGAAATTAAAGAAGTATCAACTACTAAGATGCGTAAATCATTACCATTACCACCTGGAACATTTGATTCTAATAAAGAACATAAACATTCATCATCAAAAAAACGTAGTCATTCTTTAGGTAAAGTAAAATCAACAAGTAAAAAACAATCGACATCATCATCATCATCGAATCATAAACGATTATCATCTACTACTGCTTCAAGTAGTAATCGAAAATCATCATCATCATCATCGTCGAAAAAAAGTCGAGATAGCAAAGTAAATCATTTATTTTGAAGAAGAAAAAAAACGAACTGTTTCTCATTTTATTTTATTTAGCTTCCTGTGAATATTAAAACAATATCAGAAGTTGTTGTTGATGTACTCAATCCATTCTATCAAGCAAATAGATTTTCATCTAAAGTATGATCTATTAATTTATTTTTATCGATAAAAACAATTTTTGTTTATAGGAATTATTTAAAACACTAGCAAAACGTATTTCACAACATTTAGCAACTAAAGAATTTTCAAATATTGATGCAGGTATATGAAAAGAAGAAGAAAAAAAAATAGAATTGATTAACAATTTCTTTTTGTTATGTTTAAGTACGTATGGATGCAAAATCATTAATTAAACCAGCATTTCGTCATAAGCATTCAAAAATCTTAACACATGCAGATTTAGATCGAATTGTACCAAGTTAATATTTCAAGACGGCCTCTCGGCAAGTGGGCAAAACAAACCAACCAACATAAAGAGAGTCTTATACACAAGAGAATGTGTCCGTCTAGTCATATGTGAACACCTACTGCCGGTGGCTCTCATTCGTGTCATTCATCTTCGTTTTTTTTTCTTTTTGTCTCTTTGATTTGTTATTATCTCTCTTTCATTTTTTTTTGGTTTTTTTTCACATGCATTTCGGAATAATTGTTTGTTAACTTCCATTAGGTAGTACAAACATAATCTTATTCCGAATTGCTTTTAATAAAAACAAAAGTACTATAGTCTTGAAAGAAAAAAAAAAATAAAACTAGCGCCGAGTTTTTACTTTTAAATGCATTCAATACCGACGAGTTTTAACAGTATACATACACCGATCTATGCGTGTATCTTCTAGATTGGCGACATATGTCTTCGACAAAACTTTAGATTATTAAATTTGTGGATATGTATATATATATATATATTAGAACATATGGCATACAATCTGAACATCTTAGGTTAGTGTTATGATGAATATTTAATGATATTGGAAACAATATGATCAATGGGTTACTACTGAATACTTGGAATATTTTAGATTGAACAATTTTTATGAGGTGCAGACAATTCAAACTTCAAGTGAAATGTTTTCTTCTTACGTTTTTTACATATGGCTTGATAGAGCGTGGGTTACTATGTGCTGCTGCCATCGGAAATTTATGTTCATATTAGATCGGATAGCATGAGAATAAATAAAAATAATGTTTTTCATATTTTTTTACTTAAAAAGAGTGACTAAGAAAGCTGAATATTAAATCTTTGGGATCAGTAACTCACGCTCTATCAAGCAATGTTAATAAAAATTAAAAGTAATAATAATAAACCTTTTTTTCTATAATATCATTCACTTAAGATTGATTTATTTGAATATAAATATCATTGAATCATTTTGTATCATACAGCACAGAAGCCCTAAAATATAGGCAAAAGTAAAATGTCGATCAATGAGGTGCAGTCAGAAATTTTATAGTTAGAGAGAGAAAGTATTTTTGATTATCATCAACTCAAACAGCTTAATGTTGAGAGTTTTTGCACTTGAAGATAAAGCGTTTACCTTAACTGGCTTTTGTTGCTTCATGTAGTTTCTGTTTATCATCGTCTAGAGCGCATTCAATCATATGACGCATATAACATTCTTCGTAAATATATGAACCGCAAAATCCACAGCTTATAACAGCTTCACCAACGCCATAACATTCAGGACAAATCGTCATTCTTAAGTTACATGTGAATATGCACTTAGAAGGGATTTGATTTATTGATGAAATAACCTACTGAGAGATTGTCTTTCCTTATATGAAAGATAAAAGCAGAGGCGGTAACTTTTTTTTTGTAAACAAATAACTTATATAGTTTGTATTACTCACATTCTAAACACTTGTTGTTGTCTGTATAGTCAAACATCACGCACCAATATTCTTAATAAATCATTTTAATTATCTCATGATTAAGAAACGTGAGGGTGTGGATGTGGATATTTAACACATCTTGCATTCACATTCATGTAATCGAACAATGAGTATTATTGTTGATTTCATCGAAACTCAATATGATTTGAGATCACATAACTGATTATACTATAGCTGATTCTTCAATTTAACCCTTCATTTGTAATGCAGAATGGCAGTTATCTCTAATCGATTACGATAGATCGGAGGATGATATATTGAATGGAATCTCTGATTTGTACACAATTCATATGATATATATATCTGTGATCGATATTCACACCTTTATAATGCTTAAAAAAAGGAAATGAAAAAAATAATTCGAAAGAGGTCATGATAAAGTATACCATTGGTTGAGTATACATCCCAAAGAAAACATCAATCGGCAATGTCAATAAATTGTGAGAATTATTATCATATGCTTTGTCTTCACATTCACAATGTATCTTGAAAGTGAAAAGACAGTATAAAAGAATTTTTCGGTGGTATCACAACAATAAAATGTCGTTATTATCTCAATTTGAAGAAATATTGCCTAATGAAATATTCTTAATGATATTTGAATATTTGAATGCTCACGATCTGTTTCAATCATTGTATAATCTAAATAAAAGATTCAAGAATGTAATTCATTCAATGCCATTATATCACATCGATTTAAATAATATTCAACGAAAAGCAACATTGGATTATTATCAAAATCTAGTGATACCAACAATTCAATGTCGAAACAATTTGACAATGTTTACTTTAGATATCGATGATGATTTATGTTCATGTATTCGTATTCTGGATCAAGTAAAACTAGAAAATGTAACATCATTAAAAATCAAAAATTTAAATAAAGATAATGCTATTTATTTACTATCTCTATTACCATCGTTGACACAACTAGTCTTCTTACGTATTCAATCAAAAGTCGATTTAGATTTAAACCAATTTTCACAATTCATCACCATGCCTTCATTAAAACAATTTGAATTATTATTTTTAAATTATTATTATCCATCATATTCAACAATTGAACTACCAAATATAGTATCAAATATTGAATATTTATGTGTATATCGATATTTTCGAATCCAACAATTCAAAGAATTACTTCGATATTTACCAAAACTAAAGAAACTATTTATCTACATTAGATCTCATGTGTATTCAACATCTATTGATAACAATAATAATAATCTTCATCAATTGGTACCGAATTTAAACGATTTACAATTATATGTACAACTGTTAGGTAATGAATGAAATTGTCTTGTTCTAAAAAAGATTTCCTATCTGCACTGTTTAGTTGCGAAACAGTTCTTCATAGATAGCGCATTCAACTTATTTATACTCATAGTTAGCAAAGATCGTTGACAAATGAAATTTTTCCCTGTTATGAAATCTCATGTTCGTAACATGTCAACTTTATTAAGCGTTCTTAAACGATAAACTTCAGATCTTCTTCACTCGATATTTCTAATTATTTGTTGTTTATATTAAAAGAATTTGATCAATTACAACTTTTGCTACGACCGTTATCTCATCAATTAAAACGTCTCGCAATATCATGTTGGTCTTATGAGTATGCCGATGGTCAAAAATGGGAAATATTCTTAAAATCATTTTCAGTATTAAAACATTTTCAGCTGGATATCACGTTATCTGAGTTACCAGTCCATCCAATTAACATCAAAGAAATATTATCATCATTTCAAACAAAGTTTTTCCTGGATGCTCGTTGGTATTTTGCAATTGACTATAATCCAAATGTTGACATCAAATTTGTTTTTTATTCGTTACCATGGCCCATTAAATATTTTCATACAATTCTGTATGATATAGAAACGTTGTCCACAAAAACAACAATACCAGATCAGTCCTATCCGACTAGTAATGTTCAACATCTATATATCCAATTATATGATCAAAGATCGAATGCAATAACTGGACAACGTTATTATTCGAATGCTGAATCCTTAATTTTAATTAATCGTTTCTCAGATCATAGTAATGAGCGTTCATTGCAAATGATTAATGATTTATCTCATACAATTGATTTAACACGGATAAAATCTTTAAAACTTATCGATTTCGATTCTCTGCAACCATCATTTCTAATTCCATTCATGAATTATTTCCATAATTTATTCGAATTAAAACTTCCTTGCAATATCTATCTACAGCATCAAAGTTTAATATCAACGATATCAACTATCCACACATTAGTACTTTATTATGATTCCAATCATATCACTAAAGATGAACTATGGACTGGTCTGTCACAATTATCATTGAATATAAAACATTTCAAATGTGTAACCAAGCACCCAAGTAAAATATGGAATGTGTTACTTATTTTACATCTATACAAATTCTTCAATATAAAAAGATTATTATTGAAAATTGATGACACAGCAGAAGCACAGATATTTACGGATACATTTATTCACATGGTCGATGAACTTATGTTGAAAACGTCTTCAGATGACCAATATAATTTTCTGTATAAAATAAATGATCACAAACAATTGATTATGTGGTTTTAAAAACTTCTTAATTTCCATTTCTGTTGTTGATTTCTTTGTATTTGTTTATTCAAGATAATAAATCGATGATAATAATAAGGGTAAAAATTGAGTTCTTCTGAGTGTAGAGAAAAGGAATGCATGCATTTTACATCTAATAAATTCGTGATGGATACAACAGATTAAATATTCAGACTTGATACTTGATGTGAGAGGTGTGGTTGTGAGAGAAGAAGAGTCCTTAACACTTACACCCTCAAGAACTTTATTGCTGAAATATATTTTGATAAAATAAACTTCACTCGTTTCTCTCATTGATAAAATATGTAAACCACTATGAATTTATATAGTATTGATTCGTTGAAAAGATCACACTGAATTTGATATCAAATTAACATCATTTATGTCAGTGAAAAGTTTTTGTATAGTAACAAAACAACCTGTTATAGTGTGATATGTCTAAGAATCTATCCAATGAAAATGCATCATCGTTATAACAAAAGAAGAAAGAAAATAATTTCGTTTTAACGTAAACAATGTCATATCAAAAACGAAAATGTCGATATTTCGTTTAGCTACAATCAATGTACATTCTTTTCGTAAGCCTGAAAATCGTCAAAGTAATATCGATGAATTAGTATCGATTCTTAAACCATTAAATTTACATTGTATTGCTGTTGAAGAAATACAAAACAATGATAAATGGAAGAAATTTTCTCAAGATATGTCATTACCTTATTCAATCTATGGACCATGGAATGGAAATGCTGCTGGGAATGGTATTCTATCATGTTATCCAATTCAATCTTATTCAAATCAACAATCAAGTTTAATTTGTCAAGGTGGTACTAGATCTTTTCTTCAATGTTCTATAGATGATTTTACATGTGCTGTGACACATTTAGATCATATGGAAGAAGATGTTCGATTAGAACAAATTAAAGAATTTAAACCATATGATCCGGATATCGATATACTTATGGGTGATATGAATTCTTTAACAAGAGATGATTATTCGGATAATTATTATGAAAAGATTATTGTCGATAAACGTGAAAAATCGAATTGGGAAAAACCTCGTTTTGATTTAACTCATTTAATAACACAACAATGGAATTATCAAGATGCATTTAAATTAATAAATCCGCAAATAAAAGATGAACAACTGTCAACATGTGCATATGGAACACGTATTGATTATATTTATGTACATCCTCGTGTTAATGAACGATGGAATTTGACAAAATGTTCGATAATTGATACTAAAGGAGTGACAGATCATAATTGTGTTTATGTTGAATTTAGTAAACATTCTTCAACCTAATATTTTCATTCTTAAGTGTAATTAATATCAGATAGAATATAATAATGTATAATCTAAATTACTGGCATCACCAAGATTTTCAAAATGGTGGGGCTGAGCATATAGTCTGTCTTTGTATGTATCTTAAACATCAATTATTTTTATATAACACAAGATTAACATTAATGAATCGAAGACGTTAGCAGTATTTTCGATATAAATGACTCATTTGATGGATCATTTCGACAAAGACAAATATAGTATCAGAGAAAAATGATAATTTTATTTGAGGGTGCGAGTGTAGCTGTGGCTGAGAGGATGAGTGTGAGTGGATGTAGGGTGGGGTAGATGTTATATTCGTTCAGATTTAACCACTCACATCCATACACTCTCCTATAAACGCATTTTTGGAACTCTAATAAATCTCTAGAGTTTTAAGGAACCTCTGTGATATCACTGAATTTCTGGGATCCAAAGGGATCTCTGACATCTCACAGAGCCTCTAGAATACCAAAATATGTGTGTGAGTGTGGCTGTGGGTGGATGTGGGTATTTTGTTTGATTCTCATTTACATCCACCCACACCCATACTCAACCACACCCATCTTTGTAATAATTGAAATAATTGAAAACTTGAAATATTTGAGATAGTTGAATAGATGGATAGTTAGATACTTGAAGGAATAGTTAAATTCAAGTTTCAAGTTTGACACTACTTCGTCATCTTGGTTTGGTAGAGTCGCTGTTCAGCTTTTAAATTATCATAGATGGTTAAATAATATTTTCTTAATTCTTGAAGTTCTCTTTCATGCAATAATTCTTAAGCATATACGTAAACAAATACTATATTTAATTTTTTTGATTATGTCAATTGCCACCAACTGCCTTCTGGTGGCCCGCCGATGCCCACACCCACATCCGAAGAATCACTGACACCTACGATGGGGAAGATTCAAAAATTTGATTCTCGTATTTGCATTTCAAGTGTTATTTGGAAGAAACTCTACGGTGAAAGTTTGATAAGAACTGATTAATGGGTTTTTTCTCTTTTCTTTTTTTATACACGTTGCATCAGAATCTTCTGTTGCTTATCAGTTTTCTTGCAAGGCAAACAAAATGTCTGTATCAACCTTGATTTCATTTCGTCAAATTTCACTTTCAAATTATTCTTCTCACGAACGTTGGTGCATTACACTTCACAAGTATGTCGTATTCTGTAATTTGCGTGTGCAATGACATGAATTAGTCTTTGAGTGTCACTTTACGGCTCTCAAAAATAATTAGTTCAATTCTATTTAGCCAGCAGTTCAAGTATTAGCAATATTGCACGAGATAGATGAACGAAGGACGAAAGTAAAAGTTAGATACAATCATGAGAACACAGGATCATTGTGCAGTTTTGTACATATTTGTAGTCAAGCGAAACCGATTTTAAGATTCGGTTCAATTTCTTTGGGAATTCTTATTTTTGATCTTCTTGGAGTTAAAAAATGAATTGTTGGCTTAGTATAGGCCTTGAATCAGTCTTTCTAATACTATTCACCTGTTGGGATAAGTGATGCAAATGAGAAAGATAAATTTACTTTTCCGATTGGGAGACTTTTTAGTTTTATATTTAGATGGGTATAAAATCTCTTCGCCAATTCAGTAATTCGCCAATTAGCGAACAAGATAATAGGAACCATATTATATATTGGCGAATTTCATACTAGCAATTCGCCAAATTGGCGAATGTTCTCGGAATTTCGCCAGTTGCCGAATGTACCATTGGCGAAAATCAGTATTGGCGATCAGACATAGATCCATTTAGATGACTTCAGCATTTCGTAATGAGCAGGCATCGGACGAGTATCAGTACAGTCAGTACAAGTACAACTGGCATTTATTGTAACGCCACACTTTGCACCGAGGTACTGTACCTCGTACTGAACAATATGAGTTTCTTGTCTTCTTCATGAGTCAGTTCGATGAATTACGCAGATTAAGCTACAGCATTCGTGATAGTCATTACTTTGCGGTAATTGGATGTGCACATAGAGTGTCGCCAGGTCTATCCGATGACTATCTCCGATGTCGCTAAAGCTTTCAGAGTTTGTAGAACTTCTTTCGCTGATCATTTTGCTAAAAATCGTTTTTCAATTATACCTTATTTTGACCAGGATAGCGGATACATAGTGAGAAGAGGTCTTGCGATTATTCGCCTTTTTGTCGCAAAAAAATGAGGGTAGTATTCTGCCTTGTAGTCGATCAAACTCTACCATAACTCGCTGAAATTTTGAAATCAATAAAATATTCGAATTGCTCTCATCAAGATGCATCGGAATTCATAGAGTCTAAAAAAATTTCATGAGCCTATCTGCTCATTACATGCCATATAGGTCAGTGGCGTAGCCAGGGGGGGGGGCAAATGGGCAATTGCCCATTGCATTTGGAGATTTGCCCATTGTAATTTTTAATAATTAGCCTTTGCCCATTGAAATTTTACTTCTTCATACTTTTTAAAAACTATTAAGAGATTTCGAAAAATTTTGAACAAATTTTCGAAAATGTCTTTAAAAATTTCTAGAAATCTTCGCAAAAATTTCGATAATTTATATAAATTTTGGAAAAGTTTTCAAAAAAGTCGTTAAAAACTCACAAAAATCGTCCAAAATTTTTAAAATTTCGATAGTTTATAGAAGTTTGAGAACTTTTTGAGAAATTTTTCGACTGCCTCGAATATTTAACACTTCACGACAACCCTTTATGTTGAAATTATATACACAAATAAGTTCTCGTCAGTCTGATCGTGATGTTTGAGTTTGAAACATAAATGTTATAAACAAAGTTATTAAGAGAGTTAAAATGCACTTAACTTGGGCTTAAGATCTGAGTCTAAGTTTAATGCATGTTCTTAATTATAAGACTCTCATTTCCTTCTTTTTCTGCTTTTTATACGTTGTCAGTACTTTACTCGGCTAAAAATTTTTGGCCCATCAATAAAAATCTTGCCCATTTTGCCCATCGAATTTTTCGAGTTACTAGAAGTTTGCCCATTGGTCTAAAAATCCTGGCTACGCCACTGATATAGGTGGCGGAGCGTAAATCAAAAATCGTATCAGGAAGCAGGAATTCGATAGAGTGACACTTGCTCTACAAGATATACTAGTTTGTTTCACCCTCCACTTCGATCTGTAAGAGCGCCAGGCCCAGAGCTGTTTTAAACCCCGATTCAGCGCTATTTTCGGTGAATATATCCGCGAGATCTGCACACCTGCCTTGATGAAACATATAGAAATTCATCAGAACGTTCAGGACTTGCAAACGCTTGCCGCGCTGAGCACTCTGGCACTGAGCTATTAGGTATTTGACTCTATTTTCACGGATTTATAGGTGAAATAATACAGCTTATCTCTTTCGTTTAGGATGTGATGGGTTCAGGCCGAATTTTGAGACCCACTTTCTCCCATTAGATAGAATCTCATTATGATAGCATGAACACACCGGAGTACCGAAGTCACTGTTGAGTTTAAAATGATTTTGATAAAAATTTAAATTTATCAGAAATCTAAAAAAATTTAAAATGTTTATAAATGTGGTCGAGGTTTATAAATAGGGTCGAAATTGGTAAATTGATAAGTCTAGAAATTCGAAGCTGTCTAAATGTCTACTAGAAATTCGTAACAATAGTGCTTTTAAATTTGGTAAAATTGTATTCCACCACGAGGATGTTATATACTCATAGTTCAAGTTAAAATGATAAAGATAATTTAATCACTTTTGTTTATCAATCAGTTCAAAATTCGTAAACTGGTCAGGTGCTTATATAATATACTCGCACTTATTTATCCAATATTCGTTTATAATCGAGTTATATTTATAAGTCAGGTTGATATTTATAAATCGGCCATATATTTATAAATCAAGTAGATATTTATAAATCAGGTTGATATTTATAAATCAGGTAGATATTTATAAACCGTTCATATATTTATAAATCGTTCGTATATTTGTAAATGGATCGGATTTATAAATCAATTCGATATTTATAAATCTTTCAAGTATTTATAAATCAAAAACAGATTTATAAATGGACCCGATTCATAAATACCAAAAATATTTATAACTACTTTAAATTTTCGGTTGAAAAATTTATGATTTATAAATCGATTTATTTGTATTGATTTATAGATCACCTACTTACGAACTCAACAGTGACCGAAGTATGCGGCGTGGTTAACCCTTTGCGACCATATATTCGGAAAATGCCGTACACGCTACGGGAAAATGTAACTTTTTGGGACACCCGTAGCCATAAAGAATTAAGAGGAATTTTCACTAGTAATGAAATACTAGAACAAGAGTGTCATGAATGTATATTAGAACACCGTATCATGAACAGCATTCGACAGATCAAGTTCTTTTATCCCGATCCTGACAGAATTGATATCGGGTTTGGGAAAAGACAGATATCGCGACAGTTCCACTAAGCCCTAATTATAAATCATAGAAACATTCGCTTCGACGAATCAGCAGGACTTTCATCGAAATCAAAGAAACCTCCGTTCTGCACCATACCAATATCGTGTGGATCTAGATTCACTTCAATCCAAATGCCGTTGACTTCGCAATAGTGCTGCGTAGGGAGGTCGATTTTGGAAAAGCTGTTAGTGAAAGAAGTTAAACATGCGTTAGCTTGCAGACTAAAAATACTAATATCTGAAGAATCCGAATGGTCGGTTATTTTGAAATTAGAAGTGAGGACGAGAACTAACTAACGTATGTGAAAGACGTATCACTACTTCATCGAAGTGCGCATGGTCTTATCGAACATTACTTAATTTTCGAGTTTGAAAATCTTTGCCTATATTCGGTACGGATCACGTCGCAGGTTTTTGGGATCATCCCGAATACATCATCAGACTGATGATTGAAGGGTGTAGGTGTGGTTATGGGTGGTCGAAGAAAAGATAAACCCACAGCCACACGCGCGCTCACGCTCACACCCTCAAGAGTCACACACACACGCTTCCCCTAGATGAACAATGCAGATTGTGAACTGCATTTTCCTTTTGTATTGCTAATAACCTGTTTCAGTTTCATTCACTCAACAGCTACAGGATTTAGTATATTGACATGGTAGCTGATACTAAAGAAGCACAGGAAAAGCTGAAAAGCCATTTGGAAAAATGTCGTGCATTAGTGGATAAATCAAACAAAGAACTCTTTAATAGTGCACAGACGAGTCAATTAGCCAATTATATGGCAATTCTGAAACGAAAAATCAATGATGTTACTGAACTGCAAATCCGTATGACAATAGTTGCACCTATGAAAGCAGGAAAATCAACTATCATCAACGCTCTCATTGGAAGAGAGTGTTTACCATCGCGAAATGATGCTATGACAGTGTTGCCGACGGAAGTAGTACTCAAACAAGCTAAGGAAGGTGTAAATGATACCCCACATCTCATACTTACTTCGGAAAATCGTAAAGCTATACATTGTCTACAGCAGGAAACCAAAATTGAGCTGAACTCATACGCCCACAAGCAACCTGACGACAAAGATTTTAGCAGACTATTTCATGGAAATGTGAACTTAATGACATTAGCAAAAGAAATATGTGAGAAGGATAACAATTTGTTTTTTAGCTGGAAACAAGAAGACGAAAACGATATTCGAAAAACACTCACCTATCTCAATGATCTAATACGTATTTACATTCTCATCAAGCCAGTGAATGTGGAGGCATCTGTTCCTCAACAATTAGAACAGTTCGAAAGCACTATGGATACTACTGGAGTATTACTGCCAGCTACATTGGACCAACAACTCGATGGTGATGATATTTTGGCTAAATTAAGTGACAGTATTCCTAGACTAGAAGTTTTATATAAACCATTACGTGCTGCTTCATCTTCCAATACAGCAGATTCATCATTACCCTTGGTACATTCGGAATCATGTCAGCTGCTATTAGTTGATACGCCTGGCCCGAATGAAGCTAGCGCTTCGAATGTGTTACATCATGTTGTGCATCATGAACTGGCAAAAGCTGATATAGTTCTTGTCACATTTAATTACACAACATTAAACACAGATACTGACAATGATATTGCAAAAAAAATTGACAATATTCATAAGGTAAAGGGAAACAATGATGCCATTTACGCGCTGGTGAATAAAGTTGATCAACGCCGAAGTGGTGACATGACTGAGGAGGAAGTGAGAAGTCATATTGCCATGCGGTACAAAATTCCTGAAAACCGCATTTTCGAGCTTAAGGCAATTCATGCTTTACGAGCACGTCGATTTCTCGCTGACTTTGAAAAGGTGAGTGATCATAGCAACATTTGCCAAAAAGAGAGTACTTTGGATATGCTACGAGAAGCTTTTCCATCTCAATGGAAGAAAAAAAAAGACAAAATCACGGTGACAGATCTTATCGAAACTGCGAAAGAATTGTACGAAGAATCGGGTATAGACGAATTTCTCGGCAAAGGCATCGAAACCGTGAGGAAGCAAGTTTTGCACCGTTGCTTCAGCTCTGCTATTGATACATGTATACAGGTGCCAAAATTTCTAAGTGATACAATTTGGGTGCGTCAAAACGGCCTGAAGCTGGACACAGAAAAAGTGAATCAAGAAAGATTATCGCTACAGAGCGAGATAGCAAAGATGTCAGAATTAAAAACAACTTATGATGAAAGAAAGTCAGAGATTTTATCAAATTTTCGTACACAGTTAGACAAGATCCTCAAGATACATACATCGCAAGCGAACAATAAAGTTGAACTATTATTTGATGAAAGAAATACGATATGGATGGATCCATCTATGTGGCGAGATAAGGTGCGCGAACAGCTGTTTGCGGGGGGACTAGTGGTTGGTTTTGTAAGCAGCGGAGCAGTGGCGGCTGCTAGTCTAATGTTGGGACCAACATGTGGCGCAGTTGCAGCAGTCGTAGGGGCCGCTACTTTCGGTAGTGTTCAAATTGCCGGACGTTTTGCTCAAGACCATGGTCACATAGTGACTGATCCCAGCGCCACCATAGAACCAAATGACAGTAAATTCGTTCAAACAGCGAAAACCGTTTCTCACAAGATGGCCCGAATATATGCAGCTGTTTTTACTAACGATGAAGCTCGATTTGAGACAGAGGCACAAGCGAAGGAATTCATTGATCGAGTACAGAAAGCGGCCAATGATATTTCTCGGGATTATTATGACACAATATCCAAAGAAATTAGTGAATTGTGTGAGAACACGTCTGACAAGTTGTTTTTGCAACTTCAAAAAGACTTATCGGTCATACAAGAGAGAATGAATGACCGCTTTAACAACTTCTTTCGAATAACGCGGATTATTCCTAAAAGGTTTTGTTCTGAGATAGACGACGTCGATTCATTGAGAGTCTCCCCAGTTGCTCGATATCGCCCACTTTTTGGATACTGGCCGTTCGAATATGATGCAACAAACACTGAAACTATCGAAAAGGCCACAAAACACTACGTTCGTCGAGAAGAACTAAAGAACAACTGTCTAAATATCCTACAAAAGAATATGACGACAATTCAAGACAATATTTTCGAGCGCGTAAAAAAAGCGATGCAACAGCAATTAGAAGCTCATTTTGTAAGATTGCAAAAAGGTCTAGAGATGTATTTGAATGAAGTGAAGCTTTGCGTGGAAGACAAGAGTAAAACGGTAGAAAGCCAACAACAATTCATGTCAAAGTTAGATTCACTTCTCTTAGATATCAACATGTTTAAAGAAGACTTTAAAACGGTAAAAAGCAGTATAAGAGAAAAGTGGCTTAAAGAAGAACAAACAGACGAGTAGCCCAATCCAAACGTCGCCGACTCTCTACAGAACACGTATAATCACAAATGGCGCTCGTTAAAAGGACTCATTTTATCCTAGACTGATAACGATCCACTCTTCATTAAAAATGTTTCTTTAATTTCGCGTTTCACTTGAGGTTGTGGGTGTAGAGTGGGTTAGGGTGGGACAGGGGTGTGAGTGTGAGTGTGAGTGTGAGTGTGAGTGTGAGTGTGGGTGTGGCGGGTTTGACAGTGGGTATATGTGAGTGTGGGTAGGTGTGGGTGGATGGGTATGGATGTAGGTGAGATAAATAAGATATATCCACATCCTCGCCCCTCTAAAAGATTTGGGTCAATATATTGAGAATGAATTACTACATTAAATAATATGTTTATAAAAATGTTTTATTTTGATCTGTGTACATCATTAACATAAGATAATAGATCGAAATTTTTATAAAAATATTATTGATAGCATAATGAAAGTTTGATTTATTATTTGACAAACAAAGAAAAGGTAAAAACATGTGGATTATTCTTTTACCTTTGCACGATTAAATATTTTCTCATATAAAAACGAATTATTTCAACATCTCGATCTTATCCAAACAATGTACAAATTTGGTTTTGAAAATTGTGATAAAATTATTGAATTAAGTGAAGAAGAAGTTCATCGTATTCCATATCTCTTAACATTAATATCACGTAACGATGATTTTTTGTCAATAAAAAATAATAAAAATGAATACATATTACACTATCCAATATGTTATAATTTATTAATTCCAATTTTAAATTCAATTAATAATGAAAAACCATATAGTTTATTGAATGATTTATCAATAAATGAAAATATTTTCGATGTCCTTCAATCATTTGATTATCTTTGTTTAAATCAATCCAAGTCTTTAAATAATCAAGATAAACGTTTTATATATCATGGAGCAAAAAATCTTTGTGAAGTTCGTAATACCGCTACTCGATTTGTTCTTTCTCTAACTAGAAATGAACATAATTTCAATGATTTACAAAAAGTTGAATATATATTCTCGTTAATTTCGGTGATATTTTCAAATAAAAGCATCTTTAGTTCACAATTTCGTTATCATACCTATACAATTCTTGAAGAATATGTTTTTCCATTATTTTTTAAAAAACATCCAATTTATTTACTAAATGATATTAAACAAAATTATAGAATTGATTCAAATATTTATTTTTATGATGATAATCAAATGATTCCAATTGATTTTAAAAATGATTTTTTTTGGAAAGGTTATTTTGAATATATGATAAATAATCTAATAAAACAAACACATATTATGATAGTTGGAGCAACAAGTCCTGGGAAGTCGTCCGTACTCAGTTGTTTACTTGGAAATCAGGTGAATGAACCTTCTAGAAGTACTTATAATCTTTCACAAAATATTGAACAAACTGAAACAGAATCATTTATTTTTCTTGATACTCCTGGTCTTTTATCGAATGAATCAGCATCGTTAACAAAACATTCAAATTTATATTTAAATGAATCACAAGTAGCGCGATTGGGTTATTTTAATACACGATCTAAACAAATACAAGTTGATAAATTTAAACATAAATATAAAATAAAAGTTGAAAAATATCGATGAATTTTTTTAAAAACTAGATTTATCCCTGTAGATTTTATTGATTTTCTTTTTCATTTACTCTTTATTCTATTCAGAAGAAACGTTTTTCAAAAGTGGAACTTCAAATAAATCTTTCTCTCTAATAAAAATGTGTAAAATATAAAAAATGATCATCCATAATCACATTCTTTGTTTAAAATTATATTTCTACAGATAATAAAGACGTGGTTGTGGGTGTGGGTGAAATTTTTACGTAGCCCATACACCCACACCACGCTGGTTTCATTAACAGATGATAGAATTAATCTAGTTAAATTTTTCATAATGAACATTGATTCTCATCTATGAAAGCTAGTTGTCTATAGAAATACGATACTATACGACACAGAACACAAACATATTTTACTAAAATAATCGAAGTTTATTATATTTAAATTTCTCAAAAATTTTCAACTGATGTGATGACACATCGCGCACCTTCTTTTGAGTCACAATATGTATTGATGTTGCCACGTGTGCAAGCCACATATGCATATGATGAATAATTATTTGCTGTTCTATATAATACATCCACTCAAATAACAGTGGACGATAACTGTATGCTTGTGTTTTTCTTTTTCTATGATAAGTGCATTTTTTCTCTAGTCTTTTTTATATGTATATAAAGTCTTAATGATTATTCATGTCAGACCATTGGCTCACTTATATTTTCAGATCATGATTTTTTATCTTTCTAATGAGTAAAACTCAGAGCACTATCTGTACAATGAATGAAAATATGCAGAAATTATCAAGTAAGTTGAAGCATTTAATTTTTTATTTATTAAGCATCAGTTATTTCTTACTCTTTTATCAATAGACAATGGCAAACAAGAGTAATTAATTAAGACAGTGTTTTTTTAGTGTATGATCGCAATTTTTGTTTGTTACACAGATTGATAACCACTGGCTTAGAAGATCTTTCTAATGAACTTATCTATGAAATATTCGAATTCCTTGATGGTTGCCATTTGTATGAAGCGTTTGCTAATTTAAACGAACGCTTCCAATATCTTCTCAATTATTCACCTATTTCATTCAAGATTAATATGTTACTTACGCCAAAATCTATTTTTCAACATCGTTGTGAATTTAATGTTATTCCTAACATCGATCGGATCGTATCACTTCGCTTATCGAATGTATTCACTATTAATTTCTTTCTCTCAAAATTTACTATTGATGCATCATTCGCTTGTCTTGAATCACTTATTCTTGACGGCATTCATACAGCTCAACTCATACCAATTCTTAGTTGTTTAGCATCCGCTCCTCGACTTTTCCGTTTAACTTTTAGAATTATTGATATCTTTAAACAACATAATGATGTCTATCGTCTGATTTTTCGTTTGCCCGCATTGAGATATGCCAAAATTGAGTTCAAACATGATGTTCAATCGCGTACATTATTGACTGTTGCTAACAAACATGAACTCTCTAGCCCGATTGAGCACTTAGTTATTGCTGGCATGTGTTATTTAGATGAACTGAATGCTCTTGTGTCATACACGCCTAGACTTTGCCGTTTGTCATGTCGTTCATTATATGGTTTTAAGGATACTGGAACAGTTCTGTTAAAATTACCAACTACTTTAACACATATCTCTGTAGAAAATTGTGTATTATCATTCGATGAGTTCGAATTATTTATTTCGAAAGTGAACTCTCAAAAACTAGAAGTATTACGTATCTATAGAGCAGCACAAGATGTAACGTACTTGAATGCTCAACGATGGCAACGAATTCTTTCGAATTATATACCTAATTTACATAAATTTGATTTTTTTCATCGAAATGTGATTGATGAAAATGATCTCGAATATGCTGCATATCATACATTAATTAATCAATTTACCTCATCGTATTGGATCAAACGAAAATGGCACTTTGTTCATCGACATTATTACTTTTGGAATGCTCATTCGGCGGACTTCTGTTCAAGTCAATCTTATTGGTATGATTAAATAAACATCTACATTCTTATTTTTATTTTTCTGTCTTAGGAAAAACAACAACTACGATTTATTTGAACATCAAGACAATGAAACCTGTCCGATTCAGTATACTGGTAATAATTTGGCTTGTAGTGTATCGATTTTAGGATCTCAAAAAACAATTGCAGATTGTTCACTTCAATTTCCATGTGCTACTACATTAGCACTTACTATACCATTTATTTGTGATGATGACCAATGGACTGAATCATTTATTAATGATCTTAATCGCTGTATGTATTTGACAAAACTAACGAAACTCTCTATTGACTATGTCAATCTCACTTTGCCAATGTTATTTGAACTTCTTCTTAATGTGCCTAATATTCATTCACTTTATCTTTCTCATATGCCTCATTCGCAAGCAACTGATATTGAACATACTTGTTTACTACCAAAAAACAACAAAATCACAAAAATTACTATTTATCATGGATACACACTTGAATGTATTAATGCTTTTATTAGTCTTTTTCATCAATTGGAAATACTCGATATTCGTATAGGAGTATATGACCTCAATTCAATCAAACACTTTTTATCATTGAAAAAATCCGAAAAAAATTGCCGTCTCTTCTCGTTACGTATTTCTGGTGTACAATCAGCGATGGTAGAAGATTTACAAACTATGATCAATCAAGAAAAATTATTTGATGACTATTCATTTGAAAGTGATTTTGTTCATAGTTCAGCAGTGTGTTTATGGTGGTAGTTATTTTTCGAGAAAAATAGTATACCATAGTCACACACCCTCTGTAGAGATAATACAACAAAAAAAGCGAGAAGAAGATTATCGAGTTGTACAAAGTTTTTGAGATATTTGTTTAGTCCATGCTTTGAATTCTCGTCTGTAAGTTTTTGATGGCATTACAAAAACAATAAATAATAACATTGATGGAATAAATGAGAGAAAATAACCAATCAGATGTAACCATGGTTGGTGTGCTGATCGCATACATTTATTTGCAAATGAAATAATTAAACGAGGTAAACTTAATAATATTAATATACATGGAGAATATAAAACATGTGCATGTTGTTGTATTTGATTTTTTAAATGACCTCGTAATGTTTCACTTTGTTCGACAGCACTACGTCTATAAGCTAATGTTATAATAATACAAAGAGCAGATATGATATTAATTGAAAAAGGAGCAAGAAAATGAAAAAGTGTTATAAATGAATTATACTTTCGAACAGATGATGAATATTGAACAAAACACCAAATACGATATTCATCAACATCAAAATCATCGATTAATTCACGACGTATTGGTTCATGAATGTGTGTAAGTATTGTAAAAATAAATGTAATTAAAATTACCCATTTGGACATTTTTATACTTTTCTTTTTTTGAAAGTGAGTAGCTAAGATGACACTCATCATTCTTTCCATAGCCACACATGCATTACACCATTCATTGAATGCTAGAAGAATTTTAAGGATCACATCTATTGAAATACAATTAAAATGAAGGAATGATCGATTAGTTATTACAGACATTTGGGATAAAATTAATTCCCAAACTTTATATGTTAACAAAATAATTATAAATATTGAAATAATCGATGAAGATAAAAGATAATAACCAGCACCGACTTGTCGCGATTTTATTCGACGAAATGTTCCTATTGATAATAGACCATTAATTAATCCAATAACAAGTAACATAGTACTAATAAAAATAGTTATTTTAATAATTACTGGTTGTTGATTAAGTGAAATCTTTGGTTTAATATGATAACCAAGAATGGAATCAAGTGAAAAAATAAAACCTTTTGTTGACAGCTGACATTTTGCACCATAATAACAATCAGGACATATACACATAAATTGAGTTGGACATGTTTGATTATTTAAAAAACATTGACCATCGTTTTCACAATGATTATAACCTTGACAATCATTATTCATTGTTTGATTAAATAGAAAACAATTAGAGAATCGATCACGATCACATATACACATATGATCTTCATCATAAAAACACATTAATTCTAAATGTGTACGACATAATAATGGGTAATATTTAACTCGTCTCAAATAATTATATTGACGCACTGTATCATTTAAAAGATCATTAACTGAAGGACAACGTTGTTTTAATTCGATTTTTGTTTGAATATATTCGGAAGGTTGAAATACTTCTCGAACTACTATTAAATAAAAAGATTCATTAACTATTTCAGCCAGAATAATATGAAATGGTTGTGCTAAATGAATTGTTAAAATATTTTGATTATATGGAACTTTTTTTAATAAAATTCTTCGTTCATGTTCTTTCTGATCAAATGATGTAATCACATGGATTAATAATAATGAATGTTCCCAGAGAATTTCCTTGTTTAAATGTATATCAATACGATTATTTTTATTTTCGCAACGTTCATCTGAATATTCATCTTGACAAAGACAAGTAAATGTATTTAAATCAATACGGTAATCATTCGGTACACAAAGTTCATTTTGTTTACATGAATTATTTGATAATTTACAAGTTGAATGCGTTAAATGACAATAAGGCCCAAATTTATATAATGAACAAATACAGATCTCTGGACTTAAACATAGTGAATCATTTGCACAATTACATTGATTTGTGATATTGCAATTTATACCAGAATATCCACTATCACATAGACAAAAGAATAAAGATTTATTATTTGCATAATTCATACATTTCCCATGTTTTCCACATGATAGAGCACATACGGACTCTTCATTTTTCATTTCAGGAATAATTAATTGAGTAGCAATTCGATTAACAGGTAGGAATTGAAAAGGTATAGATAAATACCAACTTGACCAATATTCTAATTTGATTTTTTCATAAATATCAATACGAATAGAATAATTATTTGATAAAGATTTTGGTCGTTCTGGATAAAGTAAATAAATATTAAATTTTGTATTACAATCACGATTTGGAATATAAATAATTTGTTCATAATAAGGTGCTATTTGTCCATATCCATCAATAAGTATAATTAGAACTTGAAATATAATAGGTGTGAGTCGAATGCTACGCCATACTAATTGAATAGTTAAACTAATACGTTGATTTTGCCATTGACATTGAGAACCATAATAATTAGGTGGACAAAAACATGTTTTTATTTGATTTCGACCACGTAATACAAGAATACCACGATGACAATATGAAATGAATTCATTGCTAATATTAAACGTTGTTTTTTTCAGTTGATTTGTTTTAGAAATAATTGGAATAGAAATATTCATTAATACTGATGGAAAATATCCTAAGCGTAGAGTTTTGAAAACAAGATTTTCATCATATTTCGAAAAATCTTTGTTATATTGACAGAAATAGTCGTTGTTCTGGATAAGTTTCACAGGTTTATTATGTGCATAAAAAACACTTTCTGGCCTATAAAAACAAATATCTTCTTGTTCGAATGATGGTTGTAAACGTTGATCAATACGACAGATTTTATCTACAGTAATATATTTACTATCATTCCATGAAAAATAATTTTCACTAATATCAAAAGTTCCATTATAAAAGTAGATTTCACGTTCAACGTATGTTTCGTTACAACAATTGAAATATTTATCATACATATTATGTAATGATATACAATAAGATAATTCAGATTGTTGATTATAACATTCATGTTCATCAAAAGAACATTTTGAATTAGGACAATTAAGTTCATCAATACCATTTTGACAGTCCCAGTATTCATTGCAATTTGTATATGGATTATCACAAGACCACGAGTCACAATTGGTTTCATCTGTGTCATTCCAATTATTGAAGTAGGGACCGAAATTCATCTTATTATTGCATAAATATGGAAATGGTATTAGTATGACCAAATTTTGAGTATATGCAAATAATTCATCTTCTCCTAAACGACACTCTTCAAATGTATTACCAACTGCAACTAACGATAGACATTTATTTTCTTCTGATGAGCATTGAAATCGATTTGAATCATTCAATTGACAAGCGTTAAAAAGTTCGTCTTCTCCAAAATAACAATCATTATTACCATCACCAACACGATTAAATGAAATACATTTCATAGATTCATTGCAATAAAAATAAGATGAATTTTTACATGATTTTTCAATACCTTTTCTTGCACAATCATGCTTACGATATGAGAACATTGCATCTATGTAATTAAAGTCTCTTGCCTCGTCACCATATATTAAATCCGAAGAATGACAGCATGTTAATCCATCAAGAAATTTAACAGGATGTATTTCTGTTAATAATACAGGACATACTTGTGCGTTAAAACATATTAAATCAGGTTTAATATTTGCTTTAAATTCATCAACTGATCGATTAGTAAAATAGACAAATTGAAAAAATCCAAATAAAATAGGATATGCAGGTATTACTAACCATTTCGATTCACAATACTGGGATAAAGATTCACATTCTTCATTTCTAATATCTTCCAAAATTGGCACCATCTCCATACCATTATGATCAATTCCTCCTAAAATATTATAAAAATCAGTCAGTTAAGCGAAAAATTCTGCTTACGAGAACCAAATGTTCGATTGGAATGAAGTGCACAATAGAATGTTTCTCGACAGTTAATGCTTGAAATATGTTCCATATTAGTAAGCATAGCACGAGATCCTTCTTTATCTTTCTGATTCGAACAAGAAACCATAGTAATTGGTAGAGTAACTCCAAGTAAATATTCACCATCACCACATTGAAACGATCTAGGATATCGACCAATCTGTTCTTCACATCGAAATGTAGATATAGGTAAACAATTCCAGTTTATCTGTGAAGTGTGAAATAAGCGTTCAACTGCTTCATCACTACCATCAAGACAATCAATACTAACTTTACCATCCTTTAGAAATACTTGAGAGATACATTGACCACCATAATGACATCGATATTCATTACTATTACATTCAGTCATTTCTAATTGATCACACATATATTCATCTTCTCCATTGATACAATCAAATTTTCCATCACATATTTCACGCCAATCAAGACATAATGGCCATGATCCACGATTACAAGTAGTTAAAAATCCATAACATGTTCTGGTAGAAATATCAGATGCATTTTTTGTCTTGGCATCAGTCGTAGCTTGAACAATATCACCGAATGATAAATATGAATCAAAATCAAAATTAAATTTATATTGACACATTGAACCAAACCAAGGTAATGAACAATTATGAAAAACATCGGAATCATTGCTATACATTTCGTATTTTTCTGCAATATCTATCGGTGAAAACCATTGAAGTAATTGTTCACTTGTCACATTTTGCCTTTTTAATTCCTTAAAACTTGATGTTTTTATTATATTTTCATAAACTGGATACAACGTTTCATCTTGTTCTTCATTTACATCAGGTCTTCTACAATAAGGAGTTAAATAAGAATTTTGGAGATAATCTTTTCCCTTTTCTTTTCCGACATCAACTAAATAAGTATATAAACAATCAAATGTTGCATAAGAACCTTGACGAATATCAGAATAATAAAGTGAATAACGAGTATTCAATGGTATGAACAAGTTGAAAATCAACAATGCAGTTAATATCATCATAGTTTAGTAATTTTGTATAAATGAATATATTTTCTTCTCAATAACATGAAGAATGATTTTTTTCTCCAACTAACACAAGCATATATGCACTCATTTTTTTATATATTAATCTGTTAGGTGAAGCGCAAATTGACGTACTTCCGTTAAATGATTTATGAATAACAAATATGAATATCATGTGCACATAAAGTGTGATATTCAACAAATGTTGCCTTTATGAAAAAGAAATATTTATTAAAACATCAGTTTGTGTCGATATCAGTGTAAAATATGAATTCAGTGAAAGTGAATAACTTAGGTGTGGGTGTGGACAAGGAATATACAAAAGACAGTGACACCCACACCCTCAAACCTCAGATTTCTAATATGAATATTTTTTTCGCTTTAACACATAAAAATCTATTTTATTTCATATGATCCTCCCGTCTCCTTTTTTTCAGGAAACTTTGCATTTCCTTCTCCAAATGATGACTTTTATTAAAAATAACATTAAATTTTGTTTTCATATCCTTCCCCGGTAATTTCAATATCATAAATATTTATTATATGAACACCAACATATAATAAATGACATCTGCTATGATTTTATTCACAAATTAATTAGACAAAAGCAGAAATCAATTCATTGTTTTTATTTATCAAGTATTTCAGATCATGTCTTTAAGCAGAGAAATCGAAAAAAATCTATTGTTTCCATAATATTTAGTTTTCTGTTAAATATTTATTTAAATGAAAATGTTTTGAAAGAGCAATCTGAAGTTTGTTCATCTAATTATTGTTGATAAATACAAGAAAATAACAAAGTTTATAAGGGAAAACCTTGTGAAAATTTTGGATGTTTTTATTCATCACTAAAAGTCAGATTAAATTTTTCTGCATGTGTTTAAAATTTTCTAAAAAACCTATTGTCCTCATCGTATACAAAAATGGCTTCAAATTATTAATCAGAGAAAAAACGTATTTTTTTCTGTTTTCTCTGTTAGATTTATTTTCCCTTCTGAGTTCTTTCTTCAATCTCTTTGTCTTTTAGATTTTTCCTTGTCAGAGTATTTGAGAAGTGTTTAATTCTCTCAAAATATTAATTATGGAATTGAACAATATCGAAACTTGTGATGTAATTTATTTTTGAAAATAATTTTAATTTACATAAATTATATTTTAGAATGAACAAGTCAATTCAAATTCAGAAGAAACATCAACTAATCAATGGAGATTAAAATGTTTTCAAAAAAGAAAATTAATTTGGATCATTATTTCTATTGTTCTTCTTATTTTAATAATAATTATCCCAATCATTGTTATTAAAACAAAAAAAACCGACGTCAAACAAATGTCAACAACAGTAATAACGACGGAAACTTTGACTAAATTAACAACAGAAGGAAAGGTTTAAAGAAAAAATTGATAATGCCTTTCTTTTTTTATTAAATTTATTTTGATCTCACTTTTAAAAGAAACTCGACCAAAATACAAAAAATATAATCAACAAGGAATTACTGTTGCTGGAGGAAATGGAGAAGGAGATGGATTAAATCAACTCTTTGATCCTAGTAACATAATTATTGATGAGAACAAAGCTATTCTTATTGTTGATAAAGGGAATAATCGTATTGTTGAATGGAAATATGGATCGAACAATGGTCAAATCATTGCAGGCGGAAATAGAACCGGAGATGAAAATGATCAATTGTGTTATCCAATGGATATGATCGATGATAAAGAATATGATGCTTTGATCATTTTTGAATTTGGTAAAAATCGAATAGTTCGATGGTTTCGTAAAAATCAAACCTATCATAAAATTCTCGTTGTTGGTGTTCTACCTATTCATCTGGCAATGGATAAAAATGGATCTATTTATATATCTGAAATTTGGCAGAACGAAGTAAGACGTTGGAAAGACGGAGACACAACACATGGAATATTAGTTGCAGGCGGAAATGGAAAAGGAAATCAGCTCAACCAACTCGATGATCCTCGTTGTATGTTTATCGATGATGATTATACTCTTTATGTATCAGATTGGGGAAATAATCGTGTTATGAAATGGCCAAAAGATGCAAAAGAAGGAATTATTGCTGCTGGTGGAAATGGTTATGGAAATAATCTCAATCAATTGAGTTTTCCTGTAGGATTGATTGTTGATCATCTGGGTCACATCTATGTCGTAGAAAATGGAAATCATCGAGTGATGCGGTGGTGCGAAGGTGATGCAGATGGCTCAATCGTTGTTGGTGGAAATGGTGAAGGAGAAGAATCAAATCAATTGAATTCACCCACTCATTTATCATTTGATGATGAAGGGAATCTTTATGTTGTTGATCAATATAATCATCGAATTCAAAAATTTCAAATATCTTATGATTAAAATCTTTTCGATAAATAAAATGAATTTTGTTAAATAAAAATAAAGTGATTCGAATTGTTCATTAAAACTAAATTTCATAAATTGTTTCCTGAAATGATTCTTTTAAGGGTGTCGGCGTTAGTAGCGTAACCAGGAGTTCGTGGGTGGCCTGGCAAAGAAGAGCGATGGCCGGGCGCCGCCAGGCCTTGGTTACGCCACTAGTCAGTGTGAGTATCTACTCTTTCTATTCACTCTCACATCGACACCCTCACTCTCAAGAATCATGCAAATAATAAAATGACATATTTGCAGTTTTTAGTTATTATTGCTGAATAACTAGTTAGCTGCATATCTTCAGTAAACGATTTTGATGTCTCCCATGCTGATATTCTACTGAAACTCTAAAAATAATGAATAACGCTCTTCAATAGAATGTTCAACTTGCAAAGTGATTTTATGTGTGTTTCAAATCGAAGAAATTACTTTTATTTATTTCGTACTAATTAGAGCTATATATTCATATCTAAAAACAATGAATTTCTTTTGGCTTATAAAAGGATTTTTTTTGATATTATTATTGAACTCTGATCAAAGTCAAAAAAGAATTATTTCATTTTTCTTGTTTTACCAAAGCTTCTATATAAATTATACTCATGTTGATCACTATAAATGGTTTTGTAACACGAACTCACTCTTACGCATGATAATCTGGATTAAGATCTACCTGATTGTGCTATCGAAATTTTGCCTTGAGAAGGTTAATGTTTTTAGAGTAATCGAAAAGTTTCAGAGATGGCGATTATACACAGTAAATAAAAGTGAATATCTGTTTGTGGTAGGATTTTTCTGATGCTCTAAAGACATTAACAACTATATATAGCAAAAGGTGCAGACCGAAATTATGTGATAAAACATAAGATTCCAAGTCGAAAATCACTCTCTGGACGGTTTTTTTGTTTGGTAAAAAAAACTATTTCAGATTAAGCTTGTTTAGTCATGGAATTACTCGCATTTCTTAAGTAATTATGACTTTTGAGATATCTCATAGAAATAATTGTAACGCTTTTTGATAAAAACAAAAGTATTAGTGCTGATGAAATTATGCTTTACTTTATTTATTTCTTATCGAAAATTTTGTTTTCATACAAAGTATACCATTATATGCACGCCCATTAGAGAAAGAAAAAGAATACGAAAGGACGAAATACAACGCGACGTACGAGAAAAGAACAAAATAATTAGGACTTTGTACAATGCACTCACAATCTCTTAGTTGCTAGATAGAAAGCGAACGTTTTGTTTCGCTTTGTTTTGTTTTGTTTTGCTCTATTTTCTTTTTAAAAAAGCACTATTCAAATAAATTGTTTTTTTTAAAGAATAAACAGCATTCCTGTTTTTCTCTAAGTGCCTTTCAAGCTTGGTGTAACGGAGCAATTTCGTAATACTTGAAGCGATTCTCTTATGATAAATGGATTATTGCTGACGTAGAGAATTAACATTTTTAAAAAAAAGAATAACAATAATAATGTATTGTATGTATAAAAAAAAAGTACGGTTCAATTATTAATAGTACTTGCTTTTTTCTTGCTCACTTCATAATATTACCGCCATTCATTAAATGCCGACAGCTAGTTCTGCAGCATATGGCGTATATGTCCCTAGACCCGTAAGATAGCATTAATTTGAGTAACTATAATTAAGTCGGTCATTATATATTAGATAACTCGACAAATTACCTACATTAGTGTACGTCCAAAAGTAGACTCGTATGCTCAGGCACCTTTGGCTGTAGCACCACCCACACAATGGGCTGCAGCAACATTCACGCAATGGGCTCCACCACCATACGGACAATGGATTCCACCACCATCTCAACAATGGGTTTCACCATCATCTATACAACTGGAATCTTCTTCGTCACTAACACCGTCTTTGACGTAAGTTTCTACAAAATTTTACTACTAATTCTATCGACAATTAGCTTTTTTCAAAATAAATACTAGACACGATATTAATCTGAGAAACTAGAATTTATTAATTTTAACTCGCCAATTGAATATGGAATAAAATCCTCAGACTGTTCGACTTTTTCATTAGACTAACCAAAGCTATTTTTGAGTGCGACGGAAATAACCATAGACGTTTTTTTTCATTAATAACATATCTACTTACCCAAATTTTAAAAGGAATGAGGAAACATTGGTCAACAAGAATGAAGATCCAGAAGAAGAAAAATCATGTTGCAGAAAAAGGTAAATATTATCAGTTTGATTAAATAGTTATCATGTTACATAGAATTTTTATCCATTTTTAGATGTGGATTTTACTTTTGGTTTCCATGCTGCTGTGCTCTTTTGTCATTATTAGTAGGAGCTGGCATCGCAGCTGCAGTTTTGCTTACACAACCACAAGGTAGAAGACAAATAACAACATTAGTCACGAATTCATTGTAGATGAATACATTGCACCTATTCTGTAGAAACGTAATTGAAAATTTTTGACGTAGGAGGAATATCCGCCAGTTAAGAGAAGTGTAGACCGTGAAAAAAGGTTTTTAGCCTTGTATTCCGCTTGAAGCAGCGTATTAACCGAAAACTATTAGCTATGACAGTTGCCGCAAACTGTCCTCTGCTTTCGAGATCCCAACATGCGCTTAGATCTCTGCAATCTTTCATATTATTGATGAATATGTATTTTTATAACTATGTAAAGCTACCACATCAACAACTGTAACTACGACACTTGCAACTACGACAGTTGCAACCACGACCACTATAACCACGACACTTGCAACTACAACCATTGCAACCACGACAGTTGCAACCACGACCACTGTAACCACAACCATTGCAACGACGACAACTGTAACAACAACTCTAGCTACAACAGTTTTACCCACGACAACTGTTGCCGTGCCAACTGGTAAGTTCAAAATATTAGTCAGGAAAAACGTTTAAATATTTTATACAAAATTTTTCTAAATCATGTTCAGATACTAGTATTAGCTATAGAAATGTTTACGAAAGCTATGCTTTTCTCCAAATATAATCTTATTTTATTTTGATTCAGCTGTTTTGAACAACACCTGCACAGCAATAATGAGCGGCTCAACCACCGTTTTGCTGTACCTTCAAGATGCGTCTTCATTTTCTTATACATACTATACATATCCATTTGTTGCTACAGCAACTACAACAACAATGATGCTGGCTCTTCGTCAAGATCCTAACTATTATTGTCTAGATGATGTTTCAGTCACGTACAACGGGGCAGAGCTGTGGCAAGATGGTGGTTTTGAATCGAGTCCACTAACTTCCTATTATACTTACTGTAATCCAAATGGAGCTAGTGCTAGCGGTACTATATCAACTTCATGTGTTCATTCAGGCAGCTATAGTTTCTACGATGGCTCAGTAACATATTCGGATTATCTCAGCCAATCATTTGCAACAGTAATTGGTGGAAGCTATAACATCAGTTTTTGGTTAGCCAACAATGGTGGCTCTCCGAATAGTGCCCTAGTGATCATTGGCTGATGGAGAGTAAAGTTGAATCTTCCGCTACATGATCATTTCAAAATTAGATACACTTATTTAGTATATTGATTTTTCGAGTGCTTATTCATTTAACATAAAAACTCTTAAATATTTTCCTATGTATATATATATTAAGCGTGTGTGTTTTAGTTTGACTTTATGAATGAGATGTAAATACAGTTTTTTTTCTTTATTAATAAACTTTTAATTTCTTCGTTTTGGAGTGCTTTAAAAAATTAATAATAATGGTAGAAACATTTAGCTAGTAAAAATACAAAGATAAAAAAAACAAAATGAATGAATGAATAAAGAGAAGAATAACGCATATTTTAGTTTAGTAATAAAAACTTTTTGATATTATATATTGAATTTTCGGTATCGTAGTGTTGTTGTGTTCTTCGTTAGTATGAAGTAAATTCTTTTTTACATAGTTTATACTGACTATTAAGATCAACAGTGCGATTCGCCAGCATATAACACAACAAAATTCTATTATGAAAACGTATAACGATAATATTCAAGTTTATATTGAATTCCGTATGATTAGTGAAACAAAATCTAAGAGAAATACTTTCGATGGTCCGTCTTCAAAAATATATTGTCATATAAGACCGTCTTTATGTGTGTTATTATATTGTATACAAAGACTAAAATTAATTCTCAACATAGTAATGGATTATCTAATACATTCTTTCAGTTCATAATATTATTTGCAAAGAAAAGTGTTGCTCTGGCAGAGCAGTGTTACTATTTATCCGCACAATTTCCTCATCCCAACATATATTAGATCAAAAGAGATTTTTTTTTATGATGTATTCATCGTTGATAAAGCAAAAAAGAAACAATAACAAATCGTATTTTACAATAGTTACTACATAAAAACTGAGAAAAAAAAGCAAGGAGAAAAAAATCCACCGTCAGTTGTGTATGTTGCATACTCATATATCTGATTCCAACCAATTATATTCATTAACGAATGAAGAATCAAGAGAATTTGATTCAAATAAATCATTTAATGAAAAATTAACAGATTGCCAATTTGTTTGTACATGAGATTTAGAAGAAAATTTAACTGCATAACGAATGATATATTGAAATAATTGTTTTGATACTTCATCTGGTATTAATGGTAAAATAGATTTTAACAATAACATATTCGATGATGAACCACCTATAAATGCCCCAAGAATTTCACCAGTATATTGCCAGACAAGTGGAATATCTACTATATAATCTGGCACAGCTCCAATTAGCATTTTTAAACCAGATAAAAAACCTTGATCAGATATGAGTTTTTTTTCAAATGTCATATCAAGTAAATATCCAATAGCTTTTCTTGCATGTGGTTTGCCTTCTAATACCTTTGTAAATAATTCTCGAACAATAATTGCTTGTTGATTTGTATTGGATGTACAAAAATCAGATAAATCTTCTACGGCTTCAAGAACGGATCGATTATTATTATCAGTATAATTTTCTGTATATTCTTCAATTAGTGAATGTACACGTGCTGTAGTCTTTTCTTCATCAAATGAATTGTTTGTTGTTGATGCTGATGTTGCAGATTCTTTATTTAAACTTGATTCGCGTGATTGTTCACGACTGACATTACGAGAACTATCATTTGAATTAAGTACTTCTTTACTACCATTTGCTGTTCTTCGTAATAATTCAACAGGATTTTCACGTGCTAATTCACGAGATGGATATCGTTGAGTCATATAACCGGGAGTACCAGGATATGTAGCAGTTTTAGATTTGTTGTTTTGTTGATAAGAATCACTTGGAGGTTCACCAGTTCGATTATTTTCAGATTTCTTTTCAATTGTTGATGATCTAGACCATGTAAATTGTGGTGCAAGATTTAATGTTGTTGTTGGATTTCGTTTATCATTCGTTTGATATTGGCGTACTGAGTTAATATTAAAACGACTCACATGTTGTTCCTCATTCATTCGATTTGTTTGTTGTTTTATACCACTACCACGGCTACCATGTGATCCAGTATATTGTTGTGGATTATTACGATGTTGGTCTCGACGTTGTTGTCGATCACGTTCTTGATCATGCTCTTGTTGTTCACGTTTAATTCGTTCTTGTTCATGAATATCATCAATTTTCATTGGTCTTGCTTCAGCGATACGAGCAACCCAATTAGCTGTTCTTAAATCCATTAGATCTTGAATCATAAATCCTGTACGTGTTGATACTTGTTTTAGTTTAACAATATTCTCTAATTCATTGTAATTTTTATCCAGATTTTTTCGATTTGGTGATTTTTTATTGGTGAATGTGGTATCAAGTTCTTTGCCAATAGCGCGTAAAAGTTTACATAAACATTCAATATTTTCTTCATCAGTTTTGTCTTCAAGTAAATAGTCCATACATTCGAACATAATTGTTTCTGTTAATATTCCTAATTTGAATAATTCGCCAATAAAAAGAATATTACCAAAATTTCGTTGTTTGGCTTTAAATAAAGCTTCTTCTAAATCTTCTGCTGCTTCCTTTTGACGTTTTTCATCTGTAATAGCATCAACTTCTGTTTTTCGTCTATCATAATCAATATCTTGTCGATAATCAGTTTCAAACTTAGTTTGACATCGTGATAGTAAGATTTTTCGAAAAGAATGTGTTACTGTTTGACCATCTTGATCAGGCACGGTAATTTGTTTTTTTTTAAAATGTTCACATAGATTTGCATACATAAAACAGAATTTTGGTTCTTCAACTGCTTTGAAGAAAAATATATCTATCATTCCTTGTAAACGTTCATAACGATCAAGTTCAAGTTCATCAAGTTTTTGTAATAATTTATCATAAGTTTGCGGTGTTAATTTATTTAATATTGATCTAATTTCACGTAAAAATTTGATATTTGTATCAACTGGTTTTGGTTTTGATTTTTCAGGTTCACTAGTAATTCCAGGAATATATCTAAGATCAACCGGTCTTATTTGTGCCGAAGGTGCTAACCGTTTAGCAAGAAGTTCTTTGATACTATATGTATATCGTTGAGATTTTGATTCAGTTTTTTCGCTGTTGATTGATTTAGATTCTGTATCATTCGATGGTGTTGTTGTTATATCATCTAAAGATTCGGTAGCAGGTAAAATTGATGCTGGTTGTACTTCGTTATCAGACTAAAATTAAAAATCAAAGAATTTATGAATATTTTTTCTGTATTAATAATATAAAACCTGATATTTCTGTTTTCTATATCGTTTATTTTTAATTGCCATATTTTTATTTAATTAAAATAGAGTGTCTTTTTTAAAAGGAAACATAAACTCTTAAATATATCTTATCATCATTTACAAACAGGTGGGTATTTTGTCTTACTCAACATTCTTACACAACTAAATTGATGACTAAGCATTTTCACAAACAGAATGAAAGAAAAGTTTATATGACTCATAAAAACAACATGCAATGGCATTGTGAAATTGGGAAAAAACCCAAAATAAAAGAATAATTATTATTCATATTCGACGAATGAGAAAGGTTTTTTCTTTTTACTTAGTGTAATGCTATTGTTACTATTTGATCTTGCGTAATAAAACAGAACAAAATAAAAATGACTTACTATTGTTTCTGAATTTGTATTTAAAACTTCAAGTTGGTTTTGAGACTTAATTTGATCTTCTTGAGTTGTTGGAAGAACTGGTTTATCATCAGTTATACTTTGACTAGAAACACCAGAATAGTCTGGTTGGGATTGTTGAGTTGATTCTTTACAAGTTTCATTTTCAATACCATTTGATGATTGATTTTCAGTCTAATTAAAAGAAAAAAGAATATGATAATATTCTTAAATAAATAAATATAAGCAAAACTAATTGATATATCTTGGAAATAAGAAAATAATTTTATTTCATATACCTTTTTTGTTTCCAATTCTGGAGCTTTTAGCGACGCCGGATCAACAATTTTTAATGGTTGTCTTTTTCGTTTTTCTAAATAAATAAAAAAGTTCACAATAGAAAATCTTATTTGATCATAGTAATGATTATATACCTTGTAATTGTGGAGACTGAGATGATGTTCCATATTGTTGATTAAGCGATGGTTGTATTTGTTGTGGGATATTTTGTGGCATATGATAAGGTGGATGATAGTATTGTCTAGGATATGCAGTTGGTTGTTGCTGTAAATTATTATTTCCATATGATAGATGCGATGTTGGTGGCATATAATTTGGTATTCCAGTGGAAATTTCATTCGGTGGCCGAACGATAGCAAGAAATGGGTTCATTAATTGTGGAGGTGGTACAAGAGTTTGATTATAAAAGGGTTGATACATACGATGTGTTTCCTCAAATCCATTTAGTTGATAATAACCATTCGGTGGTGGATGTGGACCTGTTGGAACAGGATAATAGGGCAGTTGATCAATATTCATAGTCTGCATCAATGAGATTTAATTGAAAATATAAGGAATATGTATAAATGAAGTCAAATATTTGATTGCTCAGATATAATTTATATATATATAAGGTATTGATTCGTCATAAACAAACCTTAATTAATTATGGATATTGTACTGTTCAAAACCAATATGTTTTTGTTAACAATATATAATATATTATTTGAAATAATAACAATAATAATAATAATGAAATGTTACTGGGTTTTTATCGTCTCCAATTAGACGACTGAAGCAATTTATTTTGTGAATAAAATACAATCTTTGAAAAAAGAAACATACATAAAATGACAGCTATATATATATATATGTATGCCTTGGAAAAATCCATAACAGGAATGGAAAAAAACACGATGACGCACCTCAAGTAGATAAAGAACAAAAAAATACGTCGTTCCTACGCATAAAAATGTGCGCTTGCAACGCGATGAAAAAAAATTTTTTTTAAAGCAGAATGATGAAGACACCTTTTATCGTTAGCAACTCGACTTTTTTTTCGTCGCGTAAAAAGCGCACATTTTTATGCGTAGGAACAGCATATAGTTTTCATTCCTTGTCTGCGCGGGGACATGACACATCGTTAAAAGGTATGGAATATTTCACAATCTCAATAGTATGTAGTGCACGACATGTGCTGTCTGTATAAATTCTACTTTTTCTTTTGTTCTTTCAACATGATATATATAAAGACAAAGTAAATGTTGTGCATCATAAACTATTGAGAAAAGTTACTTATTACAACTTATACCAAGAGGTAAATGATCTCCTCCGATCAAAATACACGTTGCGATGACGAAAACGTGCGGATTAGTGGTAACACTGGTCTGCCAGAGCAGCATTCTTTTTTACAAAACAAAATGTAAAAATTATATACCTATAAACTGTAGCATCATGGTAAGATTGTTTGCATTGGTATCTGTTTTTATTCATTGTACCAACGTCATAAAGTCTATACTATCATAATATTCAACCCTTTGGTTACGGGACAAACATATTTGCGTGTTGAACTTTTGCATGTATTATCGTCCTTATAATATTACTTAGGCTCCATCAAAAGAGGTTCCTCTCTTTTTCTCTTATCTTGGCAGCATTATTGTATATTTATGGGCTCTCATTTGCGTTCCGACGTGCCTGCTTTTCACATTTTACTTCGTTCTAGTATATTCTGCTGTATTATCTTTCTTTTCTTTTTCAATACGTTCTACGCTGTCAGTGTAATAGGTTATTTTGAAGACTATCGTACTGTGAAACATTTATGAATGCTTCTATATGTTGATAAAATTTATTCAAGACTATTTTGGAATGAAAAACAAAAAATCCATCTCAAAGACTATTATCTATCTTCTATATACATAAACACAAGTCACGTTGCTTTTTTTTATTTTAAATAATGAATAATGTTGAATAATCTTATTAAACAAAACGGTTTTTTCGAAAAAATATCTAAACACATGGATATTAACATCCAGTTCTATATGTTCTCTTTCCTCACCTGGGAATAATATAGTCGTTTTATTGTTTAATATTGAACAAAAAGAAGCAGATAAAATACGTTTTCATATCTAGGTATATTGTGTAAACTTTATTTTCATTTTATTTTATTGAGTTATTTTCCAAAAAAATATATGAGTACTTTAGTGAGTACTCATACCACCACTTGCGAGTAAAGTTAAACAAGCAACAACTAGATCAGTACGATTACGAGTACTCAATCAATAAGAATACTAATGAATTTTCATGAGTACTCATGTTGGCAAGTCGTACTTGCTTGATGATTAGTTTTACTAGGGTGGTGACTTTTTACGAGTTTAATTTTTAACACTATTTGTTGGTTGCTTTTCAGTCCTATCCGTTTGACCATCAGAAGCTAATAGTCGAGCAAATCGCCTTAGAAAATCTTCTCGTAATTCAGTTTTATTTGTACCATCAGATAATTCTGACGTAGTATTTGTTGAATTAACAACTGTATCTTTTTGACGATCTTCATCATTTGATGGAATTTCTGTTTTCAGTTCTAGAGTGCTTTGTGACACCGGATCAATAATTCTTAATGGTTGTCTTATACGTTTTTCTAAATAAAAAAAAGTGCACAATAGAGAATCTTATTTAACCATAGTAATGATTATATACCTTTTGATTGTGAAGACTGAGATGATGTTCCATATTGTTCATTAATCTAGAGACAAAAAAATGATCTTTTGAATAAAAAAATTTCTTTATCATTCTTACTGATGGCTGTGTTTGATTAGATAATTGTGTTGTTGATGTTTGTTGTGGAATATTTTGTGGCACATGATAAGCTATAAAAATAAATATACTATTATTGATTTTTCATAGTTTCCAAAAGCATTACGTGGACGATAGTGTGGTGTAGGATACGCAGTTGATTGTTGTTGTAAATTATTATTTGGATATGATAAGTACGATGTTGGTTGCATATAATTTGGTGCTCCAATGGGAATTTCATTCGGTGGCCGAACAACAAGGCGAAATGGGGTCTATTGAAAAAAAGAGGAATCAAGAGTAATAATTTCGATAAAATATTTCAAATATTACCATTGATTGTGGATCGTTTGCATGAATGAATGGTGAAGGTGGTACAAAAGATTGCATATAAACTGGTTGCTGATTATCAGCATTACGTCCTTGTGGATTGACATACTAAATATCATAAATAATATAGAAAAAAATAAAAAGATATTTATTTAATTTATACGGGTTGATGCGTACGATGTGTTTGCTCAAATCCATATGGATTCTTTGGTGTATAATCTTGAAGAATTCCAAAGAAAATTATTTGATAAATTGTAAATTAAAAAAAAAATCTACATGTATCTATTCTATTTGGTTGATAATAACCATTCTTGAGGGTATAGGTGTAGCTGTGGATCTTGTTCTTCATCAATATCCATACCCACACCTACTCTCAACATAGTGTATTCTTAGATTTCTCTTCATCTTATATTTCTTCATTTTCAATATTTGAAAAATTTCCTCTTTGAATCTCCTGTTAATTAAATTCATCAATGAGGCATCATTATTCTTGTTCATAAACTGAATTTTTAATATAAAAAGTTTGACAAAATACTTCGTTTAAACTTAATTTTCTTTTTTTCTCAAAACGAAATAATGGAAGAAACATACTGGATGATGTTGAAAGAACTGAAATTTTCTTAATAAATTCTTCTGAATCTTGTCGAATCGAAATATTTGATGGTTCATTGAATTCTTCTGTAATTTGTGTTAATTTTAATTGAAAATGATTTAAATCAATTTCGTTAAATTCATTTTCTTCATGGGTTTCTTTTAATTTCTGAGATAATTCAATAAACGTTTTTTCAATATCACTAATCGACTTTTGTGTCAAATTCGTCAGTGTTTTTCGACATTCTTCTGCTGTTTGTTGAATTTGATCAATTGAATCTGTTTCCCATTGATTAATTTGTTGAATTAAAGAAGAATTCGATGGATTCTGTTTTTGTTCAATAATCGTTTGTTGAAATTGATCATGATCATTGATAATTTCATTTAATTGTTTATCAAGAATTTGTCGATGTTCTGTTAAATGTTGAAAACAAAAATCTTTTGAACATCCTGAACAAAGACAAGTTGCATTTGCTTTGTTACAAATAGAACATTTTGCTCTGGTGTTTGCTGTTGCCATTTGTTAAAAAATTTCGGAAATAAATAAATGTTTGTTATATTTTCTTATTCGCATGCACCGTGATAAAAACAAATGAGTCATAGTCAAAAAAAAATATGTGGCGAAAAAAGAATGAAGGAAAGCGTTTTTTTTGGTAATTACAAAATGTTTATCATAAAAATAATTTGATATTCATTGGGTTTGAATTAAAAATAGATCTTCTGGAAGAAAATATTAACTTTTTCTTCTTCGAGATTAAAAAAAATATAAATAATCTTTTCATTTTCATTTAATTAAACAAAAGACTTTTCCTTCTAAAATCCGACAGGTGTCATTTATTTACTCAATTCTTTCTACTTTAATTTTACAATATAATATCGTTGAAAATGATGATTGAAGCTTTTTTTTGGATTTTGTCTAAAAAAATGTTCATATGTGTGCTTAAATAAATAATTAATCTAAAATCAATTTTCAAGTCTTTTGAAAATTTTCATTCGACTTAATTGTTTGTTTTTTCTCTTTTATAATTAAATATGAATATTAATATCATTATAAATACTTCAAAACCTCGAGGGTGTGAGTGAATCTAGATGTAGATAAAAAAAACATAGATTCACACCTGCACCCCTTGTTAAATGTTTATTACGATCTTCTGATGCATCAAGTTTAGGAAAGAATTGATGTAAAGTATTTGATAAAAATTGATTTTCATATGATTCAAATTCAATAAGACGTTCTAATATATCACAACTAGAAATATAGAATATAAAAGAAAATTATACCGAATAACATCACAATATCTTGACTTTCAATATAGAATTTTTAATTAACAAATATTTTAAAAACCAAATGAAAACTCATGCATTGACATCCACAATCTATTGATATCTTGAAGGTAGGGGTGTGGGTGTGGGTGTGATGTGAGTGTGGATGTGCGATGAATATAATACCCATAATCACACCCACACTCTTTTTATTAAAGTTGTAGTCTTTAGCACGATACGTGTATAAAAATGGAATCCCGTCATTTAATCTGGAAATGTTGAATGTGGATGTTGATGTCACTGATCTTCAGCTGAAATCCGCACACTCACCCTAAAGACAAGATTGAAAGCTCAGGAAGCAGCGCAACACAACTGCTCAAATGAAGTTTGTTCATTAAGAAATGTTGTGAACAGATTGTCTATTGATGTTTTATATTAAAAATAAATGTTGATTGAAACAGAACTATAAAAGCTTTGTTTCTTATCTTGAGCATATCGATGACAGTTGTATTCTTGTCATATACCTGATGTTCACATGATATAAAAACTGACAGGTTTTCCGTTGCTGTGTTAAAATAAACGAAGAGAATCAAATATATATGTATAAAATCAAAAATTGTCATATTTCTTGTTTATATGATTTAAATACTCCAAGAATGAGTATATATTCATATTGAATTTCGATCTGCTTTGTTCGTCTTGTATCAAGAGAAACAAGTAATGCGGCAGCAGAGAACATAAAAGCTTTATGTTCTAATTGTGACAGATCTCATTCTTTTGATTGTTTCAATGAAGATCATCATTTAATGTAATAAATGTTTCTTGAGGGTGTGGGTAGGAGAAGAAAAAAACACTCACACCCACAACTCGCCGCTGCTAGATAGCAAGGAATATCAGATAATTCGTCCGACTTTTACGACTTTGATTATGTTTCAATAAAACTATTGCTACTAATTCGTAAGATCCGTCTGTTTTCAGAGTGCTGTTCTTGCATATATTGAGTTTATGTATATTTTCCATGCCTCTTCAGAAAAATACATCGTAACGCGATGAACAATTCCACTTTTCATATATCTCATGAGTTTTCATTCGAAAACAGATCAGAATACTTATTTCATAGAGAAACAAAAATGTTATTAAAATATGTGTCCAGACAAAGCAAATTATTTGACAGGTTCAAATAATAATATATCAAACTAATCATGATTTATTCATTGACGTCAAACATTTATTGACGATGATTTTTAATATCATATTTTCATTAAAAATACGCCTAATGATTGACATCGATATATTGATCAATTCTTATCTCTCTTCATCACGTTCTTCTTCTCTAAAATTAAAGATTTTTCTATAAAATTAAAAAAAGAAAACGATCATTTCCAATTTAAATTTCATTGTATGCTTTCGAAAACAATAAAAAACATCCAATTAAATGAACAATTTTGTTCACTAATCCAATCTGAAATCATTGCTTTATCTTATCTACGATGATACCATCTCTAGAATACTATTCTTTCTCTTTGTATGTTATATTGGGAGAAATGAATGAGAGAAAAAGAGAGATATATAACTAGAGAGAAAATCTACAGCGAGTGTCATTTTGTTTTCACCGAAGGCAAAAAGAAGGAGATTATTTTATTAGTTAACTAATTTATCGAAAAAAAACTCTTGTTGAATGATGTGGAATATCTACATATTTATCATTATTCTTCTGTTCCTTCTCAACTATGAAACATCAGGTAAATAATTTTATTTATCACATACCGAAGATTAGCTATTGCACAAAAATGGCATTATTCATTAGAGTTTTAGTTGAACAAAAGGGAGTGAAATAATAGATTATAGAATTTGACAGGAATTTCTTTGATATGTTCAAAAGTGATGGTATTAATCTCTTGTAATGGCTATGCGAGACTTTTTCGTGGTATGAAGAATGAATATATTTTAAATTAGAAGTATAAGTTGGAATACCGATTGATAGTATTGTAGATATCTAAGTTTGTATTGATTCGTAGTTTCAAAACGATTGAAAACTTGAATATTATTGGAATCTTCTCTTGATATCGAATTTATTTGTAGGTGTTCAGACGAGAATGAAACTCAAGAGAAAGGAAAGAAATCTATTTCGTCATATTGCATTAGAACATCTAAAAAAAAGGATTAATTAAGTTTTACAGATGAAGTCAAAATCAAGAAAAGAAAAGATGAACAGCTTAATGTAAATGAAAACAAAGTTTTGTGAAATTATTTGACTATTTCGGTTCCAAATAAGATGTAGATCCATTACATAAAAAATACTATGACTATGATAAAATAATTATATTAAGTTTGATGCACTCAAAGAGTTTTATGCATAAAAATAGAAGTGAGGTATGAAGTCAATTGATCATCTACTTATATATAAATATATTATTTACTTTTATAGAAAATAAAAAGGATTTAAAACTTTTCAACTGCACAAAAGGAAAGAGCCTTTTTTTAGAATATGAGATTATTTCATAGGAATGAATTTGGTTGATCAATGAATTGATAAATACTCTTCATCGACACTTTGTGAGAAAATATTAACTTTTGAGCTGTAGAAATGAATACATCTACTAGAAAGAAAGAAGGAGTACAAATCATATGATAATATAGAATTATTTTGCAAGTGCAAATTCACGATTGACCCTACCACTTTTCTCACTAGACTATTATAAAAAGAATATTGTTAAGTATAAGACAAGATTTGAATCAAAGGTCAAATACATATAAGGTTTTCTCATGTTTAAAAGGAATCGATGATTATTGGAATTTTTTTCACAAAATATTGAAGTTGAAATAATGAGGGAAAAAAAGAATGTTTTCATTTTATTTTCATCTCAAAATATTTTTTTTAAATAATTTCTTCGAATGACTATTTAATTAAAAATTAGTAAGAGAATTTTCTCCTCTCTTCCACACATTAGATATTCAATTGAAATGATTTAATATCAATAAATTCACAGTGTTTTCCATATGAAAATGAGAATTGGGTTTAAATTTCAAAGACATATTGTTTATATCTCAATCAATTTCAATAAATTTGTTTTATTGTAAACAATTCTTTTTTTCTCCTTCAAATTTATTTTCGCTAAACAATTAAAAAAATGATCTGATTATTTTTTTTGTCCTCAATGATAATCATATCTTTTCGGAGACCGAACATAATTATTTTTCTTTTACAATAAAACAAATCAATAAATAAAGTCGATCTTCTTCGATGAATTCAGTCCTCTGTTAGTTGATGTTTACAAATCATCTGAGAAAATACAACAACAATTATAGAAATCTTTTCAAAATTAATCTTAATGAATTTTTACAAGAAAAAACATAAATTGTCAATTTCATTTTATTTACAGTTCTTCTCTAATATTTTTTCTGTTTTTCTCGTTTGAGCTCTTTCATTCAATCAGCCGAAATTCTCTCCAACAGCCACCTGGGATTCGAATGGAATTACTTTTGCTAATCGATCGAGTGTCGGCTTAAATCCTCTCACTATTTTTGTGAGCACAAACAACACAATCTATGTCGCTAATCGAGAAAAAAAGAGAATTTTAATTTGGCATAAAGAGAGTATCAATCCAGCAAAGATTATTCATACTAATTTTACAGGACCCCCTTCTCTGTTCGTGACATCAAATGGTGATATTTATATTGACGATGGTGGTACTTATATTAACGATGATGATTATAGTGGTCAAGTGCACAGATGGAGTGCTGAAACAAATAACTTTGTCACAGTGATGAATGTCAACTCATTATGTTATAGTTTGTTCGTCGATATCAATGATACTCTATATTGTTCAACATTTAGTCAACATCGAGTCCTGAAAAGATCATTACATGATTCTGCGATAGCTTCAAATTGTGTTGCTGCTGGAACAGGTATTCAAGGATCAGCCTCGAATCAACTCGGCGGTCCTGGAGGAATCTTTGTTGATGTAAATTTCGATTTATATGTAGCAGATTGTCTAAATGATCGAGTTCAGTTGTTCCAGTTAGGAGAATCAAATGGTATTATAGTGGCTGGAAGTACATCACTAAATCCAACAATCACACTTAGCTTTCCAACTGCAATTATATTAGATGCTGAGAAATATTTATTCATTGTGGATTATCAAAACAATCGTATTGTTGGTTCAGGCTTGAATGGTTTTCGATGTTTAGTTGGATGTTATGGAATGGGTTTACAATCCAATCAGTTGAATACTCCATTTAGTTTTAGTTTTGATCATTCTGGAAACATATTTGTCATTGATCAATCAAATCATCGAATTCAAAAATTTTTATTGATGAACGATTCTTTTGGTAAGTCGAAGAAAAGTTGAATGAAATGAAGAGATGTGAATAGATAAGTAACAGAAGTAAAGGAAGACATTTCAATATAGAAAACCAAAGAAAAAAAATGGTTGAGAAAGATTAATTAAACTAATGTGTAAAAGAATATTTAAGGAAATGAAATGTTCAGATTAGACAGAGTCATGTGTCAATCCTCTAAGACAAATTATCTTCACCTTTTTGTTCAGATTCTGGAACAGAGAAATAAAAAGTTCTATCTTTAATGGGGTGTTAGAAAGGCCTTTCATATTTCACTTCATTTGTCTCAAAGAATATTTCATTAAGGAAACAGTTTTTCATCGAAATAAAATCTTTCCATATCTTTATCGATATAGTTTTAATATAAATTATTCTATGATTTAACTTCATATTGCATATTTCGATATGTTTGATTGCAGAAAAATAGGACAAATAAAATATCACAATTCTAACAGCAAAGTTTTCTTCTTCGTTCTTTTTGCAAAATGAATCCAGTCATTGCTTTCCTTTCAGAAAGAGTACTTTCAATATGAAATATTATTAAATGAACTTCCTCATAAAGAAATGTTTGATTGATGATTTGTTGTTTGCATGAATAGTTATTATAATATTTAATTGTAGAGAATCATATTGAATAGTTGAAGGGAATCTATAATGTAATATATGTAATTGTTAATGAGAGATATGGTATGTTATTATTTCTATGAAAGAAAAAAGTTGTTTATTTGATAAAATAAATAAAATCTAATAAGCTGATTTTGAACAAAAATATTTATTTCCTTAATTAAATTTATTATTTAACATGATCAATAAGAAAAATTGATTTTCAATCAAATCGATTTTAGATTGTTCCTAGAACGAAAATTTTACATAAGCCAAGTAACAAAGTTTTGCTTATATCTGTACACTTCAATGAGAAAAAGTTTTTTTGATTGATAAAAAATTTGTTAGTTTTACCAATATTTAAATTTTTTTTACTGCTTCCTGAAGATGTTTAGTTAATGATTGTTTCCGTTTTAAGATAATTATTCATTCTGTTCACATGAAAATAGAGATTTTCTTGTTTTATTCTTTATTTCATAGGAAAAACATTGAAATCTGTAAAATATTATTAAGATTACAAAGAAAGATTTGCTTTATGCATAATGAACAAAGACGAAATATTGTGATCTTTGATGAACATTTGAAATCTCTTGAGATAAAAAATGTCCATGCGACAATTTACACAAAGAGCATTTCTAGAGAGACAAGAAGACTTTGTATGGATCATAAAAAATTGTATTTTTTTCTCTCATTTTTCTTTCCTTTCTCATTCAGTACCGATATGATATGTCGTGAAATTATTTTTTATTTCTTAATGAAACTTACTAAGATAAATCTAGTTGTTACCTATAATATAGACAACTGAGATAACATAGAGACATTTATCGTTTCCCTTTGGTTTCTTCTCTAAATTAACTTTAAATGTTTTAACAAAAAAGAGTTTGAGAAACTTTGAATAAATATTTAAAAAAAAGATCTGCAGTAGGCATGTAGCGAACCCGAACGTTCGGGTTCGGTTTTAGGGTTCGGGTTCGGGGTGGTATGCACCGACCTCCAACAATTTAAGTATCGAAATGATTGTTTTGACATGTGTGGTCACCGAACCCGAACAGTTCGCGTTCGGTTGATGTTTTATAATTTCCTTTATTATGCTTCCACATATGTCAGAAAAGTCATTTCGAAGCTTAAATTGTTAGAGTTCGGTCCAAACTACCCCGAACCCGAACCCGAACTGTAGTTCGGGTTCACTACATGCCTAATCTGCAGTGACATATCTACAGAATTATTTCAAAAAAATCGGCCTGATAGTTAAAATTCACTTGAGAAAAGTGAATGAAATGTTTAAAGTTGAAAAGAAAAAAATTTGACTGATAAAGATTTCTTCTTTTCTCTTTATTATTTTTCCTTAAATAAATAAGTTCTTTTATTTAACTATTTTCTTTGATACAATTTATTCAGATCTTTCACAAGATTTTTCAGCAAAAAGTAATAGGAAATGTTTTTATCTAAAATGATTAACATCGATATTTTCAACAAAAATATTTAAAAAACACCGCAATTCATATTTCATATAAAGATTAATAAAAATCATTCCTACAGTCAATGTTAACAAACATTTCTTAACGTCTTTTTCTTCTAACGATAAATTAAAAATTTCATTTTGTTTATAGTTCTTGTCTAATATTCTTTCTATTTTGCTTGTTTTTAGCTCTTTCATTCAATCAGCCAAAGTTTTGTCCAACAGCCACTTGGAATCCCAATGCAATTACCATTGCTAATCGATCAATTGTTGGTGAATATTCTCACGCCATTTTTGTGAGCACAAACAACACAATATATGTCGCTAATCGAGCAAATAACACAATTCTAATATGGCATGAAGAGAGTGTCAATCCAACAGGCATCATTCGTGCTAATTTTACAGGACCCTCTTCTCTGTTCGTGACATCGAATGGTGATATTTATATTGATGATGGTCTTGAGAATGGACGAGTGCAGAAATGGATAGCAGGAGCAAATAACTTTTCCACGGTGATGAATGTCAACTCATCGTGTCATGGTCTGTTTGTCGATATCAATGATACTCTTTACTGTTCAATGGGTGATAATCATCAAGTACTGAAAAGATCATTAAATGATGCTGTAATGACTCCAAATCGTGTTGCTGCTGGAACAGGTATTGAAGGATCAGCCTCAAATCAACTGAGCGATCCTGGTGGAATCTTTGCCGATGTAAATTTCGATTTATATGTAGCAGATTGCAACAATGATCGAGTTCAATTGTTTCAGTCAGGAGAATCATATGGCATCACAGTAGCTGGAAGTACATCACTAAATCCAACAATCACACTTAATTTTCCAATTGGAATTATATTAGATGCTGACAAATATTTATTCATTGTGGATCAATACAATAATCGCATTGTTGGTTCAGGCTCGAATGGTTTTCGATGTTTAGTTGGATGTTATGGAATGGGTTTACAATCCAATCAGTTGTATGGTCCATTTAGTTTTAGTTTTGATCATTCCGGAAACATGTTTGTTGCTGATTATGCAAATCATCGAATTCAAAAATTCAAATATTTAAAAAGATATTGTGGTAAGTTGAAGTATAATCGATTTTGTTAGAAAATACTGAAGTTGAATGCGAAAGAAAAAACTGTAAATGAAACTTTTATAATAAAAAAAAATAAAATTGTGTAAATAGAATAATTGATTAATTTAAGAATTTCAATTTAAAACTAGTAAATTCAGTCAAAATATGAAATTTCAATTAAATATAGATATTGTTCTTTTAAACATACTCGACTTCAAGATGTGAAGATAATTATCAGATCAGAAAAATCATCAAAGATTTTAATTATTATTCAATGAGTAAAACAGAACTTTTCAGATGTTATGCAGAAACTATCTGATCAATATGAACAATATTATGTTCTATTTGATTGGTTACGAAAAAAAATCTCAGTTATATATAACCATGTAGAAGTTTCTCTCTCTTACTCTTCCTCGGTCAGATTTTGTTTTAAATTTTTAAGTTTCATGTAAAAGTCAAACATTGATGTGCATATCAATCAAAGACTTTGATTATATTCTCTTCGATACTGTTCGACCTACATAATGTTTCCTCTTTTCAAAATCTTGAAAGACAAATAATATCACAGAATAAAGTCAAATCATTTTCAAATGCTTTGTGATTGAGAAACAGATTTTTATCTTTTGAACGCAAATTATCGGTTCAATAGCTTAGAAATATATATTTAAAACGAATACAAATTCCTAATCAAAAAGACTTGTATCCTTGTGTATTCATGATAAACTTCAATTGGTTTTATTGCTCATTTAGTCAATACTCCCTTGATTTTCCAAAATATCTATTCATCATCATTAACTAACAACAATCAAAATTATTATCGAGATTGTCAGAAAGAAATTTTTTATTATGAATCTGTTCAAGTGAAGGTGATCGAAACTGGTTACTACACTTTTCGTGGTAATGGTGACATCGATCCGTGTGGATCCATTTATAAAATTAAATTTAATCCACTTGATCAATCAGAGAATTTGCTCGATAAAGAGTATAACAGTTGCTCTGATATTCAGTTTAAACTTAATATCTATCTTGATGTTCACACAATATATGTATTGGTTGTGACAACATATGAATCAAAAGAAACTGGACAATTTTCGATTGTTGTATTTGGTAAAAACAAAGTTATTCTCGAGCGTCTTAGTAAGTATCTAGATATTTGTGTTATATATTAAATAATTCGTATAAAATATATAGTATATCTTCTAAATTCAATTACATCTTTTATTCGATATCAAGAGAATGCACTGAACTTATACTATTTGATGTTAAAACATTTGCTAGCAAGATATGTACTCTTATGTTTTTCTACCACTATTTTAGTAGATAGCTGCTATTCGGTTTCCATAAATACTAGATGAAAAATGTTCAAAAAATATTAGTCAACGACATATTTGGAAACATTTAAGAGTCACGTATTGAAAACCTAAAAATTATCTTACCATAGCTCAGTACCTTTAGATTTCTGTAGCATACAGATTTCAGAATACTTACTTGAAGAATGTGATTTTGGTACATTTACTAATCTATATTTTCAAAACTAAATCTTTATAGAAAATCTTAAACATTTCACTTTCATCTTTGTTAGATAATAATTTCATGAACGAATAGTTGTTGAACTATTTCTGTTTTTTTATTAGTCAATAAATATTTTCTGGATAAAATGTGGAAGACACAAATTTGTAATAGTATCAAAATTCTATGAATTAGCTGACGGTTTTTTATCGAACAGGTACCCCAGTAAATCTCCAATATATACATTCATCACAATTAACTGATGATAGTCCAACATATTATCGAGATTGTAAAGTACCACAATGTCATTATGAAACTTCACAAATTCATGTTAATACAACGGGTTTGTATGTTCTTTGGAGTGAAAGTAATATTAATGCATACGGATATATCTATCAAAATGATTTTAATCCTCTAAAACCAACTGAAAATCTACTCCTATCACATGATGGTGATTGTAATGATGGAGAGTTCAAGTTAATCATCGATCTTGAGATCAACACTCGATACATATTAGTTGTGACAACACACAAACCTAAGATAATTGGGAATTTTTCTGTTTTTATCTCTGGACCAGCCAATGTCAGCCTTAGTCCTTTCAGTAAGTATTTATATGAATTTTTTGCATAACAAACTTATAAAGCTATGAAACACGTGAAAAGAAGGTTTCTTGCACTTATTTGATTAGTGAGCAATTCTTATTTTAGATTTTGAAAAAATGTCTATCGAGTTATTAAACTAAATAGTTGTCAGAATCTCTTACTCGATTGATCTGCTAGAAAAGATATCTGTTTACCATAAATCCTCGATGGATTTTCCAAACTTTGAATGTCACTACTTACATCTTTTTATATATTTATAAATATGGAGTTTTCGAAGACTCGAAATCAGTAGTTAAAGAATAGGTCACTTTCAACAGTTTATTAATGACCTTGAGAAACAAGTAAATTGTCAAAACTGAATATTTTATTTGTCAAAATAACTCAATTTCTTTATTATTCTCTAATCAAAATATATCCAATATTTTAGGTCCAGAACTAAGTAGTTGTGTTATCGGTGATCAATGTAACTTTTATATCAAAGGAATTGGTTTGACACTTGATGATATTTTACGCGATGAACTTAAACCAAATACAGTGTTGAATAATCAATCATTTTCGATTAAACTAAGTGCAGGCTTAACAATTATTATGTTTGTTGCAGGATTAATCAATAGTATTCTTTCTTTCATTACATTTCAAAATAAAGATTCTCAACAAGTTGGATGTGGAATGTATCTATTAGTATCATCGATTACTTCTCTTTTCACAATTACTATGTTCATAATTAAATTCTGGTTCGTTGTTCTTACTCATATCAATGTGTCCATTAGTCTCTCTGTTCTTCGTGGAGGTTGTGCATCTATTGAACCGATTCTAAAACTTTTTCTCTACTTGGATGGTTGGCTTAATGCTTGTGTCGCAGTTGAACGAGCTGTACTTATTCTTAAAGGAGTCAAATTTGATAAAAAAAAGAGCAAATCTATTGCTCGACGAACAATTCTTATTTTACCACTCTGTATTCTTGGGACACTCATTCATGAACTCGCATTTCGCAGATTGTTCGAGTATGAAACAGCACCAGATACGACAGATACGAGTACGACTAATGAAGACACAATCAAACGATATGTATCATGCATCACTCATTATTCTCCTCCTATCCAAGATTATAATACAGCCGTTCTATTTTTTCATCTTGTTGGTCCATTTACTGTTAATCTTTTCTCTGCATTGTTCATCATCTTTGCAGGTGCTCGACAACGATCAAAGGCACGAACTAACCAAAGTCTTAAAGAGCATGTTCAACAACAATTCAATGAACATAAACAATTGATCATTAGTCCAATAGTTTTACTCATTCTGTCGATACCTCGTCTCATCATTTCATTACTTCCTGGTTGTGTGAAAACATCCGAAAACTTGTGGTTGTATCTTGGACCATATTTAATTTCTTTTACTCCTCCGATGCTAATTTTTCTTATCTTTGTCTTTCCTTCAGAATTGTATATGAAAGCGTTTAAAAAATTGTTCATTCGTATTCGAAGGCGTACTCCTCCCTAATTAATCCGTTCAATTTAAATGACTTAATATCAAAGATATTGTGAACTTCAATGACATTATTTATTTGTTGGCTTCTCGTGATGAATCAATCGATGTACTGTTGCATTTGAAAATCATGTTTCAAAAGAGACAATGAACACTTTTAGCTTACTTTCGATTATCATCAATTGAAATAACAACACGTGGAATAATAACAGATAATACAAACACATAAAATGATTGTTATTCTGTACTTTCATCAATTAGTGATAATCGAAACTCATGAGAAAATGTTGTGCAATAGTTGATGACTATTAGACTAAGTGATAAAGATTAGAAGAAACTATATCAACTTTACACAAACTATATTTTTTGCAACATTATTCACATTTCTTCTCTGTCCGTCTGTTGTGCGCTTTTCATGTGGCTTTATTTTCTGTAGTAAAATCGAGCAGAAGTGCTGAAATATGCACAAAGAAAGAACTGGGTATATGTTCTATGAAACTTCACATGATTCTCTCGAACTGATACTGAAAAAATGTTTTGATCTTATTAAATATTTCATCCGATGGCATAATATATCTGCATAATAAAGTTAATGAGAACTATTTTGAGAATGTGAGTTAGTGTGAGTATATGTCTGATAACAAAATATCCTTAGGCACACCCATACTCTCACACCTGCTCATATCGGAAATCTTTATTTGCTTTTTCTTGACAAGAGGAAGACACTTAGAGCACCTAGAACTATTAAACCTGATAAATTTCAGTTCATGACAAAAGAAAAACAATTTATAGAAAGAGAAATTTTCTTTCTGATAGTAATAGGAAAATATTATTCTATGAAATCATATACATTCATGGAACATTCTCAAAACAAAAGTTTTTAGATAATTAGTTTTATTCTTCAACTCTTAATACAAACATAAAATAACAAATTTAACATAAAAGTAAAATATTCGATCTTTCATTATTCTATACGTACATAATCTTTAAACAAATATTTAAATGCTTCATTTCTCACTCTTTTATTCTTATAAAATAAGAATATTGGCAACATTGCAATAGCTACTATCACTGAATTAACTGATACAAAATATAATTCTCTTGGTGCCATTCCATTTTCTATTAAATCCCAAAGTATAAGAACTAAATAAGGTGCACCACCACAAATAAGAAAGTTCAAAATAATTAACATATTTTTCAGTACGATTAAATTTTTTCGAACAAAATTTAATGAAATACAAGCAGCAGTGATCTTTATAATTCTATTTGATCCAACTCGATGTGTCGATTGACAAACTTGATGAAGAATTAAACCATAAACAATTAACACAAAAACTTTTGGAAAAATATATAAAAGAATAATAGAATATGATGCCACAGGTAATTTATGTGTTTTAATTCCACACATTCGATGTTCTTCTACAACTTCAAAACTATCTTCGATAAAAAGTGGTCGAATAGCTACTAAAAAACTTGCTAACCATTTCATAATTATTAAAATATAATGTGTACGCCAACTCAATAAAAATGTATGAGTATAAAAAATTGAAAAAAATAATCGACTAATTGCTTGAATTAAAAATGAATAAGTTATAGCAGCAACTGTTGTTGTTATTAAATACATACGTAAAGTACAGAATGGTTGATAAGAATACCAATCATTACGAATACCATAATAACATCCAATAAGATGTATAATTAAATACAGTATTGATGATATAGATAAATCACATACGAGTAAATTATGTATAGTGTGACATTTTCGATGATTTACAATAATAAAAGTAAGTAAGAAATTAAATATAATACCAACAAGTGAAGCGATAATAGAAATTGAAAAATTTATCTGATAAAATAATTCAGAAAGCATATTTTGATATCTTTAGAAAATCTAATGCATTTGTTGGTAGTTGCTGATAGATGAATCAATGTCTCTTTTGAGGAGACAAGTTCTGACAGATAGAATAGAATCTTTTTCATATTTTTCTCTCAAAAGAAAATAGAAAACATGCGACTCTCATTTCCGTTTCTTTTTTCTATTCACATAGGTAATTAGAGTGCTGCATATTTTTTGAGTATTGAATCATCAAATTTTGATGTTATTCATTATTTTCATATAGAAAAGTTTTCAATGAATAATTTATCCGCTGACTGTTAACACTATTTTTTCTTCATGTAATTTTTTATTCGATCATAAAATGTCAAACGTTTGGAATTAATAAAGCATTGATATAGAAATGCTTGTGAAGATATTCAAGTTGGAAACTGTTGTTCTTTCATAGAAATTGGATTTTAGTTATAAAACGTTCATTAGTGCTTAAAAGATATTTCAAGTAAAATTATATTTCAGATAACTGTTTACCTTGACGATTCTTTTCAAGCGTCTCATCGACAATTGTATACATGAAAAATATATATTATTTTGAAGAGCATTACAGAATAAATCTGAAGAGAAGAAGAAATTAAGAGGCGCATTTTTTCTGGGGCACCGCTTAGTTAATTAATTAATTAGACGGTTGATACATACTAAACATTAATAACGTCGAGATTGTAGATGAAATAGAGGATTATTTTTATTTTTAATTGGAACCATAGTAAATGATCTAAAAAGCGATTTTTATTTAGTTGTTTTGTTTGAGATGTATTAGTATCACTAGCAATTAAATAGTGTTCTAGAAAGTAATAGAAATAGTGAAAGAAAACGATGCAATGAAATAAACAAGATTAGGTATGAGGCATTCAAAGGAATATGTATTCGAATTTATACAAAAACATGTTCGGTTCTGTTTACTAATAAATCTGACGCATTTTTTTTTTCTTAAATGAAAGATAAACGAAGATGTTTTCTAGTTCTGCAGCATTTCACAATGAAGATTCTTACAAAAAATATATTTTATTTCCACGCAAGAAGGAAACAACTGATTCTTGATTAGATATGAGTTTAAGTGATTAGGACAGTTAGCGGATTTATAACCAGCTGTTTTCCTCTTATGCGACATGGTATATTTTTGGTCATTTGCGTGTCAAATTGATACATCAAAATTTGGTGGTATTGTAACAAATTTAAATCTTAATGAAAGTATTTCTGACTATGCAAAAGATATCACTCTAGTTGTTATTATTTCACAATTGACTAGTTTGATACATCAATATCTCTGGTGGTTTCTTTTAGTCATTTCACTTTATGCAATTTATATAATTATCATCTTGCTATTTCTTCTCACATACTGTTCAATTACATGATGGTACCAATTAAGAACAAGACGATTCAGCTATTTCAACAGAAAGATGAAACAATGAAAATTGTTTTTATAGCTCAACATTCATAAACGGCAGGCATATTCATGAATGTTTTAGTATCTAATGTTCTTTTATAACAAAAACAGATCTTGACTTGATCAAATACATGTTGCGATGATGGAATCATGTAGATTGCGAATAACATTAATCTACCAGGGTAACATTTTCTTCATAAAATATAATACCTTCAGTTTCACTTCATTATATAACTTACTATTTATTTCACAATAACAATAAGTGGTCTTCTTCCAAATTAAGTGTCCTAAAGATTATCTACAATAACAACAAAAAAGAACAGAAATGATATGTAACATGTACTAACAAACATATATTCATTATATTTGTCCTGTTATCTATCTGATACATATAAGAAATTATGTATTTTTAATAAGAAAAATTTATTGTTTCAGATATATCTCAATGTATAATTGTCCTACTCAAGATTATGCTCTATGACCAACAAGAAAAATTCTTAAACTTTAAAAGATCATTTAAAATATATTTCACGAAATCGAAATAAAGAACTAACGAGAAAAAGGTCAGCTCAGATATAGTCTCAATAAGAAATAAACTTTATCTTTATATAAATATTCAATCAGTGTTTTATATTTCATATAATATAGAAAAGATTGATACATTGTTTGTTTTAAATATTTGAAATTTTTATATATTATTTGTCATTTGATTTTTGTTTCAGTGAAGAAAACTAAACTGATGTTCAAAAATTCACTTGAATGATTCTAATCTCAATGGGATCGGCACTGGCATTTCAAACCAGCGATAACTAACCATACAAATTTAAGTTGCTCATGTTTACTCTCTTCACACACATGTTCATTTTCTAGTCAATGACAGAGAACAATCGAATCTTTTCTATGACTCATTCATGATGATGGTTATTTCACAAGAATGATGAAAGTTGTTATATGAGTCATAATACAAGTTTCTACTCTTATTAACGTTATTTGTCGATATCTTTTGATTATACAATAATATGATTATTATAATTCATTACCAATTAATTTTAATCTATACTGTATCTGAGTATAGTTTGTCTTTTATTTTTTCATTTGAAATAGAAAATGTTGCTCTGGCAAGTCAGTGTTGTCACCAACCTGCATATTTTCGTCATCGCAACATGTTATTTGATCATATCAAATTTTTATTTACCTCTTGTTATAAGTTGTAATAAGTAACTTTTTATTTCAGTATGTCGAGCACGATATTTACTCTGTCTATACACATGTTATATTCAAAGAACACGAAGAAACATGAAATATGTTATGACACAGTAGATGTAGTCATTCATCACATATGAAATTGACAACTATAAGAATAATCAACAACAATGACACGGTATGTAAAACAATTAGCATGTAGATTTCATCCGGAAGCAGTATTGATCGAAGATTACCGTGCTGGTGATATGATTTGTTCAGCATGTGGATTAGTTGTTGGAGATCGAATGATAGATGTTGGGTCGGAATGGAGAACATTTTCTAATGATAGTGATACAAAAGATATGAGTCGTGTTGGTGGTGCAGCAAATCCATTATTTAATAATGATAATCTTGAAACTATGATGTCACTAGGAACAGGTGCAGGAGCAGTGGATGAATTTGGTAAACAAAAATATACTGCAGGTGGATCTCATAAAATGTCATCAGCAGATAATACATTAAGAAATACATTTGATGTTATTCGACAAATGGCAGGACGTATTTCTTTATCAAATCGGATTATTCATCGAGCATGTTCTATTTTTAAACATTCTCATGAAAATAAATGTGTTCGAGGTCGTTCACAAGATGTTATTGTTGCAGCATGTATTTATATTGCATGTCGACAAGAAAATGCACAACGTACAATCAAAGAAATTTGTGCTATTTCAACAAATGCATCAAAGAAAGATATTGGTCGATGTTTTACACAGATTATCAAAAATTTACCAGTTTCAAATCAACCGACATCAGTTGATGTTATTAATTTAATACCTCGTTTTTGTAGTCAACTTGAATTTCGAGAAGAGATTCTCATTAAAAAAACAGCTGTTCATATTGCTGAACGTGCAAAAGAAATTTGTGATATACAAAGTCGTGCACCAGATTCAATTGCAGGTGCTTCAATCTATATGGCTTGTGCTGCTATTGGGGAACAAAAACGAATGGAAAATATACAAACTATAGTTGGTGTGACAGAAAATACAATTCGACAAATATATAAAATAATGTTACCAAAAGCTTCACAATTATTTCCAACAGATTTTCAATTTAAATGTCTACCAGCAAATTTACCATCATCATAAAGAAGAAAATATTACAAGAAATATGTCAAAAAGACTAAGTCATGATACGCACTTGCTAGAACAATACTATCAAAACATAGAAATATACTTCAATTTTTCATGTATATAACAAAATATTTTTCTTCAAAAGAATAAATAGTAACTATACATGAACAGTCATGTATTCATTGTGCATTTTATAAGTAGTACTCATGTTGATGTGATATTAGAAAATGTGAGCAAGAATATTCAATTCAATGTAATCTATAGCATTTTGTTCTTATTTTTGTTTACTCATTATATAGAAATTAGACTCAAAACACAACTAATAAAATCAAGAACATTTTAGAGATTATTTGTATGAAAATATTTAGTGAGAATATCACTTCAAACAACGATTGAAAAAAATGAGATATCTTCAACAATAAAAAATAAACAATAATCTATGAAAATAGACAATACATGAGGTTTTTTATTTAAATATGTTTAGCCGGTGAACTTATTCTCGATGCACCATTTTCATTTATGACGTGTCCTGATAATAATGGAGTTGTATCGAAATCAGTTCTTTTAGGACCAGTAAACCAATAACGAGCAGAAACAAACCAATAGATTCCAGCAAGAAATAAAACTCCAACAATAGCTACAATAGAATAATTCATATTTGTCCATGTCATTGGATATTCTTGTGGAAGACATAAAATAATTGATGTAATTGTTAACCATATCGATGAAATAATTGCTATTGGAATACTTAATTTACCTAAATTAAATTCACCTAATACAAATGTTTTTCGTGCTGTTGTACATCGTAATAAAACTGGGATTAAATAAGATATTTGTAAACTACTTGTTGAAAGAGTAATAAAAGCATAAAAAGCTGTTGTTGATATGAGTTGAAATAACAAAAGAATAGAATTTATCACAAATACACTTATAATAGCAGCTAATGGAGCTTTGGTTCCTTCATAGATCCAACGAAAATAATGTGATAATGGAAAAATACCATCTCGAGCCAATGAAAAACTATTAGAAGAAAATGTTGAAAATAGATTAATAAAATCATTTATTTTATTTACTAAAGTCGAGTTGTTGATGTAATAGATGCCACACCAGCAAAATAAAAACTAATGAGAAGAAGAATAGTTAATATTAATGTACCATGATATGATAGAGCTAGTTTAAAAGTAGCCACAGTATCATCTAATGTGTCACCATTTTCATTCTCATTCTCTTCATTGTCTTTAACAAATTGTGCAATATTTGGAATAGTAAAAAGAACAGCAAGTAAATAAACAAATCCAGCAATAGCACTACAGATACATGTCAAAACTATTTCTTTAGGTGCTATTACAAAAATAAAAGATAATTCATTTTTATTAGACAAAACTTTTCTATCAATTATTTTACCTGTTCGACCAGCATCTTTTGTTTCTTCAGCTAAATTAGCACTACCTAAAATATATTCACATTTCATTATTAAATATGTTTCTTTATCTCATATCTATCTATTTATATTACCTGCATAACCAGATAACGAAAAAAGAGTGGAAAGAATACTAATACAACACACATAAACAAATGGTAAACCCGTACCATTATAAGTAGAAAAAAAGACATCATGAACAGTTGCATGTTTTGGAGTCATAATAAACAGAACAATAACAATAATTAATGTTGCACTTAGCTGAAAAATAGCTGATAAATTATTTATCCATCCTTGTTGATTAATACGAAGTGTATTTATAGCACTCCATGTAAATAAAACAATAATACTTATTAGGACTTGATCAGTTGTACTTAATGATGGTTTATCATGGAGCATAATTACAGCATTTAAAATACTTACAAAGCCAGAACAATATGATGCATCACCTATTTATTCATATCAAGAGAAAATATAAAGAGAGAAAGTTGAATTAAAGTTTATCTACCAGTGACATTTCCAACAAAACTTAACCATCCACAAAAATATGATATTAATGGAGCACTATCAGCAGATGCAAGTTGACCAGACCTAATCAAATAAAATTATTTTAACTGATAATTTTTATTCTAATAAAAATACTTTACCAATGATAAACTGATCCAGCATTTGGATAAACTGAACAGATTTCAGCCAAAGAATAAGCAACAAGTATAGTAAATAAGGATCCAATCATCCATGACCAAACAGCCACACCTGATCCTCCTGTTTTTAATGTATAATCAAAACTTAGTGCAATTGATACTACAACACTAGTTGATGTGAAACAAAATGCAAATGACATAAATGAAGAAAAACCACGATGAAGTTCTTGCTTATAACCCATTTCTTCCAGATGACGTACATCTGAAGCTTCTTGTTTTTCTTCTTCTGCATTTTCATAATCACTTTTCGTTTGTGGAGGTATATTCATCGATGATGATGATGATTCGAATGAAGACATTTAGAATATTATCAAATATTAACAAAACTTTCAATAATTTATTTTAATGATGATAGAAATTGTTTTGTATTGAATTTATTATCAATAAAAATACAATTATAAATGCATTTTTATGTATGATAATGGATATTTGACAATTACTAATTAATGGAGTTTAGTTGAAAATAACGAATGCAAAGTATATTGTTTATTGAGATTATATAGAATTCGTAGATGTTTTTGTAATATAATATCAGTTGATATATAACTTAATAAGTCAGTATATGAAGATTCATTCAAAAACTAACGTGTACAGATACATGTGAGCGTCACGGTCCACTTATTTTGTTTTGTGTTGATAACCAAAACAGTCGTCAAGTGTAAATACATATTCAGTGACAGTTACAGTCTAGTGAGAGATTGTAGAACTACTCATTCGTCATTTATTTATTTTTGTTTCTTGTCGTTGCTAAATAGTTAATCCGAGATGGGAAATCTTTCCACTCACTCATATTTTCGATAATACATTGAAAACTCATTGATACATAGATGTCACGTAGTATCGGTAGATCCTCTGAAATAATAATTATATATTTCCTGTGATTTAAACTGCTCAAAAATCATTGTTATATCATCTTAAGGATAATTATCAGTTTAAATGAAGGTTGACTTACATTCACATTCATTCAAAATATCAATAAGCTAAGTTATATTATGAATAAATTGAGAGAGTGTATGTATATAGTTACTCATCTACAATTCTCACTGATTGTAATAATGAAACATATATCACTTTATCAATCTATTGATACAAATAGAGTTACCAATAAATGAGATTGTGTCAACACAATCTAAAATAAATATATATTAACATGAACAGTTCTATTTATGCTGTTGTCATATACATATGTATTTTAAGGAATGCGATTCATGAAAATCGAACTTACATTCATTCGAAACTTTTCTCAATACTTCAAATCAATTACAATTTTTCTTCTATAGCGAATAAAATTAGATAGCTATTAAAGATTTCGTGTTTATTATAAGATCACTAATTGAACTTTCGGAATCAGACAGAAATTGAATATGATTCTTATCAGACTTTTTTCTTGAGTTATTTCTATGAATGATCAAAGTTTCTATTTTAAAATCAATGTAAAAATATTTTTTATTCAAATTAATTCATTCAACTATTTATTTAAAGATTAAAAGAAATATGAAAAACATACTATAAAGATAAAAACTAGATTGTATTCTAATAGTTGTGTTTACATGTTGATTATTACAATAATTTGTATAACAACATGTTACACTCTTATATGCATTGGATTGTGTTAACATCTGTTGACATGTTGTATTTCCTTTAACCGTCCATATCCATTTTTGTACTGATTGGTCTTGTATTGTACAGTTTTGAGCACTGTTGTAACAAACAGATTTGTAATTTGCGCAAACACATGTATCATTATCACATTTACTTGACACAATATTTGTATTTAATGTTATCAGAGAAACTGAAGAGTCTGCAATTCCATAATAACAAATAAGACTTGAAATACGACCATTATTACAGACCAACAAGATAAGAAAAAGAAGCAATTTCATATTTATATGAACAAATATCAAGTTAATATAATTTACAATATTGTGAAACAAAAAATTGTTGTATATAAATATGTCGCATAACAGATGATAGAAGAAATTTATAAAAGCACTGTTGTGTACTATTGCAATATGGTTTTAGTTTCGTCTATTCAATAAACTTTACAACTTTCTCGTTCTTCATCGACACTTTTTATGTCGCGATTGTATACGATTATTTCATATGTATATACATTAAGATTGTATTGAAAAGTATACATTAAATTCTTGTAAGTTCTTCGGGTCGTGACATCGAAGGTTAATTGTTATGTGCTTATCGATCTGTTTTATGTTCAAGGACTAGATTACTTGTCAAAAGACATTTATTTTACCTTGCATTTATGTAAATTTTTTATTCATACTCATATATTAGTATCACAAATAAAAAAACTTATGAATACATATACAGTGTGGTTCATTTCTTTTAAAAATATTAGATTAAAATTCGATACGAGAATAAAAAAATTTATAATCAAAAATAAGACTTTGCTCGATCACAACTGCTTATTTATTGTCTCGATGTCATTTTAAAAAATGAACTTTGATTCAACCACTAGATCATCGATTCTTCTACCAATTCTTTCTTCTCAAGTTATGCCTATTTTATTTCATTTTCAGTCTATCGAAGAGAATTAATCACCACTAAGAAAACTATCATTGAACAATAGTTCTAAATCTACTGAGTTAAAACTATTTGTCTGTCGTTACTGCTCATATATATACATGAAGAGTGACTCAAGTAAAGAAAGAGTAAGCCACAGGAATAATATAAAAAAATGCTCATGTGCTTCACACATGAATAGGATGAGAAAGAAAAAAAAATAAATGGTGTTAATTGCGCACAAAAGAAAAGAAAAAGTAACTGAAGCTGCAGGTAATTGGTCATAGTGGAAAGTCATTCAATCGACAAAACAAGAGTAACGTGCGCACGTGTAAAAAGTTTTATTAAGAAAAGGACGAAGCAAAACAAGTAAGGTTATTTTGATGTTTTCCAGAACTACAACTACAACGATATATATATCCTATAAATTATTTCTGATTCGACTATCAATATTATTTGATTTTAGTATGAAGAAAACAATCCTTGTCACTGGTTGCAATCGTGGTATTGGTTTCTGTCTCATTCAGAAACTTATCAAAGATGTGAATAATATTGTTATTGGTACTACTCGTTCAACTACTAGCGCACTATCCGACTTGAAGGAAGCTAATCATGATCGATTACATATTATTGAAATGGATGTTGGAATAGAAAAGAGTATTACAGATGCATTTTTAAAAATATCAAATATTTGTATATGTCTCGATGTAGTTATTAATAATGCTGGATATGCACCTGATAAAACGAAAAAAGGAGAAAATGTTTCTCGTTCTGATATGATGAATGCATTCGAAATTAACACGCTCGGTCCATTGCTGGTTATTCAACAATCACTTCCATTGCTTAGGAATGGTCTTATGAAAAAAATTATTAATATTTCTTCATTACTTGGCAGTCATGCAATGAATCCTGGAAGACAAATTGCATATTCGACTGCAAAATGTGCATTAGGTATGATCACCAGTGTTTTTGCAAAAGAATTGGAAAGCGAAGGATTTACCATCGTAGCAGTTCACCCCGGCACTGTTGCCACCGACATGCGACCTGATTTGAAATTACCTGGTGCAATGCCACATATACAAGCAGAAGAGAGTGCAGATGGAATTTTGAATAACGCTGTTTTTGCAAAAGACAATTTAAATGGACGATTTATTACTTGGAATGGAGAGACTATGGCATGGTAATAATTCAGCTATTCTTATAACTGTAACAGTATTTTATAGATGAAGACGCACAAAAGTGATTTATTTTAGTACTATTTTATAAAGTATGATTTATACGGACTTAAAATTTCGAATAAAATAACAACAATTTATAAAGAGTGTCAATATAGATGAATTTAATAATTGAACATACTAGCTGTACCAATGCTCATATCTTCTCTCTTAAGTATTTTGATCGGAAAGAACATACCATTTACCAAAAGTATTTATTCCAATCAGAAGGTTTCTTCTAACATAGGATAGAGTAATCTTTAGAGTATGGATATGTGTTTGACTATAAAATGAATACAAAACTTATATCCTTACGAAGATTTTAACTTTCATCATACACAATCTGTTTATGCGTAAAAATTTCACTAACAATAACGAGTATTCGTTGTCATTCTACAATCAACACAAAATGAACGTATTGATGGCACGTCTAATGTACTTTTAAAAGATAGAATTTAAGTAAAACATTCATATTTAGATTTTTGCACTTTAATTACAAATGTTATTATGTATTAAATTTTCAAACATTCTGTTATATTAATTGCAGGAATAAAAAAATAATATCGATTACTAAAAAGAAACAAATAAATAATTATTGTTTTTTTCTTAATCTAGATAATGAATCGATGACTTAGATTTGTAATGTTTGCATTGTTTCCGTGATTTTATCGACAATATACTATTATAAAAGAAAAACATATAGAAGATATATTTTGAAAAATAAATTACCCGAGCTTCACCAATAATACGATAAGGCACTATTCTAGTATGTACTCGATCTTTTTTTGCCATTTTCAATTTATTAATTTCCTAGAAAAACTTTTTCTATGAAAAATAAATATTCAGTTTTATAATTACTTTGAAAATAATTTCAATTTGATATGGATTAAATTTTACTTGAGGTAATTCTTTCATATGTTTATAAGGATGATGCCATTCAACAGTATAACAATCCGATGAAGAAGAATCTCGATTGATTAATAAAACTCGTCTAAATATTTAATATTAAATTCTGTCTTAAAGTAATATTATTTCTTACCTTGTAGTAGCAAAAAAATAACTGGACGATTCTTCTAAGCATTTAATATGAGCTATATAGTCTTCTGTTTTACCATGTTCTTCTTGTTCAATTTTCTAAATAAATAAAAATATTTTGGATGAAAAAAAGCTTCACTCGAAGTATAATAAATAGACATACATCTAATATATATTTTCCGAACATTTCGTGAGCAATAGAAGGTCGAATAATTCCATCTCGACCAATATGTCGTGGATGTCGGATACGATAAATACTTTGTTCATGTGTTACAACCCTTCATATAAATAAATAAAGAATTAATTATGAAAAGTAAATTTTTTTATTTCGAATACCTTTTAATTGAATCCAATGATGTACTTGTTAAATCAGCAATACCACTTGTAGGTTTTCCAACAAGACCAAGAAAACCTTTGCCGACACCTTTGACGAATCCTTCACGACCACCTTCTTTTGCACCTTCAACTGGCTTCTTGACAAGACCTTTAAAACCTGATACAATATCCTAAATTTTTTAGAAAATATATAACAAAAAAACTTATTCAATGACAAAATAACCTTAGCTGTATTTTTTCCACTTGAAACAATGTGAAATGTATGTGGAGTAAGTAATTCTCTACGTTGCATTTTAACATTTTGATAATCTTTGTCTAATGTTAATGTTGCTAAGCTTTTACTTGCTGCATCAGTTACTTTAGAAAGTGCACCAGCAGTACTACTAACAACTGAACCTACTAAATATTTTGTACCTGTTCCAAACCCATGAATAAATTCTCTTGGACCTTCCATCGCACCCTTCAATAACAAAAAAATTTAAGTATTATGTGAAATTTGATTTTACTTGTAATGGTTCATAGAAAAATGATTCAACACCGTGAGCAATACTTCGAATAACACCAAATGGATTTCCAAGAACATCAAGACCTAATATAACAGCATGAATTTGTTTTAACAATTGATGTTCATAATGATTAATTATATCTGTTGTTAATTTATTAATTGTATATCGTTCATTTTTTCGTTCATAAAAATTTAATCTAAATATTTTTTATACAAAAAAACAACAATTTCTCTTCTTTTAAATAATTAAAACATACTTTAATATAACATCTTGTACTTCAGCTACATTCAATATTTCTAAAATGAAATCTGCTAATGGATGTTCAGCAAGTAGTTGTTTATTTGGCTTTGAACCATGAATAGAAAAACTAACATGAATCTATAAGAAAAAATTCAATCAGACAATCACATTTAAGAAATGAATATCGCGTCCTTTACGTAAACTATAATGTATACGTTAGACATCAGTCTGTACTTACAGCTTTGAACAGTACTGCAACATATGTTACTATGAAGAACTAAAAGCTGGGATCCATACTCTCGATGGCTTACCCAAATCTCGCCAATAATATTTTCGCCGACTGGACGCTCACCAATGGCGAAAATCTACAGAACTGTTATCAGTAAAAGTGGCTCATACATGAAAAAATCTTTATTGATTGTCACCAAGGAGGTAACAGCGGACTTCGAGACTTCAAGAGACCTCATAAGACTTCATGAGACTTCATGCATGAACTCTCCGTTGTTCCTCCTTCGTCTCCCCGTGGAATAAATGCATCTATAGAAATTCAGAAGATTTCATGAGACTTCATGCCTGAAGTCTCTGTTGTTTACCCCTGGACTGTCACAAATGGAAGCAAGAAGTAGTATCAGCTCATCTTAGGTCTTACCATAGAATCTTTGTCAGTATTCTTAAATAAGAAATAGTAGAACTTCAGTAAAATTTTCCGCCAGCTGATGAAAATACAGTGTACATTCGCCAATATACCCTGTGGACTTTCCTCAATTGGCGAGAGTCGAGAATCCCCTCTCGATTTCACCTCACAAACTTCTTTATCCTCCTCTCTCATGCTCATTGTACAATTAGTGTATGTCATTATTCGTATGTGGAAACCACAGAGAGAACAGTCCATAATCAAAATAAGTGCTTATAAATTTAATTATACCTTCACTGGTGATAAATGAAGATTATCAAAATAAATTTCCATATCAGATGATGGTTTATGTGTTTCACTTTGAATTAATGAATCAAGTGGTTTCTTAATATGCATTATATCTGTATCCATATTCATTGAAGATGCTACAGGATTCTATATAGATTTCGAAATAAATATATAAATAAAAATTAAAAACTGCAAACTTTGTCAGCTTTGAAAAATCGAAATAGAGCTAAGATCAAATCTTGATCAACACAAAAAGCAACTTCTTGAATAAGTAATTTAAAATATCTAAATTCAAATAAAATTCCTTATTAAATATACATATATTCAATAAATACTTGAAATGAATTGTATTTGATCTCATCGATTTACTTTTAAATACACTTAATTCAATAAATGGTTTTCCAGCTAAAATACAAAAAAGATTATATTTTCTCTTCATACAATTTAAATAATATTTCTTACGTAAATCAGTTCCTGCTGATTTTGAAATAAGTGGATAAAGACTTGTTGGAAATAATGTATATTCAAGTTGATCATCAATTTGTATATCATTAATTCGAGCATGAATAGCAACTTTACTTATTGACCATGCATATCCAATCCATATCCCATCAAGTTTTTCATATCGAATACATACATGATTACCTCTATCGTCACTTATTTCCGCTACATTTTCATTAAATGATACGATCTATAGATTCAAAAAAGATTTTATTAAAAAATTCTATAAATTTCATTTTATTAAAAACTTACGCGATTTTCGTCAATTCTATATCTATTCTCTCTAATTTCTTGTTTCGTATCATGATGATGATGGTGATGAAGATGATGAAGATGACGATGATGGTGATGGCGTCCAATATATAGATTATAATTGTCTTCTAAATAATTATTTAGAGAAGGAGAAATTGGTCTGATATTATATTTTTGTTTTTCAACCCAAATATTTTTTGATTGATTGATAGTTATATATAATAAATCATTTCGATTAACATCATCAATAATCGATATACCAATCTGACGTGCAATTATTTGAATATAATTCTTTATTGGTTCATCTAATAATGATGACTAAATTAAAAAAAAATATTAAATTTTGAAAAAAACAAATAAATTTTCATACGTCTGTAACTGATCGAATAATTGTCATATCACAAGAAAATAATAATACTGTTTGTGGACCATCATGAAATATACCATAATAAATATTTTCTTCATTATCTTCTTCAATAACACCACTAGCAGGCTTCAATAGAAATAATAGTTATTTTATTTAAAAATTTCATCATAAATCTTTTCTTTGTCTTATTGATAAATATATGAATAACAAAAACTTTCAATCGAAATGGGTATTTCTCTTGCAAGGTGATACTTTAAAAAGAGCTAAGCAGATTGAGTTTTTGTTATACATTAATTATCTCGCATACGAAACATCTGATTGTAATAAAAATTTTCGTCCGTAGCTCTTAGAGATGTGCAGGGGCCCCCTGCCTTACCAAATAGAGCCAGGGTCAAGGTACGACGCGCGTAGGATACGGTAGGGTGCTGGACAATGAAAACGCTTACCCTGTACATGTCTCAATAGCTCCCTAACGAAGACATATGAGTCCTTATCTCTTCACAGAAATAAGCATTCTGGATATTCAATACACTTATAGAATAGTTATAAGTTATAGAAATTACAAAACATTTTCGTCTACCTTATTTACAAAAGATTCCATCCAGGTTTAGGGCTATCAGTCAAAATTTACGTTACATATATTCTGAACCATGAATAATCTTTGGAAATAAACTTACATTTAGTTTTATTGTTACAGTTTTTTTATTAGCCGAAATATCTAATTCACATGGTTTAAATGGATCAATCCATGTATAATAAACATAATTTTGTGGAGGTAAAGTTTGTGTTCGTCTAGGAAAATTAATTTATTTTTCGTTATGTATAAACAAAAAAAGTAAACTCATACGAATCGCCTTTTTGATTGAATGTAATTGATTGATTAATTAATGTATTAACAATTAAAATAGGTGCATCACCATTTTTATAATCAGAAAAAACAATTCTATATCCATCAAAATCTGTTATATTTATTTGAACATCAATTGCTGGAAGTTCTTCATCATTCATATATAATAATGTTCGATGTTTATCATTTATTGAAAAACCACTTGATGCTTGTATATTATGCGAATAACGTACACGCATTACACCATCTTTTATATTATGTGGCCAAAATGGAATTATCTAAATAAATAAATTTATTTAATTATTCATATTTAAAAAGAACAAAAATACCTCTTCAGGTTTAACTAATTTCCATTTGTCTTGTTCAATACCAGATACAGTTTCAATAATATCAATACCAACCTAAATTCAAATATTATATGAAAATATATATTTATTGAAGAAAATAAATTCCATACGGATGCATTGTTAATAACAGTTATTGATGGAGCAATTGTTATGATTTTTGTCATACCGAATGAAGAAGTAACAATATTAACACAAACCTTTTTATACAATAACTTTTTAATTTTATATAGGAAAATAAAGATTTGATTTTACCATATAAAGTCTATCATTAAGTATATTACAACTTGCTATTCCTGTACTTTTAATAACATTAACAGAAAAACCTTCTGACCATTGAGAAACACTTTCATCATCTGCAGCACTATATAATCGAATATTAGCCTAATATATATGAGTAATAGAAATTAGCTTATTATATAAAAATTCTAACCTTTTTATGTGAATTACTATGAAATCCTTTTGGACATATAAAATATGGTTCATTAGTAGTATCAATATAAACCATCTCATGTTCAAGCTACAGTGAAATAAATAATTGATAATAAGAAAATTAAATAGAAAAATTTTGAATACTTGAAACTGAAACTTAAGATCAGTAGAATTGATAAGCCAATATGGAGAATAAAATGATGCACGATATGCTTGTCGACATATATCAACACGTAATACCATTCTCTTTAAATAATATATTTTTATAATTAATTTATTTTCATTTATTCATTTATTTATTTTACCATTATTTCATTTGTTGAGGCATTATGGAATTCAACAATATGTTCATTATGTGCTCCTTTACCTTTTGTACCTATATTAATTGGTTCAGATATCCATGTAACATTATTGTGTGATGGAATCTAAATAAATATAATAGAATTTTTATGACTAGTACCGTAGCTAAGATTTTATCTTATGTAAGTCAAGTAGAGCGATGCAACTCATTCTTCTCCTAAGAGTCATTCCTTGGATACGTCACTTTAAAAAATATTTTCGTTTGAAAAGATATTCTTTATTGGTAGCTTAAATTATTAACTAAACATATCTTCGAGATAGAAATTACAGAATACATCTCTAACTCATAAAGTTATATAAAATACCGTAAAAACGAGACTAGATTGTTTATTTCCAGTTGTTGCATGATATACTTCGCCTGATTTGAGATCAACTTTTTCAGAGTTCTATAATAAATTAAATAGATGAAAAAAACAAATAAAAGTGAATATTATTTAACTCACATCGATTAAACAAAGAATATTAATTGGTAAAAGATTAATAATATGAACAGCCAATTGAATAGAAATATTGAATGAACTTCTAATAGGTTCATCGGTATTTTCTGAATAAGCTTCAAGTGATTCTTTATAAATCTAAATAAAATCGTAATTAACATAAAAATATTTCGGTTAAATCAAATGAACATACAACATAATGAGTTTCTTTACCATCTTTCAATTTTAATACTCGATCACTATTTGATTCATTTGCCCAATCAAATGATATAAAGTCATACACTTCATCCATTGAATCATCTCTAAAAATTACATTTAAAAATCACATCATGCATAATCTATTCTTTTAAACTAAATTCTTATTCAATATATCTTCATATCACTATCAAACAATAGAACTTAATCGTCTATTTTTTCTCTCGAAAAATTCTTCGGAGTAATTCGATATTTTTACATTGAGGAAAATCTATACATAGTGATAAATCGCAAATATCGAAAACTAGATTTCGGTTGTAGCTAGGCGGATAAGGATACAACTTGCATCAATAGCTCCGATCCCGTTAAGTTTTATTGAGGCTGGCACCACAAAAACCTAGTCCTGCACATCCCTAATCGCGATCTTTATATATAACTATTGAACAATCTCCGTGCAAGTTGTATTTGTATTCATACACGACTAATAACGAATAGTTGATAAAATAATCTTACTGATCAATAGTGAAGTATAATCGTGGACTCGATCGAAGATAAAGAGGATCAATTGGAAGATAAAATTCTTGATTAACATCAATTTGTGCAATGCGATGAAATTTCCTTGTTTCAACTGAATCAGCATCCAAAATAATTAAAGGCGTTTTTGTTCCATTAGTTATCTTGAATTCAAAAAAACAAAAAATTTGCAAATAAAATATATTCTGATAGATAAATTTACTTTAATGATTGAACTAAGAATAATTCGTCTACGATCTTCATATATATGTGAATTACAAAGCATTTGAATTGGCCAATTAGGAATTGGTGATGCGCGGATTTCATAAACTCGTCTCCATGTTTGATTTATATCTAATTTAATTAATTGTTCACCAATCTTAATTAAAAATATATATTTCATAGAAAATAATCAAATTAAAAAAAACGAGAATTACTTTAACAGAAAATTCTTGTTTTCTATGATCAACTTGTTCTGCAATTGTTGGAAGATGAGTTGCATCTAATCGTTCACTAGGTACTGTCAATTTAACTGATTCACCATTTTGTAAAATTGAATCTTTATTTGATTCGTCATTTTCAGTAAACTTCAAAAAAAACAACACATTCTCGTAATCAATAGATCAAAATAATCTGTATTAATAATTACCTCAATTCCATTTAAATCAACAATAGTAAGTTCATAACCAGTATGATTATGTATGGATAATATTGATTGATCATCTTGTTCAATTGTTGATGATTTCTTCTTATAAGCTTCGCTAAACATCTTGAATAAGCGTTGAGCAAGAACTACACCGGTTTTGGTTAGTGTTATATTTAGTAAATGATCAGCTCGAATAAATATAATTTTCTTAACATCAAAGTCACTATCATTTTCTTCTTCTTCTTCTTCTTTGCAATTTAATGATTTTTCATCGTCGAGTAAAAATCGATACTAAAATAATAATATTTAGTTATATATGTAATTCTATTCTCCTCGATAGTTACCTTCGCTTCATTTTCGTCTTTATGATCCTACGAATAGAAAAAAAAATTATCGTATAATTGACAACAGTAATTTATATGATTTACAGTAACAGTTTGACATTTGATAGACCATGGAGAGATATTGTGACTACGTTGATCAATAATCGGTTCAATAAGTGGTTCCCAAGCAAGTAGATGATCGTTAAATAAAGCTAATTCAATTTGAATTGATGCAGTAATCGATAACTAAAACAATAATTGATTTTAAAATTATATTCACAAATTAAATATTAAATAAAAATACATCAGTAGACCAATTTTCAAGATGAGTAAATATTTCCGATAAACACAAAGCAAGAACTGGTCGCGTTGTTAAACCAGAGCCATATTGAATTTTAACTTCGGCTGTCTTCAAACTTACAGTTAACTAAAAAATAAAATTTATATTATTTTAATACATCAGATAGAGTGTGAGTGTCTATTCTCTCAATCAACACCCATATGTGAAGGTATAATGTAAATATCGATACTAAAGAACGAGGGTGGATAAGGCCATTTTCCTGCCCTCTAAAATATTTCGATCTTTTGCTTTAAAATCAAGTAACGAATGTCTTTTGATGATATTCCAATCGTTAGTTTTGCAACAGTTCTCAATCAACTTTTCGACCCACACCCACCCTCAAGATTTCATCGGAAAAAAACGGCCTTATCCGTCCTCATCCTTGTGATACTAAGCGCTTGAAATGTGTAATATTTTTAATAAGACGAAATATGAATACATACTTGTTGGTGAATATTTTTATGTTTATGTATTTTTTTTTGTTTGTTTTGTTGTTGAATAATCGATTTTCTTTTCGAAGGTGTACCTGTAGTTATTTCTAATATATCTGTTTGTTCTAATGTATCTTCTTTCTCTTGAGGATCTTTAAAATATAAAAAAATAAAATTCGATAAGAAATTGAATATAAAAAAGACCTTGAATAAACCAAAAACTTGAATCTTTAAATGGTTTTGGATCAAATATTGATTTTGAATTTATTTTATCTTTTTCATATGTAATATTAGTCTAAATAAATTTCTCTGCATTTACTTAAAAATAATCATAATAAATTCTATACTTGTTGTTTTCCCATTGAATTTTTCAAAGAAGCGATTGTACTAATTAATGTTGGATTTATATTAACAGATATATTTCCAATACGTACATCGATTATTTGTTCACTAGGATTGGTGACTAATGTTACATTAATTTTAGTCGGTTGTAAAATCTATTTAATTAGTTTATTGTTAAATATATATTCAATAAAAATATTCTTACATCATATTTTATTTTTGATTGTTTTAATTCTTCGAAATTCGATGCATAAATAGTTAAATTTTCAAATGAACCTTCAATTTTGTTTGTTTTGTTTGCATTCATCATACGCATTGCCACTGATAACTTGATAATAATTATAATAGTGTTTTTTATTTTCGAAAAAAAACAAAATTTATTAACTTACTTCGAGTACAAGGCAATTTGAATTTTGGTTCGTTTCATCTTCAATAACAATAAATTGGCAAGATTTTATATTTAAATTAATATTATTCTCAACAGAGAATGATGAATCTAAAGTATAGAAATTCATATTCAATTTATCTATTTACGAAAGAATATACATACCTTGATCGTTTGTTGTTATTTGAGAATCATTATCCGTGGATGTTTCTTCTTCATCTGATTCTTGTTTTAATGGATATTTTGATACGAATTTAGCTGGAGATGGAATCTCATTATTCATATCATTACATATTTGCTTGTTGACATTTATTATTGTTTCACGATTTACACCTTTTTGAATGGCTATTTTCGAAGTGAAAAAATCTTTTAGTGAAATCAAATAATTTGGACTGATACAAATGTAAAAATTTTCCAATCCTCCATCAACTAAAAAATATTAAATAAATATACATATATATATTAATCGAGAACAAGACCTTGTCGAATAAATGTTGAATTATCTTCATTTGATGGTTTATATTGTAGATTAATACTTAAAATTGATTTATCTTGTTCAATATTCCAATTCTTATCAATAATACGTTTGATTGAATTTTGATTATCATTTGAATATAAATAATCGACTATTAAATTAAATATTTGTGCTTGTCCATTGTAAGTTGAATTTGAAAATTGTTGAAAATCTATTTGTATATTTTCAAATTCTAAATAAAGTAATTTCGCATTTTGATCATGATAAAGTGTTAAATTAATTTGTTTTATAAGAAGATTAATTGCAATTAATTGATATATTTTCTTATCTTTTTGTTTTAAGACTTTTTGTTTTTTAACAGGTTTATCTGATAATTCTTTATTTTCTTCAATTGCGTTTTGTTCTTGTGGAATTTTATGATAAATTTTTTCTTTAAAATTTTCTTCATAGATTTCTATAAAAAATAAATAATCTTCTTGATGAATGAAAAAATCTATTTGATCCCATTGAAATTTTATTGAAAATTTTGCTTGATTTTCTTCCAGAGTTTCAATATTTAAATGATGATTAATTAGAATAGTTAATGGTGAGCAATCTAATAAATTAATATGTTCTTCAATTTGATTTGTATCGTTTAATTTAACACGATTGACTAATAAATTTTGAAAAATAATTTTATATTCTTCAATAACTGATTGAATTTGATTATTAATAGGATTTGTTTGTACTGTTAATTGACCTAAATCAATTAGAATTGCTTCATTAGAATATGAATGTTTTGGAATAAATATTCTTGGTCCGTTGATATTAACTTCAAAATGAAGTTTAGATGTTTGTTTTTGTAAAAATGAAGGTTCATTAGACGGAGTTTTTTCTTTATTTTTTGATTTTTTTCCTTGAAATGCATTAAGAATAGTTTGAATAAGTTCAATATGTTTATAAAGAAGAAAAACATTGACTTTTTCAACTTGTCCATCGATATGTGAATCGATTTGATTAAGAAATTTTTTTGAATATTTCAATAATGATAAATTAATTGATACTAAATCATTTTCTTGATTTTCTTTTGAAATAATTGATTTAAATCGACCATCATGTGAAGGATCAATAACATTAAAATCTTTAATAATCAAATTAATTGAATTTTTCACACTTGATCGAGAGAAATTACTTCGTACACCTTGTAATTTAATATATAATAATTGTGTATATTGATTTCCAATAAGAATATGAAATTCATTTAGATTAAATTCAATTTCAAATGAAGATTTTTTCGATTTTTTCTTCGGCTTTTTCGTCTTAGTAGCATCTGATTTGATTTGTTTTTGAGAAAATTGCTTAAGAATATTATTTTTAAATATAAGTATTGATGTCAATGCTTCTAATTGAATATTTAAATTTGATTGTGAAAAATTTATGTGAATTTTATTTTCAATTGAATTATAAGGTGATGAGGAAAATAATGGATTTTCAATAGATGTTAATAAACCATTGATAGTTAATAATTTCGTATTATCATTATGTTGATTACCAATTAAATAAAGTTTTTTATTATCTTTTGTTTCAAATTGTTGATGAATTAGGTAAAAATCTTCAAGAGAAAAATTAAATTCAATATCATATGTTTTCATTTTAGCTTCAATAACTATTGAGACAAATGATAATTCAATAAATGGTTCATTGGAATCCGATAAATCCATGGGGCATTGTTCCACAGATATGGTTATCTATGAATATATACATTTATCACAAAATTCTAATAAATCTTTAACTTACAGCTGGAATTTTGAAACTAGCTTGAATTTGTGTTATTTGTTGGTGAGATTGAATTTGATCTGATTGAGTTTGATGTTCAGTTTTAGCTATTTTCGAAGATGTCATTTTTTCGATTGTTTCATCGATTTTCTTTACACTTTGACGTTTTCCATCTTTTGTATTTAATTTCTATTAAAAATAATATAAGAATTTCGTTTGACTAGAAATAATACAACTCACTGCAATATTAGCTTCATCATTTGATTTTATTTGAGGAAGTGGCATTGATCGAACAACATTTACAATTTCGAATATACGTTTATCAGATAATTGCGATTCAAGTTTTGTAATGTCACCATCGACTTTCCAACTAAACAAAAAATAATAGTTCGAAACTTTACGCAAATAGTTCTCAAGTTGAGGGTGTATATCTGAATATCAGACAAGACTCAATTTCTTTTATTATGATGCACTAGAGGAAAATTTAACTGCATATATTTTGTCTATAGATAGAACTCAAAAGAAAATGAGCTCTCTAATTTTCACTTATTCTCGAAGAAGTCGAAATTTGTAATTTTTATTAGATAGTGTTAGATTGATTTCAAGATAATATTTTAGTACAACGAAAAGAAAAGTAAATATAGATTATTTTTTTCTCTTTGAGTACATATCGTATGATCTTCAGTTATAGTCTATTATCAAAAAAATCTTCGAATTACAGCAACTTTTACTCAGTGGCGGATTTAAGGGGGGGTGGGGGGTGGACGCCCTCCCTACAGATATATTTTTTGATTTTTTACAGCAAAAATAAACGAAAAAATAGGTTCACACTACTTCGATTGAACTCAAAAAATAGTTTTTAGCCAAAATCGCGCCCCTCTCTACTATGGCTTACAGATGAAAGACTATAATCTTATGGAAGAAATCTGGTACATGTAGATCATTTCAAACTTAGCTCTAATAATGAAAAATAAGAAATAATTTACATTGGTATATTGAAATCATCCATACACGTTGATTTGTTTATATCTAGAGTAATTGTTATTGGCTTAATAATATAAGATGATGCATCATTTTCATTAAGAATAATTTTCCAATCTTGATCTAAATCAAAACATTAATTATTAGAATTGAATTTGTTTAAATTTATTTTACCTTTCTTGCAATAGACTAATCTCGTATTCTCAAGTTTTAGTTTTATTGGAATAGAAGATGATTCGACAATATCTTGATTATTCTAAATAAATAAAATCTTATTGAAAAAAAAACATGTAGATTTTTTTTTACTTCAGTATTAGGAAGTATTTCTTTTTGATGAGGAATATTTTTCTTTCCACCTTTAAATGTTAAATGACCTAAATCTAAACAAATTGATGGCGAAGGACTAAAATCAAAAATAGTTAAATAATTCATATTTAATATCAATTTACTTCGCTAAATCATCATGTTCAGGTAATATAATAAATACTGATTGACAATCAATACTAATATCTAAATCTTTCATTTTTTTAACATTTTCATTTAATAAAAATTGCGTATCATTTTTTATATCTGTATATAATGAATAAGCAACTTCTTTTGTTCTATAAATTATAAATAAATAAATAGAAAAAAATAATTATTTTCTAACTGTTCTAAATGATGATTTTTATCAGGAATAAATATTTCAAAAAGATTTTTAATTGTTACCTAAATAATAGATTAGAATATATTCATAATAATGATTAAAAAGTAAATTACTGCATGATATACGATATCAAAAGATTGTAAACGACCTATGATACGATAATCACATGTTTGATTGAGTGGATGTGTTTCAAACTGAATATGTAACAATTTTTCTTTATTATTTTGTGATTTATTATGCGATTGAATAAGAACAGGTTGATTTAAATTAATAATACCTTCACGATTTAATTCCGATTGATTTCCATACATTTCTAATGAATCAATATCAAGTTGAAATCTATTCAAAAAAAACAAACTCAAATAAGAATTCAAATAAGATTTTACTTACGAAAAATCATCTTTAGCAGGACGATGTGTATAGATAAAATCAGTATTTGATATTGTTGCACAAGCGATTGATTTAGCTCTAATTACAATACGATAAAAAATAATTACTAAAATAAATTCATAATTACTGTATATCATTTTCATTATTATTTGCCCAAACATTGGCTTTGATTGTATTGAAGCCAACTGAAATATCAATATCAATATACTAAAATTAAGAAGTACATTGTGATATATCGGTAAGATTTCTTGTCTTCATTGACATGCATCCGAAATAGATTACGGCGGTTCCAAATATTACCCGGAACCGGTCCGTAAAAATGACAAAAGAGCGGTTTCGGTTCGATTCGGTTTTCGGTTCCATTTTTTTTAGAACTTCCGTATCCTAATCCGAAATCATTGGATGGTAACTTTACTGATTCATCACACTAAACTACCTCTATTAATTCGACTAACTCTGAGTTTTTCAGACTTCATTGAAGTCAGTGGCGGATCTAGGATTTTGGAAGGGAGAGGCGATACTTGAGTAGGAAGAGCGGGCGATTTCGGCTAAAAACCATTTTTTGAGCCCAATCGAAGTAGTGTGAACCTATTTTTACTGTAAAAAATCAAAAACAAAATCCTGAAGGGAGGAGCGACCGCCCCCTCCCCTAAATCCGCCACTGATTGGAGTCTATACAGTCTTTAATCGCGATACTAGAACTTTCTCTTTCTGGCCAATCATGTCTCATTCAATTTTTACAAGGTGTACGTGTTTAATCGGTAAGAATAAGTTTAATATAAATACCTCTGATGGATACAATAATACTTTCTGTTCATCTTCATAACCGATAGCTTCATAAAGTTCTTGTCTTTCTTCGTTTGACAAGATATTATCAGATTGTAATTCTAGAATAAATGATTTTAATCCTAATATGTGTGATAAAAACTATACCTGGATCATCATCATCATTGGCATGATGTTGTTTCCACCAATTAGATAGTTTCTCTCCGGAAGATAGTTCCTTTGTATTTGGTTTTCGTTTTTTAGCCTAAATAAACTATTACTAAAGAAAAAAAAGAGAAAATATTTTTTACCATAATTTGAGCTACTCGACGAACATAAATTAAATTAAATGTATTGATTTTTTTTTCTAATTCCTAAAATTTCAAATGAGAAAATCAATACGAAATAACTAATGATTATTATATCATACTTCCATACGTTGCTTTTCATCTTTAGTAAGACGTGCAGTTATTTGTTGATAATAAAACAAATAATATTGTTTTGATCGATCTAAATATAATTTAATATTTTTCCATTGATACGAAGCAAGTCTCGGTCGAATTTGTTCATTCAGAATTACATTATAAGCAAATTTCCATCTAAAATAAAACAATTCATAAATCATCTTTATTCAAAAAATTTAATTACCGTCGGATACTTGGTTTTTCCGCTTGAAGAGCATTTTTAAGTGCGTAATATTTAACATATTTCGCTCTTGTAGTATAATATTGATAAAACTCAAGAAATGCAAGAATATCTGCATACTAAAAGAATAATACGAATTAAAATTCGAAAAAAAGAATTTATTAAGTAAGGTTAACTTGATCCGGATTCATATTTAAATTAATTTCTTGAAAAAGAATTTTCGCTTGTAAAATCGGTCGTTGAAAATCTTGTTTTTGAGGTTTTTTCGCTATTTCGAATTTAGCGGTTGCATTCAATGGTCGAAGAACTTTAACAAAAGACCGAAAAGCAATACATTATATGAAATAATCAAATTACTGAAATTTTGTTGTGCAATATTTGTTTTGAGGTGCTCATTTATTTGTAACTTAAATTTTTTCTAAATAAATCTTCCGATAGAAAAAAAAAGAATAACTTTATAAAACATACAATAACATCTTCTTTGGATAAATTATCATAGGGTTCAATATTGGCACTCCAATAAATCGATAAATTATTAATTTCACCGAGCTATATTAAATTGTAAATATATATTTCCTCGTTAATTTAAAGAATACTTTACTTTGAAAAGTATTTTTGAATCTTCTCGTTCAGCATTTGTTGCCTAACGACAAACTTAAATTTTAAATAAAAAAATTATGATTTCTTACAGTAAGTTTAATATAATTGAATGTGAGATTGAATGTAAATGGATGAAAAGGTCGCGTATATTTATCTTGATATTGAATATGTACATTTTCAATTGTGATTTCAAGATTACGAAGAATATGAAATTTTAAACGTTGAAAAAATTTATCTTTACGTTTGGGATTTTTTCCGAAATATACTTAAATAAATCGAAATTTATTTGACAAAAAAATATAAAATACTTACTGTATTCTTCTCGTTTACGATGAAATTTTTCGACTTTTTCTACTCGTTTCATTTTCGAACGATATTCTTGTTCTTCATATTTTTGAGAATTATAAACTATTTCTAATAGAACAAAATATGATTTTATGAGAACAAATAAAAAATAATAATTCAAACCAGTTCTTGTTTTTAAAAGTAAATAAAATCCATGAATTGAAATTTTTGTTGGATGTGTATAGAAATGTTTCCATGGAATATGAATTGTTAATTTTTCTAAATATATATTTAAGATAAATGAAATAATTTAAACAAAAAATATACCAATAAAACCAGTTATGATTTCGACAGGAATATTTAAATCATCCTAAAATTTCTATATTTGATAGTTGAAAAAAAGAATTATTTATATTTACCAATGCATTTTGTTTTACATAAGCATTTTCGATAGTAAGATTACCTAAAATAAAAATAGATAATTAAGAAATTACGATGAGATATTTAATTACCATGCCATAAACCAACTTTTAGACTTTTTGAATCAAAATTTTCTATATAATCTCCAAGATATTTATCAAGTAAATGAACAGCTAAATGTTTAAATACCATTATTTATATTATTTCGATAGAGTTTCGTTTATCTAAAATTGATAAATACTTCATGAACTTTTATTTTTATTTGAGTAAATGCTATATGATTCGATCAAATAAAATATGTTACAGTAAAATTTGAATAATGAACTATCAAAGTAAAAGTTATAACGACAACATTCTTGAAATATCGATATCCGAGGAGTGAGTCTTTTTTATAGCTTACCGACGTCTACTCATTATCAAAAGGTGAACATCTAAATATGTTCGCTGGTAAATTAAATAAAAATTAATAGGCAAAAAAAGAAATAAACATACAAATCGATGAGACTTTACTTACTGACCTCGGATACATATAATCGATCAATTGTATTTATTATGATTTCGATTACTAAATCTTCGAATAGTACGTTATATAAAGTAAGTGTATTACATGCGTATGTATATAATATACTTTGTTTTTGTTTTATTTATTGCTTGATCATTGGACGATTAAACAGTCTCACTAGTAGAGAACAGATAAATTTTTTACTCATTATTCTGCTCATAGTCGATGTACAAAAAAGAAATTATACGCACATGTATATTTATATTAATTGGGCGTGTTTTTATCTTTCGTAAACACGATTGATTTGCAAATTTTATAACAAAGTATATTCTGATCAAATACATTATTTCTATATATTATTTCTCATTTTATTTGACCTTGAATTATCCACTGTTTTTTTAAATATTATTTTTGATTTAGTTATTTAGGAAGCATATCTAAATCGAGTAAAGATTCTGCAATTATAGATATTTTTTACGGTGAATTCGAACGGTATATTTGTTTAGTATGGTCTGCTGGTTACTGTTTTCTGAATAAACATTTAATAGAATAAAGGAAAGAAGAAAATTTTTGAGGATAATGTGCAGAAGAGAAAATTATTTTAATATATCGAATGCATTAGCATGTTTGAGTACAATAAAATTATGATCATATCTTTAGGCTGATAAAACTTCTTAAATGAAATGTCAATCGGATCAAATGGCTAGAATGCGTTTTAGTCAATCTCATATCATTTTATAGAAGGCTTTAGCCATTTCTTACTTACATTAATAGTGAAAATAAAAATATCCAAAATCCATCAATACAAACTATCGAGATTTTTATTATAGATTATATAGATACATTAATTCTTACAAAAATATGAATTTGTTTAATATAAATTCTTTATTTTTAGGTATTCTGTAATCTATCAATTGCATGTTTTTGCTTCACGGCCATCTGTATCTCTCTTTCGAATTCATCGTCTATCGATTTCACCTATTATTCAAGTCGAATACTTTTTAGTTTACATATTGTTTCTTTATTATGTACGTCTATATTATCTTAGTTTATTAGTTTGGATCTATTTTTACTCGTGTTTGTCGCACGGCACATATACCAAGTATATGATTTGTTTTTAGATTAGTTGTATTCGAAGGTTTCATTGGTGGTGGAACGTAAATTTATATCTTCTATAAAATATTCACTAATGTATGTTTTATATCGTTTAGATTTCTGAACGAGTCGAAGTTCCACTTCATAATTCAATTATAGTCAATAGTTTTCATACCAATATTCGTTTTTTAGGTTTACCTTTCTTCATGAAAATTAGTTTTCTACAATTATTTTTGATACAAACCAGAGCAATTCTTTTTTTCCCCTTTGGTAGTTTTTTAGATGACTGAAAACAATTTACAAAATAAAATACTTTCTCATATCGTAAGAAGAAGATTGTTTAGATCTAGGTGAATCATTAGCTTTAAAACTGACTGAACTTGGAGCGAAGGTTATTGCACAAGTAAAATACCGAAATTTTAATTTATTCTATTGAAATTATATGTTTATACATAGTGTATTTTAAATAAAACAATAGAGTCATCGCCGTATGTATTGATTTATGTGATTGGAAAGCAGCTAAAGAAGCTGTCAGGCTACATCTTTCAGTTCAATTATTAGTTGATAATACTGTTGTTACTATTCTTCATTCATTTTTAGAAGTTAGTCTCAATGATTTTGATGCATATATAAAAGAATTCAGTCGAATATAAAATATTTACATTGTTCTTTTATATCAATGCCAAATTCATTATATGTGTTACTCAGTTATCTTCATTTTCAATTTATTATATAGGAGCTGATGTTTTTGCAATTAAAATCATCTAACCAATGTACATAAGAATAAGGATTTTGGCAGGAAATAACACGTGATTTAATCGAATGCAAAATGCTAAGTTTGATTGTTAATATCTCAAGTCAAGCAGCAGCAGCAGTTGATAGTTTAACACGTTTAATAGCAAGTGAATTAGGTCTTCATCAAGTAAGAATCTCTCTCATATGTATTTAACTACGACTAGTTTCTTTGTTTTAGATTCGAGTCAATAGTGCATTTTTCACTACTTTTATTTGTTACATAAACGTTTTTTGTAACAGATATGGATCGTATCGGTTAATATTTAACTTTTTTTACTAAATAATCATTTTCTATGAGTATAGGTTGGTCTAATCAAAAGAAAGCTGCTGAAATGTTATCAAAGATTTCATTAAATAAATTTGCTGGTTAAGAAACATTGAAATTGTATTTTCATGAATCTTCTACTCATTTCTATATAAGTAGAAGATATTCTTGAGCCAATTATCTTCTTACTCTTAACTAAATCTGAGACGATTAATGGTGTTAGTTTACCTACTGGTAATGTAAACAAATTTCATCTAAATCATAGAAGTAATTCATTTTCAAATGAACAAAATGTTCTGATGAGATATAATTCTGAGTGTTTTTATTTTATTTTTTATAGATGGTGGATTTTTGCCTAAATAATAACTTACAGACAATAATGATTGACTGTCATAATTATATTTTTCTGATATCTTAACATGCAACGTTTATTTCATAATTCACCTGATTTAATTTAATGCAACAATTTTCAATCGTAGTTTCTTTTCTATTTAAAAAAGCATTCTTTATTTTAATAAACTCTATAAAAGTGATTAGTCAAAAGCATACTGTGAATCATGTGTCAACGCTAGAATGTCTACTATTAAAGCACATAGGTAAGATATACAATATCAACAAAAATGTTTCATATATTAGTTTTCATATTACCTATAATTCAAAACCATCTTGAGGATGTGGATGTGAGTGTTAACGTCACCATCGCCCTGATCCATGCTCATTCTCAAGATTTTCATTCTTTCTAAATTCCTTTGTGAAATCTTATGCAGAAGTCAAAAAACTACCTGACGATTTAACCCTTGAATGAGGTCGCAGCTATAATGGTGGTATTTCTATAAATATAATACAAAAATCACACCCACCACATCCAGCCATCTGTTGATCTCCGTAGCAGGAATTAAATCTGGATTATGGTAGTTGTTCACACCGACGTCCTCAATATGAACTATTTTAAATATTAATAGGTTTCTTCAATATATACGCTTTATTTCAAAACAAAACACAATCACATTTGCTCCATTCTATTGAAGTCTTTCTCATAAACATATGTTCAACCATGTATTTTTCTCCGCAATTTTTTGTAGATATTGTTTCCATTTGTCTCCGATTGGATTGTCGTAGAGGTAGAGGTTTTTGAGTGTCTGTATGAAATAAGACAGATGAAGATGAGAAAAGTACAGAGAGTGGTGTTTTCTCTCACTTTGTTCTTTTTCAAGGCTTCACTAAGAGCTTGTCCACTTTCATCTCCAATTTGATTCTTGGAGAGGTTGAGATATGTGAGTGTCTGTATGAAATAAGAAAGATGAAGATGAGAGAAGTGTAGAGAGTGTTGCTGTCTCTCACTTTGTTCTTTTGTAAGGCTTCACTAAGAGCTTGTGCACCTTTATCTCCGATTTGATTGTTGCCGAAGCAGAGTTGTGTGAGTGTCTTTATGAAATAAGAAAGATGAAGATGAGAGAAGTGCAGAGAGTGGTGTTTTCTCTCACATTGTTCTTTTGTAAGGCTTCACCAAGAGCTTGTGCACCTTCACTTCCGATTTGATTCGATTCGAGGTGCAGTCCTCTGAGTGTCTTTATGAAATAAGAAAGATAAAGATGAGAGAAGTGCAGAGAGTGGTGTTTTATCGCACTGTGTTGTTTTGTAAAGCCTCACCAAGAGCTTGTGCACCTTTATCTCTGATTACACTGTGTTCGAGATAGAGTTGTGTGAGTGTCTGTATGAAATAAAAAAGATGAAGGTGAGAGAAGTGCACAGAGTGGTGTTTTCTCTCACTTTGTTCTTTTGTAAGGCTTCACCAAGAGCTTGTGCACCTTTATCTCCGATTTGATTGTTGGAGAGGTTGAGTTGTGTGAGTGTCTGTATGAAATAAAAAAGATGAAGATGAGAGAAATGCATAGAGTGGTATTTTCTCTCACTATGTTCTTTTGTAAGGCTTCAGCAAGAGCTTGTGCACCTTTCTCTCCGATTTGATTAC